AACACCCTTGCAAGGGGTGGGGTTCATCAATGGCTGAGGCAGGTAGAAACCAAACTTCGTACACGAATCGCCGGATAACAATCCTCCCATGAATCCAAGGCTTCAGCTACTACTGTCTCCATACAAGGAGTTTGGGTTGGCGATTAGCCGGGGTTCAGTTGTGGGGGGGAACCCCGCCTTCTGAAGAGCTGTGACCGTGTAGGTTAGAGGTCGGAGCACAGATACGGGCGGGACATGTTGTGTAAGCAGTTGGGTGGACATGAGCGGTGGAGATGTGGGGGAGAGTAGAACCGGGTCAAGTAGGCAGCGCAGTGACTGAACCGACGACGGCACGGGGGAGGAGAGACCCAAGTAAATGAGAGCAAAGCTTCAGTGATAGCGAAGGCTGTGTGATTCGACAAGAGCACAGTTTCTTCTCCGGAGCAATTCTCTTCTCGTAGTAGCACACCGTCCTGCCCTCAGTCGCAACAAACCTGCACTCCTCACCCCATCTGACCGTGTCTCACCCGAGGTTCTCTCAGTGCTCCGATACCATCACGATCCCGCCCAGACAGCTAGGATCCGTTCCCCCATCAGCACCAGCCACAACTCCACCAGCATAGCAGATCACATCCCCCGCATTCCACCTCATCTCATCTCATCGCACTTCCACTCCAGACCGCCTTCAAAAACCCATCGCGCTGCGCCAGGCGATTCAAGCTGTCATCGCCCTCGGCCCTCGAGCGCACGAATCCACACAGCGCGTACACCTGGTTCTCGCCTGTGTACCGGCCGTTATCGTCCACCTTTCCGATCGAGATCTGCACCGAGGCGTGGTCCTTGGCCTTGATGATGCGGTTCGTGGCCGAGCATTTGCGCGGCACGTAGCTGGAAAATGGGGGTAATGAGTTTTGGTGGGTGGGGATGTTGGTTTGGTGGGGAGGGGGGAGGGGTTGTTTGAGAAGAGAGAAGGGAAGCTTACAGGTCGACGATTTCGCCTTTTTCGTTCTCCATGGTTGGGGATTCGCTGAGGTTGCGGTGAGTGGTAGGGAAGGGTTTGGGGGAGAGGTTTGAGTTGGGAAGGGGTGGTGTAGATAGGCGTTTGGATTGTCGAGTTGTGCTCCTATGAGATATTGTTCTCTGCGGTCGTGAAACCAAAGTTCTAAATAGTGGGGGCCAGGAATTTGGGTGGATGAGGAAAACCCTAAGCCCTAATTTGCAGCTACTTTTTAGGCCGCGTCTTGCCAAGACTTTTTACATTGAAGAGAGCGAGGGTGATGAACTTCAACCGGCATGGCTCCAAGGTAGAATTTTCCCATTTTCAAATGAGAAAAAGCATGTCTTCTCAAACCACGATATCATAGCCACGTGTCTTATTCGCGAGGTTTCCCTCTCGTGTTGAGTAAATTTCCAGTATTCTAGTATTCAAGGGGCTACAACTCTCTGTCTGCTGAGAACAAGGGTAGATACATCTTTCTTGATGAAGAAAAGGTAAAGCAGAGCGTTTGCGGAACTGACTACTCAAACGACAGTAATTATAAAACTCTCGATGTCCTCTCGGTGACCTCCGGGGTAGAGACTCCCAAGTCATAGTTGCGACTGAATGTTTGACCATCTTTCCACTGAACATGGAGTGCAGGTGAATAGATAATGAGGCATGAGTTATAGGTAGGCTTTGAAAATCGTCTCTGGGCTTTCAAATTTATAGGCTTCTATCTTCTTCATGTGCAAGATGGAACAATAACCGTTTGTTGTGATTGCAAGTCTTCCTCATGAGACGTAAGACATCTCAGCCCTCTTTTTGCCCCAAAACTTCATGAAGTCTCTCCCTTTCCCTTACCGTCTCAAAGTGCTTGTTTGCCCCTTGTCTCGATCGGGAATAAACACATCGCTACGAAAGCTGCGAGTATAAGTCCACCGCTGGCATATATGGGTGCTTTCGGATCCGCCCCCCCGGCATTGATAGCGACAATTGGGGCGCAAAGACCAGCTATTCTGTTCAAGAAACTGGCGATGCCGGACCCTGTTCCTCTGTTCGGTGCAGGGAAAACTTCGGGAGTATAGGCGTAGAGAACACCATACATGATATTCTGGAAGAACGCCTCAAGACAAGTGAAGGCAAGTTGGAAATCAGAATCAGTGCTGGTCGTGAATATGAACAAGAATATCCCAGTCAGTAAGGTAGAGATCGCTATGGTGCCTTTGCGACCGATGTATGGGATGTCAACTGTGTAGCAAGCAATGATGCTGCCTGGAACACCTACCACGGATGTTATGGCGTAATTGCGATATACAACGGATGTTGGCGCCGGTGGAGCATCCGGATCAACATTGGTGAGATATTGCGGCAGGAAGGCGTTGAAGAGTGGATATCCCATTCCAATTGTTGCCCAGCAGAACCAGAGAAGGGCGGTGTTGATGCCAAGCTTCTTGGAGCCGAACAACGGGGCAATACGTTGTGTGGAGAATTTGCTGAGTTGGCGTTTGATGATTTCTCCTGTGCTAAGCTTCAGATCAGTAACTTCATCCGGACGGCCGCCAATAGCATTCAAAATCTCTTCGTCAAGCCAGGTCTTCTTCCCATTCTGGTAGGCGATTGCATGGACGACCGCGACTGCTTCCCGCTGACGCCCACGGCTGAGGAGGAACTTTGGCGACTCGAAAAGGTGGAAGAAGAAGAACCGGCAGATGAACATGACCATTGTGAAGGCACCCATGGTGAGGTTGAGGTATCGCCAGCCCATATTTGATGACATGGTGCAACATTCTTCTCCCGGGCCCGCCGTCCGGCAAGATGGGAGGTCTTCAGCGCAGGAATAATTTGGTATGAAGCCCCACGCAAAGAAGGATCCAATGAGTTGACCAATCGGCCAGAAAACAGAGAGCATGGTCAAAAGGTTACCACTTGAGAATGGCAGAAACTCAAGAAATAGGGCACCATCCACTGGCAGGTTTCCGCCAACTCCGGCACCAAGCGCAGCATATAGACCGCAAGCTGCAATCCAGCTACGGGCGCCCCCGACAGCTAGACCGAATACTCCTGTGATGAGGAGAGTCATGTTGAAAGCAAGACGTCTGCCAATAATATCGGAGGCCGTGCCCCAAAATACAGCTCCACAGCAGAGACCAGAGAAGAGCGATAGAGTGGTGTAACGGACATGTGTCGCAGATACGCCGAATTCGTGGCTTAGAGAAGTCAAAGTCAAGGCCACCCCTTGAAGCCACAAGTTATCAGCCAACCAGCCGAAACCGCAAAGGACGAAAAGGCGCCATTGATAGCTGCCCATGCCAATGTCCTGGATAGCTTTGTTGATGACCTTCGATTTGCGGTCATAAGAGGAATCATGTCCACTGGCGGCAATGTCAAGATCAATTTCTTCTCGGAGATCCTCTAAAGTGAATCCGCTGTTAGATCCACCATGGACGGCTCGTTTATCGGGATCTCCGCTGCCTATGCTGCCGCTCTTGGACGCTCGTCTCTTTTCGTTCATAGCTACTACACTTGGATGACGTGGAGGCGCTTCGGAAAGAGGGACGTGAACATTGGGAAAACTCTCAATGTCATAGTTTTTGAACGGCAGAAGGAACACCATCCTGGCAGTTTATGTTCGGAATGAGTTGTAAGTGCTAATAGCGGCGATTGTGCCACAGTGAGTAGGGTCTCCCAATCCGTGGTTAACGCTGCTATGGGCCGGGAACACAGAGCCTGGCGAAGACGGTAGCGAATTCTTGGCTGGGCGAGTCCTCGAAAGTGCTGTGCGCTGTTGACAGAGAGATGGCTCTGCGATCACTCCAGTTGGCTAGAAAGAATAGCTTCTGCTGGTTGCTCTGGGCGTATCACTACGCAGCTGTCATTGATAGAAGCGTTTTCGGACACTCGAAGTACTGCGAAGGCTAGAAGGGGCTTGTGTTGCTTTGGATGTCACGCTCACCCAAGACTCGCAGAAAGCGCGACAAAAAAAAAAGAAAATAGAGCTTATTGCGTGGGGTGTATGGTGCTGGTGTTCCAAACAAAGTGTTATTGAGGTTGCGATATTAAGACAGCGTACAGGTAACAGCAAGGATGAGAAGGAGGGTAAAGAAGAAAAATAGTGCAGCTACGGCACAGAGGCGAAGTACGTTAACAGGAAAATCTGCCTCGCTGTCAATGGATGGTATGCTGGATACTGCATAGGATCCTAGTCAGTTATCGCATCATGTGCTGACTGGCAGGCTCCCTCGTCTCGGCCGTCGAGCCTACTTCATGATTAGCCGAAGCCGGGGAAGTAGATCAGCTACATTGGTTGGACATTGTGAAGGCTATCGGCTTCCACAGCGTCTTTTTGGCCGGAGGGATAACTAATTAGTGGAGTCCTTTGCCCCTCTTTTAGCCGCTTGTCGAATTAGTCCTGAGTAAAGGGTCTTCGGGTCCCCTACACGAGCAGATCGTCACACCTGTCATGCATATGTAGTAGTGATGGCACCAGGGAGAGGCAAAGCGTGCCTTACCGGCCCGTTGCAACTTTTCCTGAGATGGTCTTGATGGTCCTCGGTTCGTGTGGCTGCCTTGGGTCCGAGGCCCATGGAACCAATTGGTGTCGCTCTAACTAGCATGACTTTTTATGACAGATTAGCTGGTATGGCGTATAGAACGTTCTCCCGGCAACAACTCTCATTTACTTCGTTGGTTCGTGCTGTGCCAAGAGCGACCACCAATTGTTTCAATGGGCCTCGGTCCTACACCACCCAGGAAACAACTACCAGCACCCTCAACCATCTTTATAACGCCCCTTGCAAGCACGTGGAGGAGACCTACAGAACAGTCTGAGAATAATCCTTTTTTCCCCTTTCAGGCAATGTCAATTGGTTGCAAGATTGCAATAATAAATAACATTATTACAGACCGCGGTCTGTCGTACCACATCCGAAGCTACGTCAAATTAAACGCAATTTATGACATTGTCTTCGTGTTCGGATGTAATAGGTTTTGCCTACATAGTAGTGTAAACCTGAATAAACAATGCACAAGGCATGATATAAGACGCGTATCAATCCCAAGCCTACCTTTGTTGTTCCTATTACTCGAATGCTGCTTGGAGAGCAGTGTCCTCCCGCTTAACATTAGCCCACTCTGCACTTTTCTCCCATAACTTGTGCTGCTTTTCCGTGTTCATGCTTTCTGGCGAAATATCATCCTTCCTAAGGGGAGTGAAGTAGGCCCGCTCTCCCGGGTAAGCTTCGTTCATTGCGATATCAAAAACATCGGTGCCTGCGTCGGCTGCAGTGCGCATTGTTGGGTCTGAAGTGGAGAAGAGGTTGCAGGGGTCTGAGGACAAACTTGGACAGGTAGATCGATCATTTGGGGCGAGTTGACTTGCAGCGCTTGGAAATCAGTCAAGTTGCCTGGGTTAATGGCAATCGCCGTGATACTGCTCAGCCTTGGGTCCTTTTGATGGTTTCAGCTGCGCTCTTGATGAAAATCACTCAGTGATTGATGATTACTGCACACCTTTGTCAAATACCGGTTGAACGCATACATCCACATCACCAATGCCAGCTTCGAGACTGCGTATCTCTGGAAGTCGTCAACGGATCCATCCTGACTTGGCTTTATCAGCAGCTCAAGGTCATCAGGAATGGCAGGCGGGTACTTCTCGAGACTCTTCTTGCCTGGCCGGTGTGCATAGCTGGAGAGAAGGACTACGCGGCCGCCATCAGATTGAAACTTGCCGACGAGTCACAACACCAGTGCTACGTGGCTGAGATATGTCAGCGAGAAGCTCTTCTCATCTTCATCTTCAGTGGCTTCCGCGCCGCACAGCATATTCCAGTAATAGGCGCTGCGAGTAATGCTGGTCAGAGGTGGGAGCCTGCCGTCCACGATCTCAGTGGTTATGGTGCTGGCGAACTCGTGAACGGATGAAAGACTAGCGTGATCAAGCTCACGAATTGAAGCTTTGGCATTTGAATACTGGGCAGGTGTGGCACGGAGCTTCGTCGTATTGGCATCGGTGTTGGAGGAGTCCCGCGCAGTTAGAACGGCCGTATAATCCCCGTGGGATTGCTATACTCGGCTCCTGCCGAAAAGCCAGCAGCCTTTGCTCCATTCTATAACGTACCCGCTGCGGTAGTTGCAGTGCCTGCGACAAATGGTACAGTATCGAGTCTGACTCAGATCCCGAGTACCGCAGTCTCGAATGATCCCTTGCGGTAAGACTGTCTCGGAGATTTACCTGGCTGATTTCTCATCTCATGTGCTGACGTGTCCAGAGCCACGATTATAGAGGCGCGAGTTCCAAGATCGATGCACAGTTGTACAAAGATGTCCATGCAATCTGGAGAGAGCGGGCGACTGCGATTCGTGACGCCACTGGAGCTAATATGACGTTCACTCGGCAGCCAACTCCAGTCAACATTTTCGCCCAGGGTATCGCAGAGGGAGGAAATCCACTTGGCCTTCCTAGAGCAAAGCATCAATGTAAGCTTGCTATTTGTGTCTCAGCCCTAGCCATGGGATTTCAGAAGCTAGTCTCTGACAGGTGGACGACACTGGTTGACTGGCAGAATGCCAAAAGACGACGTGGCTGTATGGGCAGCTCCCATTGATACCAGTGGGCAGTGGAAGGAGCTTGGAGAAAAGCGGGGCTGTACATTCCTTTCCTATTCATGAACGACGCATCAAGATATCAGAATCCTTTAGCTTCGTATGGTTCGACCGATGTGGAAAAGTTGAAGGCAGTGTGCCGGAAGTACGACCCGTCCCACCTCTTCCAGACCTTGCAGAATGGTGGGTTTCTACTGTGAAAACCATAGATATCGTGAAGACTAAGAAACTTTCGACATGTTGAACACTCGTGTAATCACACTCATCCTTGAAGTGTTTTGTCTTGGATATTCACTCAAGTTTACTCGATCCTTGTACCCGTGGAGAATCGGGTATCCTATACAGGCATTCAAATGGTTTGCGTTGAAGACGAGGTCGGGCGGAAGCGCGTAGCTACGCAACAGCGATAGACGGTGCTCCAGCTCTCCCGCAGGCTACCAGCCGTCAGTAGGAAAGGGTGGGCCCCAAACCTTGATGTTTGGGATGAGGCATAGAGTTCTCCCATGAACACTACGTACGTACGAAACAAATCCAGAACAGACCTAAACTTCATCAACTTGAGGTTCTCAGACCATCAAGGTGCAGGCCTTTAGCGTACATCGACTTGGGCTTCTTCTGCAAGTGTTTGCTAGACCTAACGAGTCACTGTCTGTGTATCAGATCTTGATGGAAAGGAATGGTAATACGAGGCTGTTATGGCGTGGTTGGTGCGTGATATTAAGATTCCTGAAGTCCGAATGACGCCACCGCAGAGTTCTAACTACCCTAACGTCCTATACGGTTGCGTGCAACATACGGCCTGCTTTGAACACTCTAATTTTTTCAAGGTAAAAGTCCTGGTTCCCCACTACGCCCAACAAAGGACATAGGATTCCCCAGAAGGAAAGGCCCGACCGAATCCGTACAACGTTTAGGAAGACAGATCAGCCAGGCCCAAGGTTCAACTACGAGCTTTTTAACTGCAACAACTTTAATATACGCTATTGGAGCTGGAATTACCGCGGCTGCTGGCACCAGACTTGCCCTCCAATTGTTCCTCGTTAAGGGATTTAGATTGTACTCATTCCAATTACAAGACCCGAAAGAGCCCTGTATCAGTATGTATTGTCACTACCTCCCCGTGTTGGGATTGGGTAATTTGCGCGCCTGCTGCCTTCCTTGGATGTGGTAGCCGTTTCTCAGGCTCCCTCTCCGGAATAGAACCCTAATTCCCCGTTACCCGTTGAGACCATGGTAGGCCACTATCCTACCATCGAAAGTTGATAGGGCAGAAATTTGAATGAACCATCGCCGGCGCAAGGCCATGCGATTCGTTAAGTTATCATCTGCTATGGATCGAAGAGGATGTATTTGAATAAGGAACTACACCATAGATCCCTATTCTATTTCCTATTTAGGAAGCTTGTATAGCTTCAATAATGTCAATAGTGAGCTGAATTCGCTGTAACAGCGCCGGCGAGGGTTGTGCCAAGCAATTTTGTTGCACGGGACCGTATGTTGCACGCAACCGTATAGGACGTTATTGCCTCAATGGGAAAGGTGAAGCCTCCCCGGCGGCGCATGCACTACTGTAGTCACCTACTGTAGTCACTGACACCTTGACACGAATTGCCAGATCATCAATGGACGCAGGGCTCAACTAGCGTCCTAGGGTCATGGATTTTGGCAAACTTTTAAAGTTTTCACCTTTTCAAGGGAGAAATGTTCTATTCTAGATAAAGAGGTCATGGGTAACGCGGAGCGTCGACGCGCAGCGCATGGGCAGCTGCTTATCAGCGGGGACTCCTGTAGAACGTGGGATGTAGCTCACAGTTCGTACAGTAGACCCCGAGACCCCCAGAACCCCACGGTTCTCTCTTCGATTCGCTCGTTGGTGGCACGGAGCCACTGTTTCGAGGGATTAGATGTCGGCCGGAGGTGTGGCAGGTGGCTGGGCTTGCTTTGTTCGCCATAAAAACTGGAGCAGGAATCGTTCCAGCGGCCCAACAAAGACTCACCGACAGTATCTAGGAGGTCATGATTCGAAGGTAGAACAGCATCAAGGCTGCGGCTAGGATACTAGCATCCCCATCGGAAGCAACAATGTAGACATCCATAGATCTCATTCGTCATCTAGCGGTGCCCGTATTCACCTTTTCTTATTCTGCTGCCTTGCAAAGAAGTATATTTGACCTTCAGCTGCTCCCCCAACCGCCCTTCTTCTCGCGATGACAGACTACACCGGTCAACATCCCAAAGGCCCTGATCCTTCAACCCTCGATGGCACCACCCAAGGCAGAAAATCCTTGTCCCCCACCACCTCCCGTACGTTCCTTGAGCATGTGAATCACTAAAGACGAAAGCTGACTCAGGCAGAACTCCCCAGTCTTAAGATAAGACTTCAGAAGGCTTTGCGACAATTTCCCGATTTTCCTTCTCCCGGAATACTCTTCGAAGACATCCTACCTATCTTTCAAGATCCTGCTTTACACGAGACGTTCATCCATGCGCTCGAACTTCATGTCATCGAAATCTACGGCCAAGATGATAAACCAGATGTCATCGCTGGGCTGGAGGCCCGAGGGTTTCTCTTCGGACCAAGCCTAGCACTGAGATTGGGTGCAGGATTTGTACCCATTCGCAAGAGGGGAAAGCTGCCTGGTCCAACTGAAACCGCAGCTTTCGAAAAGGAGTACGGCGCAGACCATTTCGAAATACAGAGCGACGCCATCAAGAAAGGGCAGAAAGTTCTCGTCGTTGATGACATTATCGCTACTGGAGGATCTGCTGCTGCTGCAGGCCAACTAGTACAGAAACTGGGAGGACGCCTGCTTGGATTCGTCATGATACTCGAACTCGACTTCTTACACGGCCGTGACAAGCTGCCTGCGCCTTGCTACACCCTACTCTCTAGCCAGTCCGCATCTGTTGCCTCCGAACCTTCCTGACAATACACATACCAATTAAAAGAAGCCAGTCACCAACGACATGACTATCAAGCCAACCGTTCATCTTCGCACAATGTGTGCAAATGGACAAAACATTATCATGGCCGCAGGTGTTCCGAGACACCTGCCAAGCGACTCGTGTAGCCCTCCTGTACTAGGAGGTGCTGCTGCTGCTGACTCAGGCTCGGAGCTTGTGAGTAACTAATCACTACAGCTGGGTCCAAATACTTGAACTACGGATGTCTTCGCAAAGGCGGTCCACATAACTATGAACATGCATGGAACTGGAGTCTGCAGCTTGACGACCATTGAAGATACCCTTGGATACCATCATGCCACGAAGCATTCTGGTCAAGTAAGTACTCTTTGGTCGAGTCACCCTTGTGTGACTACTCTATTTAAAACCACCAACGAGATCAATAATGGTCGACTCGAATCACATTTTGTCTTGACATATCCCCACGTTTTCCTTCCAAGCATCCTCGCCAATGAATCTCTTTGGCGCTATCCCATCATTCTTGTCCTGTGACAGTGGCTCCTAGCTTTGATATGCTCTTTCTCGTTCCCATATCATAAACACGGACCAACCCTTCTACAGCTCTCGATCCACGTGAGATCACCGTCTTCTTCCCCTGCCTTCAGTAGTTTCCGAAATCTAGCTTAACCTGTATATCCCTCCCCACCAACCCACCATCTGCAGCATATGCACACTCACCATAGTTTCCTTCCTCATCGCTGGGTCTAGCTATCTTCCTCTCACCATCTTGCGGGTTTTGGCAGGAGTTCACGAACCTAGCGCATGCCTGGTAGGTGAAGCTTTGAAGCCACACATATGCTTATTGGGTTTGCGCTCTTGGTGGATAAGTGCTTCGAAACCCCTTGGGCTAGGGCCAGCTTGAAAGAGAAGCGATGCACATAGCCGGGTTTGTCAGGAGCACAATTACGTCGCGATGGGTCCCCTTATGATGTCATGAAGAGATTTTCCTGCGTGCAAATCGGAAATGGTTCATAGGGAGAAATCGGTGTGGTCCGGAGCTGGTGCTTGTTCACAGGCACAGCCTCCGTTCCGACAGAGGATGAGCACACTCTAGAAGTTGGTCGTTGGAGTGAGCACCACGCAGACGCTTTATTGTGACGGCACAGATTTTGAGAAAATCGATCATGGCCAAACTAAGAAAGGGCATACGGTGATGGCAGTTGTGAACCTGACAAACGTTGTCCAACGGGGGGTCAAGCTTGGTATAGCTATGTGCTCAAGGAGTGTGGAAGAGTGGCCAGGGAACTAGCAAAATGGGAGATTTCTTACCCTATCGCTAAGAGAGTTACCTAGCGAAGAGTCTCATTTCGGACTAGTTGGTTAAGTCAATGATTACACCATAATCGGAGGCAGAGACAGACCTGCATCTCGTAAGCTTTCCGCCTCAAATGAGGTCTGTTCAGGCTATTTTGTGCCAGCTGGAAGCCGTATCCCTGGCATCAAGAGACAAAACTGCTCCCATGTTCTCATCTTCCTGTTAGGCCCACGGCTTAGTCCGATGTCTTAGGCTCAGTTTCCATCGATATCCTTTCGCTATTTCTCAGAAATGCTTCCGCAGGATAAAAACTCCTAGAATTGCTCTGGTCTCCCAGGGAATGTGTAGTTGGTTTTGGCTGAAGTTGGAAGATGATTGTGCTCGATTGTGGCCGTCATGCAATAAGTCAAACGTCATTACCCACTGCTAACATGTTCATAGCAGACTGAGCTTAGGATTGAGTACTACTTGTCCCAGTGAACCACAACAAGAACCGCAGCATATGTCGCCGTGCTTGCCATCATCAGGGTTCTGTTATACTGGCCAGAGCTTTTGCACGATTATGTTGCAATGGGCGCTGCTCGGCGATTATTTATGCATCGCGACAACGCTGGACAAACTTCGAAAGCATAATGGAACGGGCGAAGCACTTACTCATGCCCTGAGAGATTGGCCATCTCATCTAGGCGCCATCACAAGGCTTAAAGACCCAATTGACCACGATGACGCTTCCCAGGAATCAAGTGGTAGGCACCAAGCAGTAGTCATGGCGACTTAGAGATCGAACGCTTCCCCTAATACTTGTCAAGCGAGTCAAAGGTTTTCTTTGTCAGTAAGCTCGGGGTTAAATCTACGAGTTTCTGACTTTACTTTTCCTAAAGCTAGACCGGTTGCATTTACACTTTCTAGACAAGATGCGTAAGAGTTTTCTTGCTTGTACTTTCATTCATACCTTCATCACCGAGTTCCTGTTGCTGAAGAGCTCTCTGAACTGTCTAAACCCTTTGGCATTTAAATCGTAAAGTTACCATCCTCTCTCCACATCTGACCACCCCGTCCCAGACGGGTGATGTACTAATTGGACAGGGCGGTGCGAGGAAAAGCGTACAAACACTTGAACAACGGTCCCGCCATCAACGACAGTCCCAGCCCCCTATCTTCCCGTACCTTGAGACCCCATTCGGTCTCTTGCAGCGCCTCCCTAATAGTCGGTCGGTCAGCAGGTTGGACGGCAACAAGGCGGCAAACGAGGGAGTCAAGTTCCTTACTCACATGAAGCTGACTCAGCCAGCCTTGATTGAGCCCTGCTTTGACCTTCTCACAAGGAGCGATGTATAGCTGAGCCACGGCGCCCAGACCAAAGATATCAGTGGCTGTGGAGATCTGGCTGGGAAATTCCGGAGCCTTGGAACTACTCTTGCCGCCTGGCCCATCATGCACCTCGCAGGAATGCCACGGTTTGATGAATTGGGCGAACCCAAAATCACCCAGCATCACCCGTGTGGTGGGATCCGACTCGGTATTGTTGAGGAAGATCTGATCGGGTCGAATGTCGCCGTGCACGAGACTCACCCAACCCTTCACCTTGTCACGGTGGGATCTGCGCGCGTCAGCCAAGCATTTGAACCCGGTTTGCATGTACAACACCGCTTCCGCAACCTCATGCAGGATGTACCAGAGGAAGAACTCCTGCATCTCCAGACTGAGATATTTCTTCCGGTGCGAATCAACGAAATCACTCACGCTCCCCAACCGACATGGCTGCATGTACAGACTCCCTCGCTCCGGGGTAAAGAACCCGTCATAGTATTTTGGGATGTTGTGATGATCCAGCTTACGCAGCACGAGCATCTCTCGTCGCCAGCGCATGTGATCATGCCCGGTACATCGCGGTCGTGGGCGTAGGCGTTTGCGGACGGCAAGTAAGCCGTCGTGTTTGTTCACGACCAGATCGATGCCGCCGTTGAAGCCTCCATCCGGGTTGGCGACAGATTTGACGAGTCGCCAACTATCATCGATATCTTCGGAGGTGGGGATCGGGGAGCAGGTGTCGCGCTCGTAACGATTGTGCCAATCGTTTCGTTTGCTTAAGCTCCGCATGGCGGTGGTGGGTGTTGTTTGTGGTCTTCTCTTCGCCTGGAAGGAAATGAAAGAAGGGTTGCCGAGCTGAAGATTGGGCTTCTCGCTATGACACCAGAAGACAATGTGAAAGCTGTCTGAAAAACTGCTCAGACGAGGAGTTGGTCGTTGTTGTCGTGTTTGCTCGATATCAGAAGAACGAGCTCCGCCATAACGCGGAGCGCATACGAATGAGGAGATTTTATACTGGCGACAATCAAAGGACAGCCAAAGGAAAAGGGGGTCAAATAATTGCAATGCTTGGGATAACAAAGACTAACTTTATGCTACAAAGAACAGAGAATGAACAGCCATGCGCTTTCCATGCTCCTTTCCTTGTGTGTTGGGTGTTGTTTGTCTACCTTTGTCCTCGAACAACAGGACAATAGAGACAATGCCCCTCGCCTCGCCAACCCCGTGCCACGGTCACCCAGCCATACTCTCAGAGCTCTCTTTCTCTCTCCAAGGACAGGCAGCCAAATCAACAAGGAGTACCTTCATGAACACAACAATATGAAATACCCAAGTTGAATGAGTTTCGGAATGAGTAACAAAGGTTCAGGGTGGAATGCTTGACAAGAAGAAATCTAGGAGATTAGGCCAAGGCCATGAAGGGGAACGTCCAGCCCAAGAACAATAGACATAGACATCTACCTGTACGTACGCTTTCTCACAGCGCTGCAGAATGCGTCGCATTGTCAACACGAAAACCATTCAGTCATATACTTAGTACCACGAATGAAGTTTTCAACATGGCGTTGAAAATCAATACAGAAGCATGTGCAAGAGAGGGTCGCCAACAATTTCGCAGCATCGTGAGCACGGGTCTTAGGGCCAGAGACGTGATTGCCTGATCTCTTTCATCTTCTTTCAGAATTCATCGTGTTCATAATTGCGTACAAGTATGCTTCAAGTGAAACATCTTCTTTCATAATTCATAGTATCAGAAATTGTGTACAAGTATGCTTCAAGTGACCGAAGTTTTGTCTCTGTTTCGTATACGAATTCAATGAGGCTCCCATGTAGCATATTGATGGTCACCAAAATTATGGCATTATGCAAGACTTTGTGAGACCGTTTCCCCAGGGTACGAAGGTTATCTGGAATAGCCAATGAAGCCATCCCAGGCTCTGTCCCATCTCTCTGTCTTTGCTGGGAACCTGAGGCTTTCGGGTACAAGTCGCTCGAGAGGCTTCTGTGGTGCGCTGGCTGTACTGGAGCATAGGTAATCTGTAGTCTGTGATAGCTGCTGCCGAAGGTCCACACAGTGGCTCTTTGTCAGTGCTCACGCGTTCTAAAGCTGGTTCAGAGTCTGTAGCCAGCTCAGGGAACATGCAGTCTAAGAGAGATAGGCAAGTTTGTTCCGCGCTGCTTGCGAAATCGAGCACTGACCCTTGCAGTTCCCCCTCACTAGCAGACCCTCAGTCTAGGTTAATAGACTTGCCGAACCTTGCGTAAAGCTGAGCCTTCAGCCCCTTCATCTCATCTCTCAGCTCGTGCAGACTCTCCTCTAACCGTGACACCTCATCATCAAACTGCTTGGTGGCGAGTGAGAGCATTTCCTGAGCTTCGGACAAAGGGACCGACATGAACGAATCACCGACCTTGTAGCTGTGAATAACCTCTAAGATCAGATATATCAAAAACTGCTAGGATGTCTGCATGCTACGTACCGGACAAGCTCATCCTCATCCGCCAGTTCGAGCTCCGTTGAAACCTCTTCCAGATCTTCTTTGTCTTTCTGTCAGGGAAAACGCATCCTAGTGTCAGCATAAGACGTCCGACCGACACGCTACCAGAAAATTGTCGCGGAACATACAGCCCTTTCAAGCAAATGCAAGAAATGAAACAGACGGTCTGGGAAGTAACAGAAGAGAATTTCGACATCGGAAAAGAAAGCTTTTAGACAAGGCAAAAGTAGGATTTCACGAACCTGTTTGCCCTGCAGTTCCTCCTCGACGACCCGTTCCCGATTATGTAGTCGACTGAAAGAGTTGATTTTGTCTTGATCCTCCTTGGTCACCTCTGTATCGGGTCCAGTCTCTCCCTCCTCCTCCTTGGACAGCTTGAATCCGTCAGCATGGGAGTGTTAAGATTCCAGTCTCAAGGCTGCATATTCAACAATATTTCAAAGAAGAAGCGTAACATCTAGAACTAACCATTCGACGGGACAGCATTTTTTCAAAATCTAAGCTATGTTCTTCGATCCGGCCAATGGAAGAGCAAAAGGGGCTAAATAGCGAGGTGGATCTTCAACTGCCAAGGTAAGGAGAATCTGCCTCGAGCTTAACTTACCGCGCTAGGCCTAAGTCAGCGTGTTGCCGCTTCTTTCCCATCCTGGTCACACCCGGACCGGACCAATGTGGGAAGCACGTGACATCCGAACCCCCAAGTGGTTTGAGCTTCCCTTCCCCCTTTCCAGCTTCTGGCCCCCAAATGAGATCCCCTGTACACCTGCTAGAGTTCCACCAACCTCATCCCTCCCACGGGCTTCGGTGAGGGTCTGGGGCTGTGCCCTGCTTTAACTCAAACCCACTTTAACCAGGGGTGGTTGTGTGCCAACCGCTTGGCCTCCTCCTTTATTCCTTCTTAAATTGGGCAATGGAACGTATGAAAGAGGCCTTGATCACCCTCCAACCGCTAGGTTCTCCGGCCATGGTTCGGAATATTCAAAATACATCAAGGGCGTCCCTACCAAAGCATCGACGAACTGATGCTACATGGTATGATCAAGTCATCTTTACCGACTAACGAGCTCGTTGCGCCATATCTGGCGAACACATATTCTGTCCGCCCGATGGATTTTGAGAGATATCACCACTCATCATGAAGTCTTCAATCCTAACGCCTGCTAGATCCTACCAGCTTCTTACCAACAAGCTACTACGTAAGTTAAGGTGGAGTCCACCTACCACGCGGCCTGGCATCCATTCCGCTCATAGGCTCTCCGGAATGGCTGATCCGAAAAGGATGCAGGTCTTAAGACAAGGACAATATATCACTTCCAATGGCAGTTGGCTCAATGAGATGATTCGAGTATGAGTGAACCTTTTGTTTCGCAGGCCAGTTGGGCATGATTTGAGGATTTGTCGGGCGATGTACTGACTCCTACCACTTCCGTTGTGCAAACATTGCTAAGACTGGGAGATGAAACCCTTTTCGCTTCTCGACGGTTTCCTCAAACTTCGATCAGACTGAGGATGACCTGAGGATATCCTCGCCGATTATCGAACCAGGAATAACAGTGGCCTAGGGCTTTCTGTTAGATGCTGATAATTGTAAAAGGCGTTAGTTTTGGATTTATTACCCTGAACAATATCGAAGACCGGAATTTCTGAGGGGTAAATCTGGGCATGAAGAGTGGGAATGATGATATAGATACATTGTTTCCCATCGTCCTTCCATATGACAGTAACCTCTCATTTGATGAGAAGCAAGGTCCGATAGGTGGATATTCCTCCTGTACTGAGTAAACCTACACACCATATGACTAGTGACAATGAGGTACCAATTAATAGGTTTTTCAGGCAATATTTCCATGATATGCCATTTTAGTGTCGAAACAAATCTCAATGGTTAAAGTCGAAATATCAGGCTCCCCCTCCACCAAGGATAGTCCCTAAGAGCGAGAATGTTCCCCAAATAACTCCCTGATGGATCAGCTTTGGCGGGCAGTACCTACGACTGAATCAACTTCCGAGCATGACTAGTGAAAATGGAAATCTTGAGGGAACTTACAATTGACCAGCTAAACGTACAAAACCTACCCAAAATATCCAGCTGGCTAACCATACTGAGGTAAGACAAATTGTTATAGCCAACATCACATATGCCGTTCCCACTTTGGGTTTTCCGATGTCGAATCGGCCGGCGGCGACAATGATCAAACCGATAGCTAAGAGCCACGAAAACGAGCCGACGATGAGGTAGTATAGTGCGCCCGAATACATCATATGTGCGCCTGGAGGCAGTGAGCGATGTAAGTCGGTATGGACGAGATAATAGCCACGACCCGCGGCAAAATGTGCTGTGCGACCCATAATATATAGCGCGATAAGCTGTAGAATGAATTCCGCGATGAGATGGGACATGAAGGAGGACCACCAGGGAAAAAATCTTCCATTGGTACGCGAAGAAGATCCGCTGGATATGACGGAAAATGCACCGAGCACAATCCAGGAGAGCCGAGGTCGAGCGGCGAAGAAGAGTACAAGCTCCCACACTGCAAAGTCGGCGTAGAAACCTGACGTGTTCTTGATGATGGCGGCAATTATTGCGTTCGCTGTAAGTTGTAGACCAAGCGGGAAGATCCACATGTATCGCCATGACGTGGATGAGTTTCCGAGCATCCCTCTGCTAACGCAGCGAATTACCCTTTGATGGCCGAATATAATTGCAATGAGACTAGTCACACCATTAACAGCAACAAAGGTTGCTAAGATCGAGGAAGCGGACGGGCATGGGTGCAAAGTAGGATCAGTGGAGGTTATTGTCCAACTCCAAGGCAAGAACGAAGACATTGGACGTGTGGATGTATTAAACTTCGGGGGTCTGGGAGGTGGTCCAGAACTCCATATGCCGGAAACTCCAAGTTCGATATAGCAAATGACAGAGAGAAGGAATTGGGGAAAAGGGAGGATTCAAGACCATCTCACCTCTTTAAATTTCTCAATTCAGCAACAGAGTCCTCATGTCTGAATGAGATTGCTGGCGCTAGGATTCTCATATAAGTATAAGGCAACAAAAGCCACAATCCGAGAGAAAAGGTCTGCGTTGTGGCTGAAGCAAGAACCCTACTTGGGTGTGTTATCAAAGCTAGTAGTTAGAATGGATCTATTACCGCTCCATTGGGAGAACATAACGCCACATCCCTCAACTAGACGTTCTGCATACTAGTTAAGGCGTTACGCTCAGCCTTCAGTGGGCTGGGGCAGCTAGACTTTTGAAGCCTTGGGGTTGATTCGGCCGGCATATGAAATGTTTGCAGCTTTTAAAAGCTACAAATGAAATCGATCGCAGGGGAGGCGTTGCCAGAATTGCACAAAGGTCCGCACTGCCTCACATGGCAGGAGACATGTTGATGTTGCATTTGCGTCCGAGGGAAAAAGGCAAAGCAGTGGGAAACAGCACAGCTGCGAGCGGATGATGGCCAGTATCGTTCACTGACAGCAGTGACCGTCCTGATGCAGTTTGTACATTGAATCTTCTAGAGTCCTTTGCAGAGACCACGGAGTGTGAAATAAGTTGGGCAATGTTTCTGACTGCATGCCCATGTTTGATGATGGGGGCTCCTGCCTCCCGCCTCCCGCCTTTGTTGTAATCCGTAGTCGTAGCCCTGCGGCCCGCCCCCTCAGAGGCTATTGGAGGAAGGAAAATGGTGAAGGGGTTGAGATAGGTTCACGAATTGGGACTAGAACAGCGTTCTATAAAAAGTAGCCGCAAAATTCCCGCCTTTAGTTACTTATGACAGAGGGCCAAAGGACGTGCTCGAATTGTTCTCTAATGTCCATCACGTAATGCCTGAGCCACTTCGGCCGGCTCTGCCTACAGATTACATTAAGCAGCAAGGCTGAGGATAAGAACATCTCCAGATCCTTAGATGTCAAATGGTCACAGCAAGAGCAACCGAAGTGCTGATGGGTTGAACTTAGTAAACTTTCAGTGCACCCTTTCTTCAAGAAGCAAGGAGGGGTGGGGGGTTTCCCCTGAGATCTACTACTGTAGGAGGCATAATTGATCGTAGCACGGCGCTAGTAGCAGCTAGTTCGGATCCAGCGCCACCTCAGTGTCTAGAAGCTTGTTAGACAATTATTGGTATCAATTGGCCACAGTAATACCGCTTAACCGTTCAAAGCTTAGCTGTCTCGTTTGAAGTCTGTTTTAGTGCAAATATACTAGCGCCGTGCTACGAATACTTATGCCAGGTACCGTAGTAGGATCCTAACCTTTTATATCACCTGTGCAGTAGGCGACGAGATGTGTCAATGCATAAGCGCCGTAATCGCTGGGTAAGGGCCAAAAATTTTAACAAGCAACCCTTTTGGGCCTGGGCAGGGAAATCGTCTCTATATTGACCCCGATCAGTGGTGATACTATTTCCAGCCCCTTTCATGCAGAACTCAAACTGGGGTTTGCAACACTTCGTAAACTACGTAGGTGTGTGATACTTCATAAACAGCATGGCTGGCGCCATTTCCAGCTGATCTAGTGCGCCCCTTCTAGATGCTAGCTTTCTGGCTGGCTTTTTCCATGTTTATCCTGGCAGGTGGATCTCCACACCGTCCGTAGGACTCCACTCGCCCTTGGATGTGGTGACAGTTGAAGAAATATAAGGGGTTACGGTGCAGACTCGTTCATAACATCTTTGTGCTGCATAGGTATTACAAGTGCCAAACCTGTGAACACTGGGTGGATAATTCTGCAGTTGCACCAACTGAGTTTTCTCCATCATTCAACTGTTGAACATTACATCCCTTTATCGCCGTAACATACTTCAAAGTCCCTACAACGCCAACAGTAACAGAACCAACAGTCGGGGATGAAACCGCTACATATCGCTGTCAGGAAGGGAAACCACAGATGATGAAATTGCTACTAAGGTTTAGACACGCAACTGATAATATATACAAACGATTGTCTAGGGAATCATATAGCATGACCCTTTTATATTTAGTGGTTTGTCGGCTTTTATCAAACACTGTTAAAAAGATGTGGGAGCATCGTTAAATGAGCTTCACGAAGGAGAGAGATTTAGAATAGAATATAGAACACCTGGAATATGAGAAATGACAAAGAGGATGCACTTTTAAAGGAACTGAGGAGAGAGAGGTGGGATGATTGCGGAGGTTTAGGCTTTGGTATCGTGGTTTACCACAGCGCAACAGACAACATTACTCATGCGCCACATGATGTGAAGTTTGGCTCCTCTGGTCGATTGAGGCGATTGCCAACACAGTGACGATGGAAAATGAAGTTAAAGTCGTGCGATGCTCACCTATGAATCACCCTTGTGCAGTTGATTGGTGGGTAAGCATGGAGGTAGGTGATTGCAGAGCAGATTTCCCTCTTCTTCTGTTGCCAAGCGACCATGCTGGATGAGTTCACATTCTTGCTTTCTCCTCGAGAGGGTGTAATCAACCAACATTCATGCATATTCATTCATGTCCCTTCGCACACTGACACGTTTTCTTGTGACTATCCTATTCCCTATAGCATCATTTTGCACCATATATCTGTATCTTTACCCAATATTCCACAATGGCTGCGCCTTTCCCGTAACCACCCGCTCCGGAGCAGGCGCAGCAGCAGCTCAACACTGGCCGTTCAGTTCACTAGTACAAGATGATGAGAAACAAAAGCAACCACCAAGGCATCATCTACGTGCCCCATTCCGGCTCCTCGTGCTAGCAGACCCCCAACTGGAAGGCGACAGCTCGCTTCCGGACCCTGAGGATGGATTCCTCCGCCGCCTTGCGCGACACGGAGAGCGTGTCTTCGCGCCCAATCAGAAAAAATCACATCGCAAGCAGGTCATCAAGACAGCACTGAAGGGTCTATTTTTCAGGGATATACCCGAGGTTCTGCAGGGATGGCGTAAAAGGTTGGACCTGTTTGGCAACGACTACTATCTCGCTCATATATTTCGGACGCTTCATTGGTGGACGGACCCAACGCATGTCACGGTTTTGGGAGACCTGCTTGGGAGTCAATGGGTGACAGATGAGGAGTTTGAGGCTAGGGCGTGGAGGTACTGGAATAGAGTGTTTGCTGGTGGGCGGCGGGTAGAAGATGAGCTGATAGACACCGCCCAGGGGTCCCCGGATTCCCACAATCTTCTTGGAATGAAAGTCACAATAGACCACGGTTGGAAGGACCGTGTCATCAACATCGCTGGAAATCATGATATTGGTTACGCCGGAGATATCTCAAAAGCACGGATCGCACGCTTCGAAAGGCACTTTGGACGTGCAGATTGGGATATACGATTCAATCTCCCAGGTTCAGAAGAGCAGAACATCCCTACCATTAATCCTTCCTTGCACCTGATTGTGCTAAACGATCTCATCCTCGACACACCAGGCTTCGACCCAGATATCCAATCCGCATCCTACAACCACCTAAATTCAATCATAACTCAACGCTCCCAACCTGTAGAAGACAAAAGTTCATTCACTCTTCTCCTCACCCACATCCCTCTTTACAAACCGGAAGGGAACTGCATCGATGCTCCCTTCTTCGATTTCCACCACTCCGACGATTCAGCTGGCGCGTACAGATCCGGCGGGCTGAAGGAGCAGAACCATCTTAGCGAGCACGTCAGCCGATCCGGAATCCTAGAAGGCATTTACGGAATGAGTGCCAACCCGAATGCAGCTGGGAACGGTAAAGGGAGGAAAGGATTGATTTTGACCGGGCATGATCATGAGGGTTGCGACGTCTGGCACTATCTGCCTGAGTCTGCCACTGACCCCACCACTAGCGGGCACCGATCTGATGAGGAGGTGAAGTTCGGAGGCTGGGAGAGCATTCCGTGGCGCAATTCCAATATCAGTGCCTCGCATACTGGCATTAGAGAAATCACTCTCCGAAGCATGATGGGAGAGTTTGGTGGAAATGCGGGGCTCTTGAGCCTTTGGTTTGATTTTGAGACGGAGGAATGGCAGTACGAGGTACGAATGTGTCGCTTGGGTATTCAGCATTTCTGGTGGGGTGTTCATGTGTTGGATTGTATCACGATATCCATGGCGCTTTTGTGGTTGGTAGCCTCACATTTGTGTGCTTCGCCAACAAGCGTTGAGGGTGACAAGGTCGCTCCCGAGAGAGCTGTAGATGGCCAGGTGGTCACTGGGAAGAGGGAATAGAAATTGGAGCTCGGCTTCTGACTGCGCTGAGCGCAGATCATTCGCATTCGCGATACTGTTGGCAGTCCTGGTAGATACATAGCTAACAAAATCGATGTCGTGATTGGGAATGTCATAGTGCTGTTTGATTTTGCCGCATAAAACCAGTCAGCTGCGTAATAAAAAGTGTGACCGAAGTCCCCCTCTTATCCTCTCCTTACATCACCCGTTCAGTCCAAAAATCTGCTGATCTTAGCAATGATGCAGACTCGAAAGGGGTTTGCTGTATCTTCTTGAGCTCAAACAGCGCTAGAATAGGAGGCGATTTTGCCGGAAGAGTAACGAGAAGGCTCGAGCACGGGTGGACACAGAGCTTCTCAGCGCGATGCCTCTAAGGTTCCAAAATCGTTGTCTTGATTTCGTTGCCATGCAACTACTCTCACAAGGTCAAGCGCTGCTAATGGGGTTTAGACGATATGGTCAGTACACGCTGGTTGTTATGCAAGCTGCGAAGTAGAGTGCGGCTGCTACGCCAGCCCTCAATTTCGTGAAGGCGGTGCCTCATACATCCCATACTCATGTCACTTGTTGAATGTCCATGTCGATTGACCCTCGAATGCTGCCTTGCAAGTTTTCTCCAAAGGGCCGCGCCATACATTATCTCTTTGCTGTGAAAATCCAACGTATGATCGTGGATCGACTTAGCCAACGGAGATTGGTCGGATCGAGGTGGCGAAGCGAAGAAGGAAGGTTATATAGTTGAATTATTTCCACTCATTTCCAAAATATGGAAGCCACTGCCCACAGGAGTAAATTGCTCTCCAAAGACTCGAAGTAAAGACCTTCACCTTCTAGAATCGCAAAGTTATGGGTTAAGGATCGAGATTCTGGTAGGATGTTGCCTCCGAAGCCGCTCTGGTTCTGGATGTCGAACTATTGGCTTCCGTGCTATTCATCTTCTTGTGCTTCTCACCACCAGTTCCATTAGATCGCACGACTTTCTTGCCAAGGTCATCGAAGCTGAGACCACGGATATTGAGCCCAGTCTCGTCGCTCTTGGGGCCTATCGGAACTTTCTCAGCAGCTTCATCGCCCTTAAGAGCTGGCGGTCGTTCTTTCCTTGCACGTGCCTTTGCCAAGCTGACGGTTTTTTGTTTGTTAGTGGTCTCCAAGCCGAAAGATGGATCGTACTCAATGGTCGCCTTCATCAACGCTGCCATCCATTTTCGACCGTCGTGCACACTATCGACCTGGAAATAGTGGATTGTTGGTTTGGTGAACTGGACAGCGCGTGACAGGCCAGCCTTAGGAGGAATGAGTTTGAATATGAAAGGTGCTCCAGCTGAGGCCGTCCTGCCTCGAGCAGTAGAAGACCCGGCATCACTTGAATTTGCGGGTGGTGATTGGTCAGCAGCTGATGACGCCGAGCCGGTGATGGTGGCGTGTAAATTTGTGATGGGATCTTGATCAGCTCGGAGCACTTTGTGGCTGGAGATGTCAATCACTCCACGCTCCTGAGTATCATCTTCCGAGTAATAATACGACAAGCGACGACCACGGAGAAAGAACAATCTTGGTTTCCAAGTCGTCATGAGACTTGAGGACTTCTTCTTCATCCATCCGGAATAATCACAATCAATGCGCTGCTCGGCAGGAGACTTCTTTTCCAATCCCTTTGTATACGCGCTTGTGTCCTTCTTTGTCTTCGACTTACCCAGAGCGGGTGTTCTTGATGAGCCAGTAATTCCTGGCGCATCTGTGCCTTTTGAGGAAGCGTCTACATTGTCTATATCGAGGCTTCTTGAGGTTGCTGAAGGTGTAGTGGACCCGGTCCGTGAAGGGGAATGGAGGGGGCTATCTTTGAATGAAGATGGAATTGATGTCGGTGAAGACACCAATGCCCTTTCATGACCAGTGACAGCATCCGAGATGGCGCGTAGGCCGAAGCGTTTCTGCTTGACGCTTGATTTACCAGACGTTGGGGGAAGGGGCGAGGACGTACCGCTCGCGTCACTTCCAGCCCGTGGAGAGGGAGTCGGTATTCCTGGACTTTGACCTCCCTCCAAATTTGTCACAGTTGGAGACAGTATGCTGCTGGAAGATGCTCCAGTCACCGTTCGAGCACTTGCTGATCGAAATCGGTTTTTGAAACTCTTGCTGTGATAAGCTTGGGCAGCGGGAGAAGTCACAGCGGGAAGAAAGTCTCTTATCGAATCAGCACTCCCGATTCTGGAATGTCTCTTCTTCGCCGCAAGGTCACGCTTTTGTTGGTCAACGTAACTCGACTGCCGAGAGTGACTGGCGCTAGCAGTACCATCTCGCTTTCTCAGGAACTTGCGAACTTTGTGAGGATCACTTTCGGGCCCTGAAAAGTAACCCCGATCAAGATCAGCTGAAGGTTGCTGCTTGGGTGCGGACGAGTCAGACTTGTCAGCGGTGCTCTTTGAGAGGTCCGGGTTCGATCGGCTTGTCATATCCGGATGGCCATGCGATGTTGGCACAGTACTAGTCATCGACCAGTTACGGTCGACCGAAGGTTGCTTCTTGTGCGAGGGAAACTTGCTGGAGATGCTTCCTGTTTGGCCTTTGGTTTCAAACGTGGGCGAAGTGCCAACGTCCATGGATGAATGCCGGCGTTTGTGGCTCATGTCCCTTATAGATGCGGCCGAGGGGCGAGAGGGACTTTCCTGGGTAGAAGCACGCCAGGGCGAGGCAGCAGAGCCAGCGGGAATATTTGTCCGGCTTCTCGAAACCGAATGGGACTGAGTTTGCAAAGGGGCTGGTATATGTTCTCTATGGTTATCTCCATAAGATGTGGTGTGTTGTGTTAGTCGAGAGACCGTCTCTGAATTCTCCATCAGACTCGGAATTCGTGGAAGTTTGGTCCCTGACGAGCCAATGCGGCTCTCCAGATCGTCAGCAGTCCCAGGTGCAGCTGAGGTGTAAGAAGCAGACTGCACTCCCCTTGCCTTTGTGCCCTTGACCTCTTCCTGGAATTGCCGGATTCTGTGCCATGTTTTCAGCCTCCTCCCCATGACTCCAAAGTTGTATTCTTTCATGTGTATGAACTCTTGATCCATCTCGAGAAGTACATCACCAGATATTTCTTGCTCCTCGAAAATGTCGCAATGCTTCGAGTCAATCCCTATTTGGCGAAGGTAGTGGGCTGTCTCTTGTGGGGTCCACTTCTTTACATCTGCCGGACTAAGCATCCCCTCTTCCTCTGCTTCTTCTTCTTCATCAGTTTCAGGACCCGCAACATGAGACACAGGGTTGTCAAAATTGCTGCTATATTCACTGGCAGAGTCGTGCGCCACAACGCTGTGTCTTGGAGTGCTCAAATCAGTTATATGCTCATTGATGACGCTCAGTGTTTCGTTCATGACGGGACTGTCCTGCCCACTCTTTGATTGACCCATCGCTTGAGAAATGCTTCGCGGAATGCTAGGCATGGGGGAAGAGGATACGCTGCTTGGTGAAGACGGGAGCTTGGCTTCAGATGAAAACGGTGCAGCTTGATTGGAGAGGTGGACAACCTTTGCTGATACCTCTGAAGAGCTGGTGTTTTTTGACTGTTCAGAAATTGCTTTCACTTTGGCAGACGGCTCCGAGCCCGAGCTGCTCAGAGATGGGTTGAGGGTATTTGGCCGGAAGACTTCAGTCTCCGCAGGCAAAGATGCACGAACGGATGGGGCAGAGATGCGCATAGCTGATGACCATCCAGACATTTTCTGGGTGTATACTGATGATAAGACGTCAGCAACTTTCATGCATCCGCAACATCAAGACTTCTCCCCTACCTCCTGGAAATAATCCTGTGCGACCACCAGTCAGGTGTTTCCCAAGATACCAGCCATCCCCAAAGCCATCATCTAGCTCAACCAGCGTGATCCTATCTCCTCTTCGTAAGGTCAACTCATCTGCACTCCTAGCATCAAAATCATCTGCTCAAAGTCAATGCGACCTTCATTGTGCTAGCATGCAGCACTTGGAACTGCCATTGAACACATACGGACAACTATTAGAACATCGCCCGGCTGGCCCCCTCCTGCTCCACCCCCTCCTTGACTATTAGACTGGTGTTGATATGCCATATCTGGAATTAGAGGATTCCTTGCCCGATGGTCAAATAAACGACATCATGGATGGTATCGAAATTGGAAACAGGCTGCGGACTTGTTGTTCATTGGACGGTGGGAGCACAGTGGTGGAAGTATCAAGCCCAAAAACCCAGGATGTATGCCTTATCACAGGAAAACAGCGCGCTCTGGTGATATTAGACAGGTGGTAGGACAAGTCCTTGTACCTCCATCCAATGCTTCAAGTCGGCTCTTGTGTTACCATTCCAGTTACGGCCTTCTGTGCATCCTTTGGAGTAAGGTAGGATCGGACTGAACGGAAGTTGATGAAAAGGATATTGACGACACTGATATCAAATATGTTGTAGGAGATGGACACATGTGAGGAGAAACGATAACAAGAGAATAAGATAGTTGAAGCTAGATGCTGGCCTTATGGACGGAACCAAAATAGATGGCCAACTCTGGGGGATGAAGCACGGGCGATTCTCTCTTCATGCTTGGCCGCCTCCAAAATTGGCTCTGGCCCCAAATCGTCTGCCGCGGCCCGCTAGCGGTGTTCAAGAATTCATCTCCACCTACAGTAACTCGCCCTTGGAGCTCTCGTATGCATTCGGGAGGAGACGGTTGTGGGAAACATACCACCACGAAGTATCTGGCCTGCTTTCCCGGAGCGTCTTGACATCTTGCCTGAGCGCATATCCAGCACTCAGACTCCCACAAGCATATGGAGCATACTCCACCCTTCAGCATGATCATGCAGACATTGTGTGCACACAAGCAAATCCTTTGCACATTCACGCACTATCCACTAACTGCATCAAGTCAACTACATCTTTACAGTTCATTTGTACATCAGCCGCAGGTGCCAGTTCGTCTTCGCTTGCTGTCCGCTTCTACTTCTACGTGACTGCACAATGCAGCAGCCCCCGATTAATCGTCAAGACCTACTAGCTGCGAGGAAACTTGCCGAGTCAAATGCTACCACGAATTACTTCCTTGGTGCAACCCGACGCCCGTGGATGACAAATGCCGTCACCATACCCAGCCTCCCGGCTGAGAGAGGGGTGCTTCGATCACCAAGAGGAAGAGGTAAAGGTACCGCTGCTACGAATACAGTGTCGGGACCTGCAGTACCAAAAAGTGTACAAGACGGTCGTCAGGCTCGAACTACCGCAACACCACAATCTATTGCGAGTAATACCGCTTCATCCCTTGCTGAAAGCCTGAGTGCGCCCCGTGCAACGACTGAGATCACGAGGAAAAGATCATTAGATGTGGCTGACTTGGATGTCAACACGGGACGATGTTCCGGATCTCATCCAGGGGGGCAACCGAGCACGGCTTCGACAGTGCCATCAGCAGAAGCTGCTCGAACATCCCATCCCCTCCGAGTCCCGGACAGTCCAGTCTTAGACAAGAACGAATCACAGTTGGTAATCAACTCTGCACTTTACCGCCTGAATAGTTTTCAGGCAGAAATTGTGAGGTTAGGCATGATCGAGACTCATAGATTTTCGCTGTTGAGGGAAGCCTGCGTCAAGAATGATCTGTTCTATCTTTGCATCCACCAGATGTTCTGCATTGTCTCTTTGAATCCTCGATGGCCTTCGATGAATGGACTAAACGAAGATCAGTCTGCTGGCCTCGGTCTTCTGTCTTTGATTTTGTTACACAATAAAGATGTGTCCGTGGAAGTCTTGCGTTTCTTCGCTAGCCTCCCAGCTCCCATTGAAACGCTTATCAAAGGACAGATCGTTTACAAAGATATCATGGGGATGGTAGCAGTCTTTCTCCAACGTTTTGCAACCGGCTGGGACATGCTCCGGGAAAAGTGCTTCAAGAGAAAGTTTCCGCCTTTTGTGGAGGAGCTCATTCATGTTTTCGAAGTGCATTCTCCTGTCCTTCAGAAAGTTCTCTTCAACTCAATTCACAGACAACTTGGCGGTGCGAATAACGCAAAACTGTGCCGGCAAGGTCTGATTTTGTTTGACACAAATCAAAGTCAGTATCGGGCTCAAAGGATGAGGGACGCAAGTGCGGATCCTAGGGTTCAGACAGTAATTCTAGATGAACTTAGGCTGCTAGGAGAACGATACAAGGAACTTTGGAAAGAAGCCAATGAATCAACCGGTCAAGGCCCACTCGGCAGAGATGTAGTGACATTTGAACGGTCAAGACCTCCACCGCTTTACATCGCCCCGAATGAGTATGCTTCTGGTACATTGCCTACTCGACATACGTTGCCATCACTACCTCAGACTGTTGAGCAACAGCAGCAGCGTGGTCATATGCAGTGGGTTTCAGCCCCGAATCACCTAACTCGGGCACATTCCACGAACGATCTAAGGGGTAACAGTGCGTTTGCCAGTGGACCAAGTTCAGCCACCAGAATACAACAGATAATCAGCCCAAGGATTCCACCCAATTTCGTGCTACAGTCATCACCAAGTGGCGCTGATAACTTCCCAACACGCGTGGCAGGCAATGCAGGGCAAGGGCCGGTACCTCCACAGAGACGAGGTCGGCCACCTCTATCGAGTCGACCTGTAGTACCTCATATACCTACATCTGTAGCTCAGCATAGTCATGTTGGTCGACGTCGCCATCTTGACTCTCGTTCTCCACCAATCCACTGGTCTACCCGTCATCACTCGTTCATTCCTGCTGCCGGATACGAGCCCATACAGACGTCGGTTCCAGATCCAAGCCGCCTCGCACTTCATCAAGCATACCTAAAAAGTCCCATTGCCGAAAAGATCAACGGAATTGGCCAGGTCCAACCAGAAGTTAGGCTATATCAATACCTGGAATCATTTGCCGTTGCACCGAAGGCCATAGACCCGGAAAGCTCTTCACTCTGTTGGGAATTTTGCACCACCGTATCTGACATGTCCAAGAAAGCGGTAGACATGACTGCATCGGATGGACAGGTAAAGCGGCAGGTATCTGATGGGTGCCTCTTGTACCGCCTTCGGTCAGTTGAGGTTGCTCAGTCCTTTCATGCTATCGAAGCAAGCGAGTGGAGCGTCAAAGACATGAGCTGGCCACCAGGCTGTTTTGTGACTATCAACGATGTCGAGATTGAGCTCAGAAGAAAGATTCACCATGGCAAGGACCTACCGGTTGATCTGACACCACATATTCGTGAAGGGGCAAACAACATCATGATCGGCCTCCTACGCAGCCAAGAGGGGACGAAAGCAAAGCGCTATGCGATGGCAGTAGAAATTGTGGAAGTTGGCGACGAAACTCGAATCAATTCTGCCCCAACCATGCTAGCTGCCGATGATTCGCTCCGATCGATCACCCAGGCCTTGAAGGCACCCTATGGCACGACTGCAGGTGATGATGACGAAGTGCAAGTGGTCGACTCTCACTTAAGCATCGACCTAATCGATCCATTCATGGCTACCATTTTCGACATTCCAGCCCGTGGCAATGCATGTACCCATAGAGAATGCTTTGACATTCAGACATTCTTCCAAACACGCAAATCTCGAGTGAAGGATGGGCCTACGAGTCCTGACGAGTGGAAATGCCCTATCTGCAAGCAAGATGCTAGGCCACAGAGCCTAATCGTGGACTGTTTCTTGAAGGCTGTCAGAGATTCTTTGGTGACATCAGGTGCTGCTGCAAATGCAAGAGCAATTTTGATCGGTACTGACGGGAGTTGGAATATCAAAAAGGATGATGACGATACAGTGGAGACAAAAGAGGACCCGAATGCAACAATGGCGGACTCTCTAGCGACGAGCAAAGATACGGTACCTGGATGTGTTCAACGGACTGGGAATTTAGTGATTGCGATTGATGACGACTGATGAAGCTTATGACTATTGCATCCAAGACAGTGCTATGGTACTGTATTCACCGATTTCTATGGGAGGAGGCGGCTGCTTCTTGTTTTTGCTTTCCAACCTGTACACTGAGATACCCTATTTGCTTATGAGCTTTGGCGAAGGTGCTGGGGGCGTGCTTTGTTTGCTCTGTTGCATTTCCACAATGAGATTCTCAGGCCACTGTGTCAGGAAAATTTGACTTATGTGCTCCCACAACGATCTGCTCCTACTACACGTTGTACCATAGATTGGAATAATAGGAGTCGTCATAGCATTTGAATGCTTTGCCGTCCGGTTGCTATGTGTGCCCACAGGACAGCTATTCACAGAACCAGGGAAATACTTGTGACTGCCAACAACCTGGCAGGACCCAACAGCATGTTTACCGTCACTCTTCTTTGTCTCGTTCAACAGTGCAGTTCTGGCTTCTTGGGCCGACAAAGCCATTGTTCTTTCAACAATGCTTGATCTTCGTTCAAGTGTGTCCTATGTCGCCATTGTCTAATCCAAAGATATAAATTGGATCCATACTTCCACCGAGTAACTCCTCCTCAGTCCTCTCCTACAACCAAGCTACTACTCATCTCAATCCCACAAGAATCTCAGCCAACATGTGCATCTTTACTGATTACCTCTACGCCTGCAATCACCGATTCGCCAAGCACTCATTCTGCACTCACCCTTGTGCCAATTCCGAAGACTTCCATGGCCACGGCCTTAGCAAGATAAATCCCATGAGCAGCAGCCAGAACTGTCCAGACAAACAAACGAAGGAGATCGTCTTTCGGTTCGCCTGCCCTAAATGCTGCAAAAAACATTCCAAAGATCCAGATACAGCTCCCATATTCATCAACGACGAGCTCTGGCAACTTTCCGAGGTTAGATCACGTGGCGAGCAGCTATGCACCATAGATTCCTGGGTAGAGTCCAGTAGCTATGACGAGTCTTGGGGCAAACGCAGCGTCAGTCCGAAAGGTAGGTCTGGCAGTGGAGCTCGAACGCTGAAGAACGTCGCGCGAAACGTGCTGGGTCGGGTGAAGAAGACTTTGCTGCGGGATCGTGAGCCTGATGATGGGTTCACGGAGAAGGAGATTGAAGAGCTATTTGTTGAAGATCCACGACGGGAAGGTAGGCGACCCCTCCAAGCATCGATGGGCTCGGCGAGTCTTGGTACGAAAGTGATTAAGGGAGATAGATAGGTGGAGGGGCAGTCAACTAGGGGTGGGAGGTTCGAGGCGCTGTAGTTCGCTGAGAGGAGGCCCTGCAACCATGACTTTTCTTTCCTGGCGGTGAGAGTTAATATGTGTCAGCTGATTCAATGAGAAGCATTTCCAATCACTGAAACTGTACCCTCCCAGCACCTGCAATCCGTGATTTGGAGATGTGCATTTAGAAAACAAGTGGATTACACTCGAAGACTATGTCAGTATGCTCAGAATACCAGACGTGTGGCCTGGTTAGTGAAAACCGAGGTGGCTTGCTAGATGCAGCAGTCGAGTGACGTAAGAAACCAATTCTTCGTCCTTTTCTGTTTGTTTTAATCATTTTTGTAACTAATCCGGAGTTGATTAGGTAGAGTTGGGAGCGTTCGGAGATAGGGGTTATAGCTGTGGTGGGTGAGAATTGTCAAGAATTTCGGCACCTGGCTCTGGGCTCATCGCAGTCTGATTGCTCGTCTTTCCAGTGATTCAAGCCATATTAATCACCTATTGTCATGCTGTTATACTTCTGAGTATGCCAGAGTGGATGTAGTACGCCGCCCTCTTGTTCCTCTCCATCGACTTCAAACCACCCTCCACTTTCTTTCAAGCTCCTTCACTTGTCTTGTCTTCCTAGTACGTCCTTTTTGCCGAATTATATGGTTCGTTGTTTGATTGACAAACACCTTCATGATGTAGAGGCTTTCCTGGCATATTATCTTGAATGACAGCCTCCTTATGTCACCAAGTTTGTGCGTAGAGGCCAATCAAGAGCACTCACCTTCAGTGAACTTTGACATCTGTCAGAACGATCTTGCAGCTGCAATAGTCGTATAGAGATATTAGCCACTGTCCCACTAATCCAAGGTCAATCATCCCCCTCTCATACAGGAGACGCTTGTGAATCGCGTTCATAACAACGCGTGTTCATCTTGTAGCGCGTTCAGTTCTTTTTTTTTGGCTGTGCTTCTCTCCGTAGTGCCCTATCCAATTTGGAGGCTCTCTCTTCGTCTCGCTGTCGCTTCAGCTTTGTAGCTTCTGTAGGCGTATACAACGCCGCCTTTTGGTAGCTGGCGCTTGGAATTAAAGCTGGTGTCTGGTCTTGTTCCACAGGGCCAAAATGTCAGTACACCGTTCCGAAACACAGACGGTTAACAGCTTGATATTTTGAATACTGAGAGATGTACCATTCTATGTGGCTTTAGACAGTTCTTGACACCAGAAGCTGACTTTGCTAGTCGAGATAGGTTCTTCCAACGAAAGAAGGGTTCTACTCGTATCTGGTACCTCGGGCATTTTGTCCAATGTAAAAGTCCTGATACCAAGGAAATCGATAACATATCTTGCAGCGAAGCGAGTTCTGAGTTCCCGGCATCGCATCGACATATCAGAGCCAAGGAATGTGCCTCTTCATCCTGCCCATGCCCGCGACATGGTACAAGGACAACTGACACTTACCATGCTCCCAACATGGAAGGACACCTGAGGAGCTTTCATCGACCAGTCTTGTATACTGAGTATTGTCTACTTCCCATGTCATCATAGAACACGATGCCCAAGACCCGTGCTATGATCAGAAAACATAAGCATTGTGGGGAAAATTTTGCTGGACACAACGCCAGCAAACGGAGGACGGACAAATCGTTATTCGCCTTTGCTTCGTTCTCGAATGGTTAGGCAGTACAGCAGTGACTGCTAATCTGGCAAGCCAGTTGCTATGTGCCTTGATTAAGAAATTCCCATCCGGAGAGTCCAGGACATCGTCCCAACATCCTATTGTTTTAATGGGCGGGTCCGGCGCCAGATCTTCTGCATGCTCGCATCTCTTCGGCGGATCTAGCCTGTAAACGGGGGCGTCTTTTTCAAGTGCATCGAGGATATTGATGTCGGCAACCCAGAGCCCCGAATCCCGAACCGAGATCACCGATTCAAGCATTGACACAGGGTTATCCTGATCGCCCCGAAATTCGTTGCTTAACACAGGTATGTGATAGCTTGTAAAAGAGAGATGGAGAGAAGTCTGAGTGAAACAGTCTTCCGGTTTGCCATCAAACTCAGGATTATCTGCAAATCTCCACCTGCCCGGGTCTAATTCCCGAACTAAAGGATCTCTTGGTGGGATGAGCATGACCAGGCCAGCTTTGCCGATATTTCCCAGTATTCGCTTCATTTCGTATGTATGGGGATTTTCGAAAGGATCGCAGATCAGCTATTGAATGAGGTGAGCGTCACGTAGTAGCCTCGACAGAGTCAGATACTTACCCGCATGGCGACATAGATGGAATCGCCCGCAGACAGCGCAATGACGTTTCTTAACTCCTTCGATTTGATGTTGTGAGACCCCTCAAAGAAAGCAATTACTGCTATAGCGAATGACCGGTCAGGCTCACCGGTCATCGAAGGCTTTCCAAGAGGGATATCATTCAACTGACTGGCGTGACGCGCCCAGCTAGTCCTAAGGAGACAATGATCGAGTGTCGAGACAGTAACTGTTGCATCTGGGAGAGTCGCGTAGATTTGAGATGCGTATGATAGAGCCAGCAGGGTTGGAACGATTGGACCTTGGTCCTGGTCACAGAGCTCCTTGAGCTGCATGCTAGAGACATATCCAGATCTAAAATACCAAAGCACGTCATCGTAAGAAACTTCTAATATGCATGGGGGCTTTCCAGACGGTGAACGCAAACGAGCAAATATTGCAGCGCTATCGACGTCTCCGAACAGGAAGTTCAAGCTTTCCATCTCACCAGAAGGGGTCACAGACATCTTATCGTGGGTGAATCTTGTAGATCCGTCCAGAATGGCAACACTCATTGGGTGGGGAGGGCTGCTTTGACATGTGAGAGTGCAGCAAGCGTTGATGGGCCATCTCGGTCATGTTTGGCTCCAATGAGCTAGCACCCTGGTCTGTAAATGGTGTAGACTGAGGGAATACAGTCGCATATCTTGTCTCGGTCTCGGTCTTACGACTTTCGCTATCATCCTTTGAAGAGTTACGTAACCTCTTGGAGGATCTGGCTGGTAATTTGGGTTCTGATCCAATGCAATAACGGATAATTGTATCCTGAGTCTCCAGACCACAAACTTTCGAGGCTATTCGACGTAGAAGAGCGATACGTTCCTTGGGCCCCTTGAGGCAATGGAGCAGAGTCACAATATCGACCAGACCGAAGCACGGGGAAGAGTTAGAATTATATCTGTTTTCAGGAAACTTGCTGAACGCCGTCGACCGAGGCCGACAAGCCTAAAAGCAAGATCCTTATCTTCTTTCTTTGCACCGAGGTATGCCGAAGCAGGCTGGGTAATCATGTTAATCCACCGATACTTACGGATAAACGGGGTCACCTCTTGCAGCATTTCCCCCATCGAGAACAAAGTCTCTATGCACACGGTAGTCGACTCTGTAGGGATTCTCCAATAGCCCAGTACGGTACCAAGTGAGGCCAGTTGGAATTGTGGAAATGAGATCCTTTCTGAATTTTCGGAAAGCTGACGTTGCAAATAAACAGGGCGACCATAGTGGCGCATATGTGCGAGAGACAAAGACCAGTGAATACCGGGTAAGGAAGCGTTTTCAGAAAGTGAGAGACCGAGGCTGAGGACGCCTCCGTCAGCTATCAAGTTGTCGTGCATGCGAATTTCAGCATTTCGATTCCCAAAGACAAGCATGTCTGGGTACAAATGCCAAGACGAGAGGGCCAGAACAGCTACGCCGTCATTGACTGCCTGTGGCATTCCCGCGACGAGGCTTTCCACGGCCTCAAGAGCTGATCCCCAAGCCTGGATGACACTGGGATATACCGCGACACTTTCGCCAACTTGGAGACAAATATTCTCCAGTACGAGTCGCAGCTGAGTCTGTCGACGAGCCTCAACTGAATCAGCCGTTCGCAGCCAGGCGCGAGCGCTAGCATCCCACTCAGCTAATTGAGATCTGGGCACGTCTTGCTGAACTGCAGCTGCGGCTAACGAAAACGGGAGATTTTTTCCGTTTTCAAGACTTGTTGCGATGTCTTTTCTCCGGTCATTGATCAGTTCCACCCAAATTGATATCGCTTCTCCAGCGTCCCACAGGCGTGCTAGCAGGCAAGCAAGGAGATGAATTTGCAAAGCAACTTTCTAGGAAGTCGCTGACGCCCAGATCGTAGTAGCGTCAATTCCGGCGTAGGCAGAAAACACCGAGTTTGAGAAGTCAGTCGAAATTCTATCGGTAGCCGACTTAGATATCTCCTCCACACGTTTACCATACGCTGCGACAAGCTTCGGTGTTGACGGACAAACGCCTTCGAACAATGCACCTAGTCTTCTCGCAATGATATGACAGGACCCTGTCTCGGCTTCGTGCTTTCGCTTCGCTGACAGGATGGCACCTAGGGGTTGATACTCCTTAGGCGCTCATATTTGACAAGGGTGAAATCGAAGTTGATATTTGCTGCAGCAACCGTAACCTCGTTGGTAGCAGCGGCCAGCGCTGCTTGGAGTCTGTTGACGGCCATTCCTGAGCCCTAATGTGGACACAACCTGATGAGCTGAGCGAGAACTCCGTCCTGCCTTGGCGTTAAGCTCAGAAATTCGAGGGGCCAAAACTATGAGTCTCCTTGACGACCTTCGCAGTTCGTATGTCGAGGTATTTTTGAGGAGATTGACATGGAGAGATAGAGAGACCAAGAGGAGTCATCGTCAAGAATTATACTGAAACCTCATGAACGGTGATAGGGAATTGTGTCCCGGCACTTGGCGAGCTAACTAACTTAGTACACCTGGCGAGTCACTTTGTTAGGGTTCCTCAAAGTAAATCATCGATCAGTGGGAGCGCCTATTGGCCAGATTTTCTATGCATAATCCCTGCCGTTTGATTGGTCAGTTTCTACTTCAAGTTCGCTTCTAATTTTGCTGTGTGGTACAGCCAATTCGTACAAGTATCTACAGAGTACACATGCTGCCCCTTGATTAGAGAGAACCTGCTTTCTACGGATCGTCTGCAGATTGTTACATGTAATTCAATCACTCAATATACGTAAAACCCACCATCAAACTCTATCACAAATGAGGCTATTAGCTATTCCTATTTAGCGTTCTTGGTGGGTATCGTCAAGATGATTCAAAGAGACAATTTGTGGATGTCAAAAACATTTACGGAAAACTCAGGACGGCTTTTGGCAAACAAAGAATGAAATTTCAGCTTGGACCCACGTCCGAGCGTCCTCCATTTTTCCCTGGCTTTCAGTCCTAAGCAATCCCTGCGAACATGCTCCAAGGATGCAGCCGCAGCTATTCTCTTGTTACCACCAAAGTTCGTGGCTCCAATATTGTTCTTTTCTACCGTCATTGACGACCTCCTGGCTTCCACTATAATGTCTACCGTGAGAAAACGTGCTGAGAATGCATCAAACCCCAACCCAGGAGACCAGGGGGCTCACAGTAGGGACACTTCTGGACTCAGATCTCGCAGCACACTACAATCCCGAAAAGACAGGTCTTCTCCTCAACTGCAGCAGGAGCCCCACCATGCAAAAGGCAACAGCGTTGGTGACAAAGATAACTACAAATCCTCCGGCAATTTCGAGCGATGGTTATCAATGGATCAATCCAAACAATTTCCAACAAAGCAGAATACGGATACTCAAGCAACCGCCCGGCCTCCTTTTTTACTTCACCAACAACACTACTGACTCAAGCGAAGTCAATTTTGACTGTTGTAAACCCATTTGCTGTTGAGTCACGGCCTCTCCGCAGACGTGCTGGACAGAGAAATGATGACCTGATCGATATCTCTATGCGGCAGATGCCCACCAAAACAGCATTGCCTGGCCGTGGAAGATGGACGGAACTGTTGATCAGTACCTTGAAGACTTTTCTAGAGATTTTTTGGAACCCATTCTTGGTGCCACTCTGCTTCGTCCTTGCATTGTGGTATTTGATCTCGTCGTTCAGGGCTTCCTTAACGGAGACCGTTGATGCAGCTCAAAGTGCAGGGACAGCTATCGGCCACTGCTTCAGCTTCACGTGGCAATATGCAGGTGCTTGGATGCAGTCAATTTGGAACACCGCCAGTCCTCCAGTCTATCAGTTGCTCTCAATTGGCACTGATGTGACCATCAGCGCGACGAACGAAACCACTGTCGCAATATGCTCGCACTATTTCGCTTGGCTGATACTTACAAATCTAGGTCTCGATTGCCCGTTTTCAGTGCCATATCAGCCGCTCGACGGTAGTGTTGGTAGTACTTTGAACAATACTACTCTGGGTCTTGCTCAGATCGCGAACACAGCTGTGGAATTGTTGCCATATGGACACCAGCTGACCTGGTCTGAGCTCTGGTTGCGAGACATATCCTTCACAATTTTGGAAAGTGACATGATCAACAAGATCGAACTTGCTGAGTTTTATGCGGACTACACGAACTATATCGCAGCTACTGGGCAAGAACTTAGCGCCTTTGCCAGCCTGACTGATTCGCATCTGAGCTTCCAGAAATACAACCTGAAATTCTTACAAGTCCAGATCGAGAGCGATAATGAACGAAGCTGGTGGCTCAGGCTGTTTTTCCCAAAAGAGGCGTACATCCGAAGTGAATATCTCGAATTCATTCAAGCCGCAGACGACGACCTTTTATTATTGTTGAAAGAGGGCAACCTATGTATCGAGCTCATTCGTCGATGCCAAGAGACAAATGATCGGGTTCAACAGATTCTGCAACGCAACAGACATGCCATCTCAAAGCAAGTTGATAAAAGAGGCATTCTCTTGCGCCGGTTAGGGAGAAATGAGGACTTGACTCGAAAAACGATTACGATCGACAATATGGAGGAATATCATGGTCCAGTCCTTGACTTGCTAGGTTCCATTCTCGATAAGGTGGCGCAGGTTCGAGCAGAGCTGTCGACGCTGAGTACTGCTCTGAGGAGAGGTCATGTCGGAGCAACCTCACCCCAGCTTATGGTTCAGATGCAGATCATCTCGGCCAGCATGAAGCGTCTTCAGGATGCTCGAGATTACGTGCGTGAAGGTAGGCAAAAGGCAGAGGCTCGTCACGAGCAGCAGTTTAAGGGCAAGATGCTCCTGTACAGGCCTCTGTACCAGCCGCAATCTCATGCAGACAAGTCAGGAACACCGGCCAGCTATGTAAGTGTCTTAGAAAATCTCGCAACGGGCCTCGGGCCGACTGAGGCAAGTACGGTGGTCGAAGTGCATAGAAGGACCGATTGACAAATTGATGGAGCAGGGAACGAACACGTGGCCTATATCCATTTTCAGCCTGCCCTCATCACAAATTCACACTGCAATAGTCTCCTAATCCTCTTACCTCGTATTCTCGTCTTCTCGTCTTCTTTTGTAGTCTCCCTGCCTATATCACATCTCTCTTCCGAAGACATTTCATCATTTTCACCATTCTCGCCCTTATCTGGTTCAGCACTCTCTTTGGTTCCCCTCCTCCGTCTCCTCACCTCTGCCTGTCTTCCGAGAAATCCCCAAAACCCGGCTCTTAAGATCGGCATCGTGTCGAGAGACGCCACTATTGTAGATCGTTTCTCTATTTCTTAAGTGTCGGGATTTATTCTATGCCATCGTGTAAACTTGAGTCGAATTCCTCAACCAAACAGGAAGAGGACGCCAGCGAAAATGGCCGTGGCATGAGCTGTAGGACTACAGGGACAGGCCTGGTCATGGTGCCGATGATTGCTAGACCTATGACGAAGTGAGAGACGTGTTTTTCGACCACAGATTCGGCGATCACTTCGGGTTCGACATGATCTCCTTCACTGGACGGGAGACGTTTGATATTGGTCTTGTAACGGTTAGAGAGTCGGTATGGACCGGTGCTTGCGGGATAAGGCCGTTGGGAGAAGGGATGAAGATGAAGATGCTGATGAACGTGGCGATATCCAGGAGGAAGAAGTCCCAGTTGAAACCACCAGGTTCTTTCAACGGCAATGCTTGGCCTGCGCAATCATACTAGTACTGCTCACATTCTGTCATTGGCATCAGCGTTCTAACATCAGACGGTCAAGGGTGTCCTTTGACGTGATCGTAGTAACTTAGAAGACCAGTATCACAAGGAAGCCAATTGGGAGCGCCACGAAGACCCGTTTCAGTGGGAGAGTCCAGAATGTGACCACCATCACGCTTGCAGCAGTACGGTAGGTGATATCGTGGTAGACACCTTGGCCAGGTCGGAGGGTTCGATGAGGTTTCTAGCTACTAAGACCGTGATATCTATAATGGTCGGTATCCTCGAACTTGGCCATGGTGAGGTGGTCTCTTGAGCAGGTGTTGAATATTTGGTAGCCTTGTCTAACATGGCGGACCGATTGCGGCGTATATAAACAAAGCATTGGAATTGAACCGCTAAGGTGTTACGCTTGCAATATCGACTTGGTTGACGTCAATAAGGTAGCCAACTGACTTCAAGTTCAAGTGCACTACACCCCCTGCGCACCAAAAAATACTTGGCGTTTTGGGATTCAGCGCATTGTTATATTATGTAGATGTTGCAGGTCCTAAATTGAAGAAGAAGATTGTTCTAGAAATAACATATCAAAAGCTCACTGCCCTCAGATGATTATTCGTTGAATGGTAGCGAGCTGAAATTGCTGGCTTGAAACTTTGGTATGAACGGTAACATCGGACTCACAAGTCAGTTGGGTGCACTACTCCTTTCACTGGCAGTTTCGATCGTGCAACATAGTCTTGGCAGATTCGGGTGAAGGTTAGCTATAGCCAGGCACATAGCTCTCACAACGCACCTAGAATAGTGGAATAGAATGGTCTTTGGTCAAAAGCAGAATCAAGTAACGCTTCTGGGGCTCACGGGCCTGTGTTACACAGGTACATATGTTGCATCGCCCGTATCCTACGTTATGCCGGCTGGGCGTTGATTTTTGAAGTCTCAAATGCTCTCGAGCCCTATTTGAACCGTACTGAGGCTGATTTAGGGTTACGCCTGACACGTTATGGTAAGAGACTGGATCAATAGAAGAAGAATAATACTATGGGATTATTGTTTGGGTACCAAAGGCTCAAGAATCTCCCAATCCTACAGAAGGGGTCAACGATCCAGGAGTCGATCAAGATTGAAACGGTATGATTATGCTGACTCGACCAAGACAGATTGTATATACAGATAGACCAATAACGCCTACCATGCCGGCATGATCACAGATAAATTCCGCCTTGCTCAATCGCCCTCACAAGCCCTATAGCGGCCCCAGCAGCCGCAGCCCCCACAAGAAGCATCTGAAGACCCCCTTTCGTGCCAGCCAGGACGTTCTTCCATCCGCTCCATCCAACTACTATACAGGTCTTGCTATATCCGAAAACCAACAATGTGATCCCCATGACACCGATGCTCCACCAAAGCGCAGTCATAACCTCGGTTCTAGCCACGATAAAATATGGGATGAGAGGAATGAGCCCGCCAAGGAAATAAGAAATTGCAAGAGTGGCCGCAGTCTTATAGGCACGACCTAAGGTTGGAAAAGACTCCTTGTGATGGAAATCCATCAGAAAGGCCAGAAGTTGTTCAGGTGAGGACTGAAGCTTCTTCTCCATGGATGTGATTGTGGACGGGGAAAGATCATAGGCATGAAAGATGTCGTAAACCAGTGCTGATGTTTGTGCGGGGTATTTCTCGATTTGAAGTTTGGTGTTTCGAAGGGTGACATTGTATGATTCACTGTATCAATGGGTAAGTACAGGGGCAGAAAGTTCCAGAGTTGTGCAGAGCGTTGCATACAGCTCACTCCTGGCGCCCAGGAAGCCGCCAAGACCCATGGATATTGCTCCTGCAACGAGCTCTGCTAGACCTCCTAAGATGACGATTTTGGTTGTCCCCAGGCTCGACAGACCAGCACTGAGAGCAAAAGGAACAGTGAGGCCGTCCGAAAGCCCCAATATAGCGTCGGAGATGGTTCGACGATTGATCTTGAATGCTGTGGATGTGTGGTCCTCCGAACTGTCTGACGGCATCCTTTGTTTCGAAAATCGTCGTGATACCCGCTGGTCTTCGAGATCAACTTGCGTTGTATGCGACTGGCCTGCATCGGAGATAGATTCTGAGTTGTCAGGCAAAGTCAGAACATGAAGCTTTGGGAATTAGGAGGAGAATGAAGATACCATCGCTGATACCTCCAAAAGCGGCCATCGTGATGTTGGAATCCATCTGTTTCGATGAGCGATTGTTTTCCCCTAACAGAAAAGTTTGACGAATCGAGCGAGGAGCCATGCTGTGGTTCTTGTTGGTTTGCAACTGGGACAGACCAAGACTTTGGCGAAGAGAACGTCTTGAAGAAGAAGCAGATCTGCAAACAACAGACACCAATTGTCGGGTAAAGTAGTCCCATCTTATACACACTCGATGGTAAGTGGTGCGGTACCGTGGAAAACCATGTAGATATCCTCGTTCAGTCGGACAAATCACGTGCCGTGACATCTCAGCCAATAAGAATCACTGATTCCAAATCACGCTTGTGCTCAAGATGCATCAGCTTCGCAGGGCATGCAGGTACTCCTAAACCCGTTGATCGTCAAACCGCACCCGCATTGGCATACTCGAGCCGCGTGCTCCTTGGCGTGCTAACGGTAGGCATTGAGGTAGCCTTGGCACGTGTTCCAGCATAAGGAGTATAAAGCGCGTTCAGATGCCGAGCTTCGACAGCATCCTTACTCGGTATTTTGAGATATGTATTGTTAGAGCAGATTTCCATGCAAATGCTACACCGAATTAATGCAACTTCGATCTGCAATTCGTACTGTTGATTCAGTTGGATACAACCCGGTGGACCAGACGGTGGTACAAGTGTTGTGATCCAAAATGGTACTGCAGATCCACTTTCGGAACTGTCTCGCCAGGTGCTAGCAAAGCCCCAAACACCATTTTGGGTTTTTTTCCTGCTCCTTAATGTCGTGCATGACTGGCTAGTGGCACCTCTCTGCCAGAGATGATCTGTCGGTACCGAAACATGTAAACTCATCCCTGGAAGCCGTTGTTCCAGTAGGTGGAGTTACCTGCATGACGCTCTTGGTACCATCACTGATGCTCTTTCTTGTTCGCAGGAAAGTTGCAGCCAGAAGCCGACGGCATAAGGCTGTAAAATCTTGACCAGATTGCCGTGACCAAGGTCAAAGTGCTCATTTTCGCGGCCACCCGTTGTTATCCTTTGCCGTTGTTTGAGCCTATGATGGCCTTGCCTTTGCAACTCCTTCCCTTGCTTCTTCTCCCTTGATCAATTCGATGACTTCTTCTCGACGGCGTTCCACAGCGGCAGCCTCCTCTTGTCGCTTCTTTCTTCTATCTTCCCGGCCAGCGAACCATTCTGCTCGTGCAGCATCCTCTTCGGCTCGTGTAGCGTGTGTAATCATGCAAGAATTCATGCTTAGACGTTGATCGCGGCAGATCCAGGTAGCAGAGATTGTCCTGCCAACGGCACACTCTGCAAATTCTGAAGATAGTATCAGAAATGAACATGGAGATCAATTGGCTCGCTAGCGATCGAAGTCTAAGATATAGAATGGAAGTACAAACGTACCTTTAATTTGCTGGGCACAATGGCCTCTTACTCGCTTGTAATATATGTCCTTGACCTGTGCTTCTTGAGCAGCAGATAGCGGGAGTGGATTGCGTACATTTGGCTGATGCAACGCAGAGGCAGAATCCGGCATCGCCCCTGGCGACAATGTTGGTGCCATATCCATGATATGACAGAATGATCCGCGATTAGAAACTCCACAATAGCATTGCTAATCGTCAAACGAAATGATCGATGAATCTTTGTTCAAGCTCACTGGGTACCGCCAAGTCCTGGAGGCCGCTCGCACCGGCCCTGACGTGCTTATTTACCGACTGTGGGATCCCCTTCTGAATCGCGTAAGCAGTGGTTCAATCTGTCCAACATCCACCTGCGCCTGTGTTTCGGAGGAGTGTCCTGCGCCTGAGATGCGAAGACGCAGCGATGCGACTCAGGCTTACGATCCAGCGACATGCTCTTCCAATAACAAACATATTGTGGACTGCACGAACGCAGGACCCTACTTCAACCTCCGCACATGCTTCTGCAACAATCTCCCAACTGTTGGAGGATGTGAATGACATATTCCAGCTTGAGAGTGATGATTGGGGTTTGGAAGACTACACAGTCGAGGTGGAAGGCTACGAATGTCTGCATTTTCAGCCCATCGACTCGGTATTGAAGGAAGACGATAAGGTTACTATTCGTGCGCTACAAACCAATGACTTGAGGATACGGAGACTTGGAGGGCGGCACCAGATCACTTCTGACGGAAGACATCTATTCGACGGTGTCGCATTCGGAAGACCCTACCTGAGAAAGACAGCCAGGCCTGCATTTCCGATACCACCCAGGAAAAGGCGCAAGCTAGACCTTGGACATGGCCAGTACATCGAGGATGACTCTACCTCGCAAGGTCTATTGTCAGGAAATCATATGGTTGTGGACTCAGCTGCGGATTTCTCCAGAGGCGAATTCGACGCCAGTATAAATGATGATAGGATGTGGCAAGTTGCGGCGAGGCAACCCACTGATAAAAGCGGTGAAGATACATACGGCAATTTTGAAACTGACGAATCAGACAGCGACTTCAAAAGTTTCAGTGAGGAGGAAGGAGACGAAGCAGATTTGGAACTCTCTGAGGAGCTGAAGGCGCTTCTTGATGACGACCCCTCAGAACAGGGCAAGGACGAAGGCAAGAAGTATTCTCCAAACCCAGACAAACATCAGGAAGCAAACAGCTTTCACGCTACTAGACAGCACAAGAAGCGTAAGCGAGACTCTGAATATACATCAGAATGTGCATCAGAGGACGGGAGGATGGGCTCCATGAGTGGCTCGAAGTCTCCAGGTGCCCCTTCCCCCACCATCTCGTCTGATAAAACCACTCGCAACGCAGCATCCACCCCAGCCAACAGCTTAAATGCTGGGTATGATGTGGACTGCGCGGAACAATCGAAGGCTCAACTTGATGGTCTTGACGACATCTATGAAAGCTCATCTTCTAGCGACACCGGATCCTCGAACTCCACTTCGAGCGAATCTGACAGTGAAGCCAGCTCTTCGGACTTTTCCTCAATGGCCTCACAAACTATATCTTCTTCAAGCGGTTCGGCATCTGAGCCTGAGTCTGACTCTGCAGCTGCGATTGAGTCAGAATCCGGGTCTGATTCTGACTCTAAATCGGATTCCACATCGAAAGATGAAGGCGAGATCACAGGTGCCTCTCTTGCCGGCATGAAGGTGCGACAGGATCTAACTGACAAGGCAATGTCCACGCTGCCAGCTGTGTCGATGTCAATGCACAGTGCACCGGGTAAAGGCTCCACCATAACACGCAAGAACAATCAACGACAAAAAAAGAAGAAGAGGTTAAATATCCTGAAAGCCAAAGGACTGCTTGCACCGAATGCTGGATTCAAGGAACTTGAGGCTTTCGACCAGAACACGTCTGCATCACCTGTGACAGACAACCTGGCGCAGGTACATGACCCTGAAAATACCTTCGAAGCTCGGAAACTAGATTTACTCGAGCGGCTGATGCCTCGTGGAGTAGATTCAGTTGCTGAGTCGGACGCTTCTGGACACATTTCAGGGGAAGTACCCTGCGATTTGACTAGTGGAAATGGCCCTGCTTCTGCTCAAACTCTAGCCCCCAATAGCGAGGATCGTCACGAGGTCAGGTCCATAAGGAGAGCAAAGCTCGACCTAGACAGTTCGAGGCGCATGCTTTTTGGATCACTGGGATTCAAGGCTCCAAAAACCCCTGCTGATGAGCAATTATTGCGTGAAAAGCTTGCTAGGCAGGGACGGGCGGTTACAGCTGGTCGGGCCAAGCATATAATTACGGAAGAGAATAATGCTTCCGAGACATATGCCAAGCCGGTGCCTGAGCGTACGGCATCCGAAACCTGGAGAGACAAGATCATACTATTAGCAGTGGAATGTGAAGGCAAGGGTCAGCGTTTGACAACGCCGCCTTTTCCTTTCGTTCAGCGGTGGCAGCAAGGCCAACAGAAGAATCAGCCTCAAGGCCAGCCCCAAGAATACCATGCTTGTAACGTGGAGGAACAGCAGAGTGCTAGCGCCACCGTAGATGAGCCTGAAAGCGGTGGTTTCTATGTTGAAGGTGATACTGCACTTGACGGTGTAAAGCTCAATGGAGCTATCCAAAATCAGTTGATCGTTGAAGCAGAAGAGTTGTCGAAAAGGGAAGAAGCCAAAAAGTCTACTGCACCAGACATGCCTGTGGTCACCGAATATGACGTCCTCGAAGAGTTGAAAGCCGAAGATGCCGTTGCAGGGGCTGTGATTGCGTTCAAGCAGCTTGATATGTCCAAAAAAACCCTCTGGCAACCCGAAATATCTGCATATCGAACAGCCAAGATACAAGAGGTGCTGGAGGACGGAACCCTCAAAATACTTTTAGCAGAGAGGGATAGAACTTCGTTGTCGCTGGAGTCGGACGACCACACTGGTGAGAGAGTCTTCAGCAAATTTGAAATGCCAATCGAGGAGGAGGAAGACGAAGATGGTCCAGATGATGGCATCAGAGAAGTCTTATACGGTGACCTTATAGAGCCTAAGCTTGTGGAGGGTGTGATGGCCAGTTCATCAGTAGGTCAGTCGACGCAAATAGCACGCTCTTCTACAAGCGGGACGAAATCGGATGAAGAAGTTTCTCAGGTGAAAGGTTCGGCTAACTCAATCAAATCCAGCGTTCAAGAACCATCTGCTCAAGTCGTGGTTTCAACTCCTCGGCAGGAAGAGATATCGAAGCTGATCCAAGAAGCTGGCTTCCATTCGTCCCTTGACACTGAACTTCTCCAGCCGACGCCCCTGCCCCCAGGGATAGCCGGCCATGCTGACGAGAGCTCACCAGCTTCGCCTCAGATGTCAGAAAAGCAATACGGCAACCAGCCGATGAACCTGGATGGTGCACCCAGTGAAGCTGACACCGCAGATCTTGACAGTCCACTGTTTCAAGGCTCAGACTCGAGTTTCATTCAACAAGAGAACGATTTTTACGATTCGTCCATCAACCTTGAGCACAAAGAACATGATTCTGGCTTTCAGGGAGACCAAGTTGACAAGGACATGGGAACTCCAAACAGTGTTGCATACCCCAAAATATCGCAACTAGTGATTGATGAGAGTAGAACGTTGCCTCTGAATGGAAAGCCGGACTCAGCTAGAACACACAGTGCCAGTCCCATCGAAATTAAGAGGCTAGATCCAGACTCTGAGGTGTTGGACAAAGACGATGACAGCACATTCGAAACCGAAGGGTCCCATTTTGACTCGTTAAAGTCCATCATACCTCCTTCAGATGATATCGCTCCCAAGTTCGATGCAGCCTCCCCAGCAGGCTCACAGATTACCAATCCTTGTCTTTCTGAGCTCGAAGGTAGCGCGTCTTCGGAGGATGATCTACCCAGCTTGAGTGAAATCACTTCTACTGCTCGGTCTGGAAGGATCTCTCCGCCAGCATCAGAGAAAGCAGCGCCTTCAGAACGAAAGGCTTCCACTAGCCCGAAATCGCCGTCGAGCGTGGATGAAAGAACCTCTGGTACTCAATATCATACCCAAACAGAGACATCATCTATATTTCAGCCATCGCAAATACCGCCAGGGTCTCAATTTGTCGATTTGACTCTTTCAAGCGACCCAATATCTGCTGAACATAGTGATGAAGATTATCCGTTCATGCAAAGGAGCTCTGTTCGAATCAAGCAGAGCAGCAGTCAGGTCGAGCCACGGAAGTCTTTCTCAAGCAGTGCGAAAACTGGGAACAGGCGGCTGATCAGGGGGAGGACGGGAAGGCCCAGACCGTGATATCGAAACTTGTATGATGAGCCGTTTATGCAGCATATCTAAGCAAGAGATCTGTTTACATGGTCTCAAGTTCCTCCTCAAAAATTCCTCACCAAATGACTCTTCATTGTAGGTACCAGCGCCCTGAAAGCATCATCGACCTTTTTTGAAGAGCTCACCAGTGTGCCAGTCTACAGGAACACAATTGGCAAGAATTAAAGTCATTGTTGCCTCCGCAAATGAAGCTCGAAGAGAGCGGTAGGAGAGAACTAGAATATCGGATTAGATATACTCAGAAGTCGATTGGCTGGAGCTCTCGAGGCCTAGCCGCCGGCAGTTTATTATGTACTGTAGCTATTTACCGTGCCGAGTGTAGCCGGATGTTCAAGCAGGGCAGATGTCAAGGGCGGAGAGCATTGAGCCTTACGGTTTTAATCAAAGATGTAGAGTCTCCTGCCTCCCTGTACACACTAACATCCATGACGGTCCCGCGAGGCACGAAGCTCACTGCCTTGAATTCCGCTCCAAGCCCTGTTCCTTAACGTCTGGCACTGCAGTAGCTAAGCCAGCAGCCCTGCTAAGTTATCGATAAGAGTGTGTCCCCTCACCAATAGCGCAGGTTGCTAATGCATGTGGAGCTGTCTGTGTGACTCGATTCGTAATGATCCATCCTCCGTACCACAACTGCTAATTGAACGGGAAACCGACGCATTGCAATTGACCTTGCTCTCCTTCAAGTACAATTTCATGCTCATAAAGCACCTGTGTCGCGTGCTTGCTCGTCCCAAACCTATCAGTCCCTCTCCAAGCTTTCACCTTCCCCTTTCGGGTGCCGCCCCACTGATATCCAGATATCGGCTGAACCTTTCAACTACCTCCTACACCATGGCCGAGTTTAGACTCAAAGACATTTCCTCCCTAGATCTTAAGAATGGAGACAAAATCGAGGCAGAGGTGGAGGGTATCGAGGGTGGGAAGGTTTTGCTGGTCAAGCTCAATGACAAGGTGCAAGCGATGAACGCCAACTGCACGCATTATGGAGCTCCGCTGAAAAATGGCATCCTCACCCCGGAAGGTCGTCTAACGTGCCCATGGCATGGAGGTCAGCTCTGCAAATACCGTACGTCCGGGAAATCTAACTGAAAACCTACAGCTTGCTTCAACGTTATGAACGGGGAGATAGAGAACGCCCCGGCGCCCGACCCGTTGACTAAATTCGATGTTCTGGTAAAGGACGGCGGCGTATACATCAAAGGCGAGGAAAGCTCTATCAAGAGCGGCAGACGGCAGCCCAACGTCGAATGCTCCGCTCAAGGCCAGGACAAGGTCGTTATTGTTGGGGGGTAAGTATGCGTCCGTACCATCCACAGCTTTCATCTGACCACACGACTTCCAGTGGATCGGGCACATTTGGAGTTGTTCAGCAGCTTCGCGTATCAGGCTACAAAGGATCAATCACTCTTATTAGTCACGAGCCCAACCTTCCAATTGACCGAACGAAACTGTCCAAAGCTCTTATCCCAGATCCCAACAAAATCCTTCTCCGCAGCAAGGAGTGGTATTCCAAAGCGTCCATTGAGGTTATCTCGGACACAGTGACCTCAATCGATTTCTCCAATAAATCAGTCTCTACGAGGTCCGGCTCCCAGATCCCTTATACCAAACTCATCCTCGCCACAGGTGGAACGCCAAGAGTTCTACCACTGCCTGGCTTCAAGGAATTGAAAAATGTCTTTACTTTGAGAACGATCAATGATGTAAAAGACATCCTCGCAGCTGTAGGCGACAAGAAAGGCAAGAAGGTCGCCATCGTTGGATCGTCCTTTATAGGTATGGAAGTAGGAAACTGCCTGTCCAAGGAGAACACGGTCACCATCATAGGCATGGAAAAAGCCCCTCTCGAACGCGTCATGGGCGAAGAGGTAGGCAAGATTTTCCAAAAGCAACTGGAGAAGAATGGCGTACAGTTCTACATGGGCGCTTCCGTCGAATCCGCAAGACCATCGGAGAACGACAAAAGCGTGGTAGGTGCCGTGACATTGAAAGACGGTGCCTCGATAGAGGCCGATCTTGTCATCTTGGGTGTTGGAGTCGCACCAGCGACCGAATATCTCAAAGACAACGACCGCATAAGGCTAGAGAAGGACGGTTCGTTGCGTGTGGATGAGAACCTCCAGGTTGAGGGACTGGAAGATGTCTTCGCCATCGGTGATATTGCAACGTATCCTTATCACGGCCCAGGCGGTGATGGCAAGCCCACTCGCATCGAACACTGGAGTAGGTTCATCTTTAAATTTCCCCTTCGCCATCCCTGTGCTCCGCCCCCAAGACCCATCCAAGCAATCTAACCAAGATGACAAATCCAGATGTCGCCCAGAACCACGGTAGATCTGTCGGCCACACCATCGCCAAACCCACCGCTGACAAACCCAAACACTTCATCCCAGTCTTCTGGTCCGCGCTGGGCTCTCAGCTTCGCTACTGTGGCGCCACCCACAACGGCTGGGACTCGTTGGTCCTCAAGGGCGAGCCCGAGAATGGCAAGTTTGCTGCCTACTATGCCAAGGGGGATACGGTGGTGGCGGTGGCCACGATGATGATGGATCCGATTATGAGCAAGTGTGCGGAGCTGATGGGGAGGGGGAAGATGCCTGGAAGAGCGGAGCTGGAGAGGGGGGTAAATCCGTTGGAGGTGGATTTGGTGGGCTAGATGTGATAGGTATATCGGTGGATTGGTGGTGGTGGTGGTGGTGGTTGGTTTGTGGTCCCAGATGGAACATATTTCGAACTTGATATGCGAATATATTGATACGTTCAAGATTACGTGAGCCCATACCCAGGTAGATTCTGTACACCAGAGGACTGAGAAGCAAGCTTCGTGGCAGCTGCATGTGGTCCAAGTTTTTGATGTGTCCCATGCTGCGCCGGCGCCCTGAGCAGGATGTGTGTCCACCGAAACGAAATCTCCAAAGTCAGCTCAAGAAGTCTCTCGTGGCAATGTCATCCAAGAGAAGCGGACAAGATGTCGGGTGGCTGCCATGTCCTGACGTTCTGCGTGTATTTAATACAACGATATCTGTGAGATCAGATCTGACTGTGTTCTCCCTAGCTTTTGCTCAGCACATGGCCATTCCTATCGCTACCAGGCCCCGAACCCAATCCACCACTCATGACCGCCTTTCCTTGCCTCCTCAAGACCTTCTGCCGTTCCTCCTGCAGCACGCTCTCCTCCTTGTCCACGCTGAGAAGCGTCCCCTCGATCTGCAGGGACCAGCTCTCCCGATCATGGCCCGGCACGATCTCACAGTCCACCACCCTGAACCTGATCGACCCGTGCACTCTCGTCCCGTCTCCGCGTTGGAAATATCCAATTTCGCCCTCTCCGTCTCCATCTCCGTCCTCTTCCTGCCCCTGGTCTCCGTCGGCGACGGCATTGACCAGCGTTTCCTGCGAAGTATCCACCATACCCTCCTCCTCCTCCTCTTCTTCTTCTTCCTCCTCACCGTCACCATCCCTCTTCACCCCTATTTTCTTCATTTTCCTCCTCATCTCCCCTTTATTCCCCACCGCTTCCCCCCCCCCGGCGCCACCCATCTCCACTGCCTCGGTATCCTGTCCCTCGCAACCGCCACCTGGAAGTAGTTGTAGCATACTAGCCCGACGAAGCCTTCGCTGCAGACGTTGTCGTGGACGGTGAGCCAGGCGTAGGATAGGCCGTCTGCGTCGGCGCAGTGGGCCAGCACTGTTTGTGATGGTTCGTCGGCGTTTGGTGAGGGTGGAGGTGCAGGGGGGCGGTGGGGTAAGGGCTTTTGGGAGGAGAGGATCGGGTTGCTGATGGAGAGGACGATGCCGCGGAGGGGCGGGTAGTAGCTGAGGAGGAGGGGGGTCATGTGCGTGGTTAGCATGGCGGGGAGGGCGGTGTTTGGAGAGAGGGCGATGGCGGGGATGGGGAGGTAGAGGGATAAGGTTGTGCTGTGGAACGGGGAGGAGGTAGGGGTTAAGGAGCCCTTGGTTATTGGGGGTGCGTCGGTGATGGAGATGTCGTGGTCGGGGTCTGGGAGCGTTGCGCGCACAGGTGGCGAGGAGGGAGGTGATTGCACTGCATCATTGAATGATTGAGATTTCGTCTTGGATTTGGGGATCTTGGAGGGAGTGTCGAGGACATGGTGGAGGTTTGAGTCGAGCTGCTTTTTCCGCTTCTTGCTCGACGTCTTTTGTTCTGAGTCGGCATGTTTTCGCTTCTTCGTCTTGTGTGATGATTTGCGCTCGGTCTCTAAATGAGGCGAGCGTCCCAGCTCCATTTAGGCGCCGACTCAAAATCGAGAGATGGCTGGAATGTGCCTTTCGACTTTTCGACTTTTTGGAGTTGCAGGTGGGGAAGTTTTCGGCCAGCAATTGACTTCGAAGTCTCCCAAAGCTGTGTCAATCGAGCTGTTTTTTGAACGCAATGGCACTTCGAGGGCAGTGATGGTCCGGGGCAAGATCGGTTCTTCTCTGTCTCCGCTTCGCTTTGCTTCGCGATGAATGTTCTTCATAAAGAGACACCTCACTCGCGATGGCTGGCGATGGTGCTCTAGCAGGCATCTTTACCTACGTCGGTTGGGCGTTTCTCCCAAGTGTAAACATTTCCCATCTTCCTTGTATCTTCCTTGTAATGTGTTGTTGGTTAACGTACTAATTCCCCCTTTCGATAGCTGGCAACATCTCTCCTCCAGGGGCTATTCTATAGCCTCACAACTCGCGCCGGCTCTCCAAGACCTCAACAGGGGCAGCCTCTGTATGCGTATCATCGCCGCCGCATTCACATCTTCGTGCTCAGCCTCTACCTGCTTTATACACTCGTTCAAACCCTCTACGACATCCGTATTGCAGGAGACTTCTACACGGCACTCGGCGTCAACCCTACCTCCCCGGACCGCGAGATCAAGGCCAAGTTTCGCCGCCTAGCTGCTCGCTTTCATCCTGACAAAGTTCGCACCAGTAACGATGGGACCCCGAGCACGGATGCTGAAGCGGCATTTGTTCATCTCAAGCTAGCACACGACACATTGCTTGATCCTGCAAAGCGCTTCGCGTATGACAGATTTGGACCAGGCATCGTCCGAGTGCAGCGGCCAGGGCTGAAGACTATCAGGGACTACGTGTACGCAGGTTTACGTTCTCTCGCCCCGGAATACGCCAAAGGGGCGTTGATGCTTGTTGTGCTGAACTACTTCTGGCTTCCAAAATGGGGACAATTCTGGCGCTATCTGGCCATCTCGGGTCTTGCCTTTCTGGAGCTGTATTTCCTGACGCATGATTGGACGGCCCCGGAGTCTGCTTTTTATGTTACAACTTTGGCGCATTGGGTGATTCCAGGAGTGCTTCCTCCACATCTTCTCCCTTTCCAAATCCTTGCTCTAGCTCGTCGCATGTCAATTTCCCTGAACATCTTTATATCCCAGCTCGCGCCGCATGCTGCAAGGAGTAGCGTCGAACAGGATCAACAGCTGCAGGCGCAGATATTGCACCTGAACCAAACGGCGGGAAGACTCGACGCGGAGGCCTCCGGGGTGCTTGGGCTTGGGCTTGCGCCGTTCAAAGGAGAAAAGGAGCATATCGAGGCGCTGAAGAAGGGGATGAAGGAAGGAATGGTCACAAGTGCCATACGGAGCACTCCGGAAGTCAGGGAAGCGGTGGCGAAAGTGCTGGCAAGACGTGAGAAGGAGATTAGAGGGAGTGCTAGAGTGGACGGTATCGACAAAGTCAACTAGCTTGGTGGGCAGGATTTGATGCATGACATTATGCAGTGCCGTCATCAAATCGAAGGTGGTTATGCTCTCACCTGCGCTCTATAAGACCGCTGGCTAATGCTCACTACTGCATCTCAACTCCGTTCGTGTTGCTTGTCAAACTCAGATACCTCTGCAAACCTCCACGGACACTCTGCTGTTTAGCTTCCTATCGTCAATTGCAAGACAATTTGGTGCTTAGCTAGTCATGGTCACCAAAGACAGGGAAAGAACCCCACCCAGGTCAGGGGGACAGTCGGTTTTTGCTCAACTCCTGACTGCCGGGCAAACCCCTTGGACGATACCAGCTATGATCGCAGACACAGCAGTGTTATTCATTTAGCGGCCAATTAGTGGTACCGTGTCTTGCACACTATGCCTACTACACTTTGTTCTGTTTGATTCTGCCTCTGCAGCATCATCACTTATTCTATAAAATCATCTGTCGGTGGCAACTGGACAAGGAATCGGGCAATTTCGCAACCCTTTGTGTTCCAAAGAGATTGTTACGCGAGCTCGAGTCTCTTCATCACACAGCCACTACGGCCTCTACAATTTATGCGTTTTCTTCCGGGCAGGTCTTCCGAAACCAGTGACCGGCTGTAAAGATCAAAGGCTTTCCATACTGCGTCACCCTTTCCAAGGACATAGGAATTTGAGCAACGTCCGCCAGAGCGTCAGAGACATTCTATTCGATGGAACTACGAGGCTTGAAGCCGAACCGCAGAATCACCCTTCCCAAGTCTTCATCTTTGCCCATCGAACTGTCACGATCCACTTGCTCTTCCCCTGGAGGAGGGCCTGACGGCACGGCCGCGAATGCGACTGAAATAGTCCTTGACAAGGCGCTTGCTCCTATCAGATGCATCTGAAAGAATGTTTTCGAAGTTATGGAACAACCAGGGGAGCCTCTCAACAGTCTGCCAGACTTACCCTCGCCCCTCTAACCATAAGTAAATGGTCACAGCCTGGCCCTCGTGGCATGGCGTTGAGCCACATCATTGAAGCAAGTCGAAGCGAATTGGCCACATTTCCTCGCCAAGCAGTTTTATCACGTGCGTGCTCTACTCAGCGTCAATAGGCTAGCTTTTGTTGCTTCTACGCTACCTCTGTCAGCTTGATACTCAACTTCCAATCAGTCAATGTGCGTATCATGATAAGTTTTGACAGCGTTACCAACCGACTTCTCATGGCTTACGGAAAACATCCTCGGCATCAAGCCATGGCGACCGCTTGGGCGGCAAAGATAAGGCTCAAGCATCTCAAGCATTGCTTTGACGATATATGTTGGGCAGAGTAAAGAAAATGTGGTTGAAAGTGACGGTGAAGGTACTAGGACTATACTACAGTACCTGGCTGAGATATTCATAGTACAGGGCTAGTATAGGTCCCTCAAAACAAGTGCTATGCATGGCCATTAAACCCATAAAGAATATAGCTGGACTGTATCGAATCGATTGTGTCGATGCTGTCAAGGGAAGTTTCAAGTAAGTGTTGTGGCGACGTATTCAGTACTAGGTGTTCTTAGCACCATGCTAAACCACATCCCGGTGTAGTAAAACTTCTCAAGAAATGAAAATATGGTTCAGGTACTTCAATTTTCATGTCTTCATGCTCCTCACGAGTTACATTAATTGATAAGTGAAAACATGACTCAGACAGCTTGGGGCATCTCTTTCGGCATCAATACCATAGATATCGAAATTTACAGTGGCCGTACATCGTCTTACGCTTAATCACTTTAGCTCTCTCATATGTGCCATTTCAAAGGTTACACCGGTATGTGGCCTGTTGGCGTCCAGGGTAAATTTGAGTTGAAAAGAGATCTGCACGACAGTTGGAGCTAATTTAGTGACATACAGAACCACTTGCCGGGCCACCCCAATTGCCGGGCCAATTTCTGCACACCAACACGCAGGCAGGCATCCTCAAATTTCAAGCAGCTATAGCTCCACTAATATAGCTCCAAATCCCGCATAGGCGGCGGGTAAATCCGCCGAACTACTAGCGGTGCTTAAGCTTGTCATGCCTTGACTTTTGTACTGTACTTTTGACATTCAACAAATTTGCGGAGCTTTCTCAGGTAGCTCGATCAGGTCTATCTTTTTCCATCAGAGCCGTAATTCCACTATAAGTTACATCTTAGACTCCCCTCCCAGTCCGTTGTTAGACATGGCTGAAAATGATCCGGCGACTGCTGCTGTGAGAGCGTGAATGACACTTTAAATCGAATGAGCCTCTAATCGACCTACGCAGCCACTCCAGGTTGATGACGACGTGGATTCCGCCATCGGAGATGAATCTGACGCTTCGTAAGTCTTCCCGAGCTGCGGTCTCTGGCGGTCTGCTCTGGCAGTTTGACCTCACTACAAAGTTCAGGGACACAACATCGCTTCGAAGCAGCATCTTCAACTATCATTACGAGAACGGGCGGCGCTACCATGCCTACCACGCAGGTTCTTATTGGTACGGCGCAAGACATGTCCAGGGGATATGGTTTTATGCTGATTGCTGATGCAGGGGTCCTAACGACGAACAGGCAATAGAGCATCTCAACATAGGGTACGCTCGTCTCGATTTCAAGACCATGTTGCTGACGGATTACAGACACCATGTCTACAATTTGCTACTCGGAGGACGGCTTTATCTAGCACCAATCAGCGAACAACCACAGGTAAGTACAGCGTTACCGAGACATGTTGCTTAGACTAACACAACAGCGTGTCCTTGACGTTGGCACCGGCACGGGAGCGTGGGCAACGTTCGTATATGTCTCAGTCACTTCACGAGCCACTTCTGATTCACTTACACAGTGATTTCGCTGACCAGCATCCTACTGCCGTTGTGATCGGGACTGACCTCTCGCCAATTCAACCGACCTGGGTTCCCCAGAATCTGTCGTTCGAGATCAGTGATTGTTGTGAGGAGTGGTCATATCAGAAGGACAGCTTCGATTTTATTCATATACGCGGCTTATATGGCAGTGTTGCCAACTGGTCTGCATTCTATGCGGAAGTGTACAAGTGAGTCAGCCTCGGAAGGAGGGGGGTTTTCTCTGACCTTGCAGACATGTTAAACCGGGGGGCTGGGTTGAGCAGGTCGAACAGGGCGTCGTGCCAAAATCTTTTGATGGCAGCACCGACGGCACAATATTCGAAGAATGGGGCAAAGTTTCTCTTGAGGCAGGAGATGCTTTTGGCAAGACACTTCGAATTGTGGATGAGTCGGCTCACTACATGAAGGAAGCTGGGTTCGAAGAAGTTACCGAAGAGCGTTTTGCCATGCCTGTTGGCCGCTGGCCGAAAGACAGGCGGCTTAAGGAGATCGGACTCTTTAACCGCCTACAATGGGAAGAAGGCATTGAAGGTTGGACTATGATGCTTCTAACTCAGGTGCTGAAGGTAGGTGACCCTCACTAGCTCGGCCTCTGACTCATCTTCTGTAGTGGCAACCAGCAGAAGTCCAACTATACCTCGCTGAAATGAGGAAGGGTTTACGCAACCCAAGGTATCATGCCTACCAGGATGTGTAAGATCTCCAGCCTTTTGAGGAAAGATGGTGCTGACCCTGTCAGTACTGTCGTATATGGTCGCAAACCGTTGACTGCCTGAGCCCAAATGGCAGCAACGAGCATGTTAAACACCTCTCATGATGTTCAAGGCGAAGTCTCAAGGCAACTCATGCACTGGAGAATTAGCCGTCAATAAAAGATATTTGAAAACCGAGCCGCCTTCCAAATGTTGTCTGCGTCGTGAAGGACCTTCTCCAGTTGCCACTTTCTTAAAAGATGCGGGCGTTGGAAGCGTTGAAGCCTGACAACGTTCGGGGTCTAGCCGCGCTAAAGCGGGTATGACATGCCGCTCAATCGTGGCAATCCATCGGCGAACTCATCGACCAAGTACGAATGGTCGAGCTCTCGCGAACGAAGAAAGCTACAAAGACCGAACTCGGGTAGTCACTTTGGACGATTTATCGTCACTTTGCATTATCAGTACCAAGGCAATCGAGTGCACACGTGGCTTGCTTGTCAGCAGTGGCATAGATTGCTTATAGGTAAGTCCAGACCCGGTCTAACTAGTAGTGGAATACTGTCGGCTTATCCCAGGGGATCCAGAATTGAGCGCCAGGTTCAAAATTTCCAGATTCGGCATGTCGGCTTTTCGGCAGCCTTAGCAATATAAATACGACCGCACTATAGTAATTTGTATGTAGTGTTTTCGAAGAGTTTTTTACCACTGTTATTTGTAAGATTTGATGTTGCTATTACTTCCTATATAGGCATTAATATGAAGAATTTGGTGTTGAGTTTTTGTAATAGCCTTACTCTAGCAAGTAAAGCCCAAGTGCTCTATACAGCTTTTTCTAATTAAGTTAGCCTGTTTCTCGTAGCATCTTAACATGTTGCCAAGAACCCGTGGGTTCTTGGGCCGGGTTGAACCCTCGTTTGTTGGGCCCAACACGCAGGGGGGTTAGGCCCGACCCCTCCCCCCCCCCAGAATCCAAGAACCCGGTCCAACCCGGCCCACGCAGCCTAGTTACCTGCGTCCGACCCCACACAGACAAGCCCAAAATCCTTCCAACCTCATCCAAAGTCAACACTGCTGTCAACTTCAACGTTCTGCTTTAGACTGCAGAATTTATGCACAAGTATTCGACATGGGTACCTACAGCGTCATCATAGCCGCGTGGCTGTCACTTTCGATATGGTGGATTTTCCGAGGAATTAGTAGGCTGTATTTCCACCCTCTGTCGGCGTTTCCTGGCCCTCCCATTGCGGCAATCACGGGACTTTACAAGGCTTACATTGATGTTGTGGCACAAACATCCTTTGTCCACAACCTGGAAAGGCTTCATGCCATTTACGGTAGGACAGCCGATGATCCCACCCAACCTTGCTGACAAGGTAGGTGACGTGGTGAGGGTTGGGCCGAACGAAGTACGCCACATGCCTGGACATTTTTTCTAATCGACTTCTTACGCGTGGGTGGTAGTTGCATTTCTCAAACCCAAATACCTACCATGAGATCTATAACGCGAATAACCGCTGGGACAAAGAGGAGTCCTTGTATCACAGTTTTGGAGAAGATCGATCGTCCTTTGGATTCCTGAAATACGCAGAGGCAAAGCCGAGAAAGGATATCCTCTCTCGCATCTTCTCGAAGAAAGCAGTTCGAGATGCCGAGCACCTCGTACAGGAGAAGGCAACCGACTACAAACATTCCTATATCACCTAGGCACTGACCATGAAAAGGTACTCGGTCTGTGCGATTCGTTCGTCAAAAGCGGGGGTTCTGTCAACCTGTTCTACGCATTCCGTTGCATGTCGGTAGATGTGATTACTTGTGGGAATTATCTTCGCTCACCTAAGCTTGATACTGATCATGAGGCGTAGATATATGTTTTGGACACTCCATCGACGCCTTGAAAGCGCCGGCTCATCAGGCGCCTATCATTCTGGCCATGGATGCTTCTTTACCTGTGTTCGTACGCTTCAAGCACTCAAGCATGTACAAAAACATGATCATCAAATGCCCACCTAATTTGTCGAAGATCGTCAGTCCTTCAACTGCTGGTCTCGTTAACCTTCAACAGGCAATCAAACAACAAGTCATAGACTTAAGCAGCAATCCAGAGCACTTGAAGATGTTGCCACATTCCACGACGATTTGGAACGAGCTTCTTCGACCCGAGTTGCATCCCAATGGTCGTGTACCGGATCCTGGAAGTTTGTTCGAGGAGTCGCAAGCCCTTTTATTTGGAGGAGCAGACACAATCGGCATGACGCTCATGCATGGCACCTTCCACATTCTCAAGGATGTAGAAGTTTACCAAAAACTGAAGGCAGAGCTGCAGCAGGCATGGCCAGTCCTAGAGGATGCTCCATCTCAAGCGACCTTGGAGACAATGCCTTACCTCGTGCGTATCTCCAAGGCCAAGTAAGTCCGGCCATCGCTAATTTGGGGATAAGAGTGCCGTGGTCAGAGAATCGCTGAGAATGAGCCCTGGAGTTGCATCCCCACTCCCCCGAGTGGTTCCTGCTTCCGGGACCGAGCTAAACAAGGGATTCATACCAGGAGGTGTAAGTCAGTTCTTGCGAATGCTCTCTGCAAGCTGATAGTTTCCCACAGACTGTAGTAGAAATGAGTAGCCACTTCATACACCGAAATGGCGATATTTTCGAGAGCCCGAATGACTTCAAACCCGAACGATGGCTAGGTCAGGCTGGAAGAGATCTCGAAAAGTGGCTGGTTACCTTCTCTCGCGGCCCTCGAAGCTGTCTTGGATCGAAGTGCGCTTGACCTCTCCCACCCTGCAGAGCGATACTGACGGAAGTCTGGAAGCTTGGCATGGGCCGAACTGTACTTGACATTCGCTCATGTCTACCGAAAGTTCGATATCGAGATTGATCCATCAAGGTACGCGAGCTCGGGAGCTCCATACGCACGTTGTACTGACTTGTACTAGTCCAAAGGAGCTGGTGTGGCGAGACTGTTTCTTGCCGGAATATCTGGGACCTCATTTGAAAGCGAAGATGAGACCAGTCAAAGAATAAATTGTTCCGCCAATTCTTGATGCTGTATGGAGGAGCACGAGGCCGACTATTGTCCCCCACATCTGATGAAACATGTACAAATTGCGATCAATACATATGCCGAAGAACAAGAAGTAGGGAAATTGCAAAAGATCAATCGTCAAGCCAGGATTTCCAGTAGTAATTTGCCAAAGCTGCAGCGTCCCAAGCATTACTATTTCCAGGGTTGGGAGTTCGTTGTGTAGCCGAATCCAATATCTGGTGTTATTGTTGTGAGGTCAAGTGACGAGAACTACTAGTAATTTATCAGCTGTACGTAGTTCGGCTGTAATGATAGGGTTCAGAGAACATGAGTGCCCATTGCACGACCATTAATATTGTGTGACTTTCATTGTTTCAATTATTTACTCTGAACCTGTTCTCCTGAAAGTATCGACCAATTCCCCGAAACAGCGAGTCGTCCACCCCTAAGTTAAGTCTATTTCAAACTATAATTGAATCCTTAGAGAGCATGGTAGTAATGCTGAAGGGAAAGGGATCTGTTTACGAAATCCTAGGGCCTAGAAACCGACCGTTTTTGAGTCCTCAGTGATGGAAATCCCAAATTGAGCCTCCGCCAATCCATAACTCGTCTTGACCGCCTCACTGGCATATATCCTCATCTTGCTTTCATAAGCCGCGGTCACATCGCTTTGATAACCGCCTGCGTTAGCCAACAGTTCACCGAGCAGCGCAGAGTCTCTAACAGCCGTGTTTGCACCAATCCCGCCCGCAGGGGTCATCGAGTGCACGGCGTCTCCGATGACTGTGACACGCGCCTCGTTCCGCCATTCCGGGACGCCTGTGGGGGTGGAGCAAGTAATCTTCCAAAACGCAGCCTCGGATTCTTCCATTTCATCGAAAAGGGGCTTCAGGCGGGGGTGCCAATTGGCGCTAAGGGCTTTCGCTATCTCAGCTGCTGGGGTTCCGATGATGGAATAATCGTCATTCGGTGGCCGGATGACGCCGGGCTGAGCCCCCATCGTCCACCCAAACTGCAGGTTGGGATCGTCCATATCACCTGGCCGGACATTGGTAATAACGAATACTCTTCCAGTCGGGTTAGAGTCATCTGTCAGTCGCCAGACACCTTCTCCAAGGCCTCTGAACGCTGTAGTCGGTGCTTGGCCATGTATCCCTCTCGCACCCGTATCATAAGTTTTTAGTCTTCCTTGCGACAACTGTTTTGCGACACCGGAGTATATACCATCGCCGCCGACCAACATTTCCCCCTCGTCTGATTTGGAGCCGTCTGCGAAGACTGCGCAAACACCGGACGACGTTAGTTCGTAGCCTGTAACGCGGTGAGCCCAGCGAACAAACGGTTCGCATCCAGACATGAAGATTTTGCGCATGTCGCCCCTGGAAATCCCCACGGTTTTTCCTTCGCGAGATGCGAGAATCTCTGCTGGGCTTTTTGCTCCCTCCCCCTTAATCTTTTCGCGCTCGCTATCTGTCGCAGATTCCGTCATCACCGAGCCTGTTGTCGCGTCTATAGTCGCGAAGCCACCGCCCCCGGTCTTGCCACATTGGTTCCAGAATCGCTGGAACCCCTCGGGCCCGAGGACCGACTCGATGGCATCCAGCCCTTCGGAAGAGAGGCGTAGCCGGTACCCCTGTGCGCGGAAGGAGATGGAGCTGTCCCTCTCAAAAATCAGAAAAGGAATGGAGCTCCGGAGGAGGGATTGCGCGAGCAAGAGGGACGCAATGCCAGCACCGGAGATAAGTATCGGTTTCTGAGCGCTCGTAGCCATCCTAGTAATATTAGAGTTACTAACTACGATGGAGTGAACAATGGGATAACAGAAACGTTGAATATACGTATCACGTATCGGTTGGTATTAGTAGTTTTGCACGGAAAAATCCTAGAAGCGATTTGGTGCGAATGAGTTGCTTCCGGTGAAATAATCGACAACGATTGCGTGGACAAGGCACTACGTATCTCTATCGATGCTCAGAGTGCTCATGTAGTGCTTAGGACGGGTCAGTGGGTACTCGAATCTACACCATCACAGCTCAAATTGCTTACCTCATAGATTGGTTTCTACAGGATTTGCTCGTGTCTCAGAATGAAAATGGACTTGGGTGAGGTCAAGATTCGTCTCCGAGTTCTGTGGCTTGAGCGTTCATGTCTATTCCAGTCCTTCAAGTTGTCCGACGAAAAGCACTGTGGCCAAGGCGTCTTGGCTCTGAGAAATGATTCCCTGTCTGGCCTCATGACTTTGCAATGGCAAGCAACATTTGCTGCGCCGGCCTTGACCCTTAAACAAGCTTGGATTTGCCTTCAACAAAATCGTGCTGCCATTGATGAGCTCTCAGTGTCCGCCAAGAATGAAACAATTGGAATACTAATGGAGAAGATAGAACCCTCAAACAACGCGCAAATCCTGCTCCTTCATCCCAGCCAAGTTTACAAACTAAGTACTCACTATTTATCAGGCCGGACACGGCGCAGAATCCGGGTCCTTGATCTTGACGGCACCGATGGAGGCACCGGAAATTTACTGGGTGGAACTCTGCGCCTTGTGAATCTGAAGACAGCTCTGAATTTGCTGCCTTGACATATAATGTGGGGCTCGTATTCCTCGCCAAAGAACACCATCGTGTGCAGGCAATGTCGGATTGGGATTACCAGAAGCTGCCATGAGGCTCTCACTTCCTTAAGAAAACTTTTCGGCTCCATTACGATATGGTTGGATAGTATTTGTATCGGTCATACCAACAAAGGGAAGAAGAAATCAATCCATATTTCCTTACCTACGCCCAACCAACGTGTAGGTGGCTTGATAATGGAAGTGATTCTATCAACAGAGCAATGCATTGTCTTAAGCTCGCGTCGCAACTACGCGTTCCTCCAATACCAGTGCGCGGGTTTCACAAAGTACCACCAGAACCCAGCTCAGGACGTTTGGACTTTGAGCACAATTTTTTAAACCTTTTCCGCCCCCTATGGATCCAAAGCTTTCAGGGCCATACCTGACACTGCTAATTGCATTCTCTATCCAGTCATCTCGTTTTGCATTCACCGAGGGCTTAAGAGACGCTTTTGTTCTGACGACTGCTGTCATCTCCTTGAAACTCAACGGCTCGACAGAACCTGGACGTACCAAGAGATTGTCCTCGCCTCTGATCCCGTCATCGTATGTAGGACAAAACATATGGACTGGCGTACAGTTATACGCGGGCTGGATTTTCCAGAAGAAGGACGAGTGACCGAGATATACGCTGCATTATTGGGTGTTGCAACATGCTCGATGTACTTTGCCTCTTTCTCTCTGGGAAGAATAGAGGAACCTGTTCACAATCTGGGACACCATACCTCGCCCTTCCTCGTACAATTTGTTTCGACTTGGGATTTGGACTATCCCATTGAATTGAAAGTCGTTGGCTTCCTCTGATACCACCAGGAATTTGGAATTTTTTACTCACGTCCTGTGGACGGTTTGGCAGAAAGCGAGGCCTGTACTTTGCAATGCCGTGCTACATTAGAACGGGACCCATCACTTTGATTCGAGGAGACGCCATCGCGAGCATTAACAATGTCCCCCAGTGCCAATGGTTCTTCGGAAGATTTCTGGCGCCCTTCACCAACTTCCCAACAATAAAACAAAGGGGTTTAAGTGGAAGAATAAGCCGTTCATCCTCTTCTCATCCGTTTCCTCCCAGGGGCGTCGCTGTCTGCCTGAGCTGTCCCCTGACCACTACCTCGTCGTGGTTGCCGCTTCCGCTCCACGCCTTTCTTCTTCTTCTGAGTCTCTGAGTCTTGTTGGAATATCCTAGCAGCAATCTGTGGCGATTTGGTTGGTGTGTCAGCCCTGATTCCGTCGGCTTGATGCTTGCTGACAGCATCGTCGCCTATGCGAGATTTGTGGCTGCGGGTGCGCCCCTGGGGTTCGTCCTTCCCCTTCTTTCCCCTCTTTTTCTGATTTTCTGATTTCTTGTCTTTTACCCTACTGTCTTCCTTCTGGACGTCCTCTCTCTTCATCTGCTGGTCCTTTAGATCCTTGTCTTCTTGCCCACTGGTGTCCTCCTCGTCCTCGCTCAGACCGTCATCAGGCTGCGGCAGCGAGAGATTCTCCGGCTCGCTTGGCGGCAACTTCAGAATGTCCTGGAGCCTCACCTGTTGAACGTCCCGTATCCAGTCCAAAAAGTTCGCAAACTTCTGGTAGCAAGCCCTGAATTCGCTCAGGTAGAGGGAGAAAGGGTGACCGGTGGCAACACGCATACTAAAGGTATCATACTTACGGGTGGAACTCGTGACGGATGGTGCAAGCCAGTGGACGGAGGCTTCTATCACATTGCCATCGAAGCAGATCGAGCCAACAAACGCTTTTCCAACGACGCACTCTGCTCCCTTCCCGTTTGTTAGGAAATTCTCATCAGCGAGCCAGGCATCACAGGCTAATGTTGCGGCGGCAAGGTTTTGTACTCGCTATTTACACATTCAGCATCCAATTTGTGGCAGGTTATCAGAGAGGGAAAGGGAGAGGGGGGGAGAGAAGGGAGAGAGAGAGAGAGAGAGAGAGCTTACTGCTCTGGCGATGCTACCTTCCTCGGTTTTGTATTCAACCACCCCATTGACACAAATCATCTGGCGATTTTTGATATGGCCAGGCAGATGCTTCGCAGACCATACGCGCATTCCAAGCTTTTCATGCGCGATACCGATGCTGAGGTCCGGCTCCAGTCGCCTTTGCAAACTAGGTAGCATGCCTTCCGGTATGATCCATGTCTCCTTTCCGACCTTACCATATCGCCCCTTTCGTGAGGTGGGATTAAGAAAAGTGTTGAAAAGGTGTGTTGTCTTTGGCTCTTTCGGGTTTAGAGCATTCTCGGCGATCATGGATGCGACTGTGCGAAAATGTGACTTGCCGGGCAAGTCATCCCTGTCTTTTTGAAGCGCGGTCTGAATCTCTTTGAGGTTCGAGGGAGTGTATGTGGCTACTAGATCCAAGTCTTCAACGGTATCAGGGTCATCAGACCCATTCTCATCATACAAGTAGGGGACGACTCCAAAGCTCTCATGCATCTCGACGGTATAGCCGAAAGGATTTGTTCGCAGCGGGCCTGAAGGAACTGATATGTCTGTGATGAACGATCTGGGCGTTGAGCAATATGGTTTGTCTGTTTCATCCGAGTGGTTGGATGACGGCCGGGCAGACTGATGGACTGGCTCCCACTGGGTGAGTATGAGCAGAATGCCTTTGCTTTATTTGCTTTGGCGTATACTAACCCCGCTTTGTTCCTGGAGAAGTTTAATGGGTGTCTTAGCCTGAAGGGCCCCGAGGTTTGCTTGCGTCAATTTCTGTCGTATATGCTTTTGCTTGCAAGGACGTCCCGGCAGGCCATCCATAGCGAATGAAGAGACTTCTGATGTAGGAAGATTGCTTGATGCGCTCAATTATACAGCATTGTTTGCCGCCGTGTAATATGACAAATGAAGAGTAAGAAAGTTGTTGGGGGGTTTGGGCTGAGGAGACGGCGAGGAGGGAAGAGAAAACCAGCTGTAAAGAGCAAGCGGTGGAGAAAGCGTCAATATACCCTGTAAGGAGTGTCTAAGGGCCGATAGGATCAGTGCTTGTCAGTGGAATGTGGTAAAACCATACACAATGTGACAGTTTTGGAATGCTTGCGTGCTGGCTGGTCAGGTTACCGACTACTCCGCAAGGAGTAGAACATCTTTTCCTTCTACTTGATCGCCCTCTATCTCCTTCATGCGAATTTATAAACGTTTCAATGAGCTATCAAGTTGTAAGATCTTCCACAATCATGACCAACATATGTGCTCCGGCCTAGTACGAGCAAACATCTGTGGGGGGCGCAGAATGTCACGTGAGGATAGCGCCAATTGATCCTTGAGCGAATGAACGTTGACGATGCGTATTCACATACAAGAGAGTAGCCAACCGGCGCTTTTGCCTGCGTAGAGCGTGCGCACCCCAAATAGCCGTGTACGGGATAGAAATGAACCGAAGTGGGGGCCTGCCATTGAGTTGTGACTTTCCGTGGGCCATGTGCCATGAGCTTTCTACCGTTGAGGATAGGCCAGCTCGTTAACGCCCAAATAGGTAAATGTGCAGAGTTCAATCGTTGATGGCGACGTTATAACCGCTTCAACAACCAGTTACTTGGCTTTTCTGGAAGCCCTTGTGCTGTCACCGCCCTTGACCCTATGGGGTCATTTTCACCGTAAACTCCGATGCTGCCTGGGATATTCCGCCTTTGGTTTAGGCGGCCTGCCCCTTTGGGGATGGTCACACAGCCTTGGCGACTTGCTACTTTTGACGTCGCCATCATAAGATCACCCTCCTATCCTCTCTTTTCATCCCTCTTCTGGCCTCTGGCTCTTCCCATCCACTTCGTCGCACTAGCAGCTCCTATCATGCATTACATGACACAGCTGGGCCCTGCCCTTCCCTTCATGCCAGGCTCTCTGATTCTCTACTGACTTCTTGGCAGTCTGCCTTGCCTCTGTATACAATCGAGATTGAGAGGCATGCTTGGGTATTCTCAAACATGTCGCTGCAGCTATCATTTATATATATCAAAAATGAGGCCAAACCGGCAATCTCAAATGGGAATAGCGTTAGGCCAACCAAAATCTGGGAGTATCGTACCGCACTAAGCGAAGTAGAAAGGTGCTCCGAGACATGTGAGGAAAGTAAAGCGAGTTTATCAAGCACTGCACGCCTGATGGGCGTGCAAATAACGAGCAAAAGATAGGAGCATAGTGTGAGTGAATGTACTGTTCTCAAGATGCCCAAAGGACGCCTTATGGACACTATTCTGACTGATCCTGGGCGAGCAATGTCAGCCCTGCCATGCAGGTGCCTGACAGAGTTCCCCTTACAAACTCTTTTCCTTCCACCCTCCTTCACTTTCCTGCAACCGCCTTCAGGATTGACGGAAGCATCTTCCCCTCACTTGCGGCTGGGGTGGACCAACAGGGTGCTCGCCAACCGGCACAAAAGTGTAGCTACCCTCGCTACCGTAAATGTAGCAGGTTGCGCCGCCTGCGTTGTAGATTCTGGAGACGGAGATCTCGGGGTGGTCTGCCCAGAATCAGTAATTGCGATTACTTGTGGGAAGGTGAAGGCCTGAAAAGGCGAAGCAGGAGGGCACAAGGAAGGTGCTAGGGTAGGGGTGGAGTGGGAAGGGAGGTAAGAGGGTGAGTGGGTTTGGGAGAGGAAAGGGTCTGAAGAAGGTAAAGTAAAGGGGGATGGGGATGGTGAAAGGCTTGGTGGATAAGGAAACGGAGCTGTTGAGAAGGTAAGGGAGGGAGGGATTAGGCTTGGGCGTAGGAAGTGCTGGAAGCGGAGGTCAGGAGAAATGAAATGAAGGCGCATACTGATTGTGAACTCCGACCCATCCGTAGGCGCAGCAATGCTATACCTAGCATCGACGTCCGCGCCATAAAATGTGAGACTAACTGTCGTGGTCTGGCGCGCTTCTACATCTGCTCTGGCTTCAGGGGCTGGAGCTGCGACAGCCATGCCTAGGATGAAGGGGAGGAGAGCGAGAGTAAATTTCATCGTGATGAGGTTTCTGGACTTCGGGGGAATAGGTTCTGAATTGGACGTTGGGCTGAAAATTGGTGAATATGATGAGATTGTTTTGAAACTCAGAGTGTAATTGACCAGAGACTGGGAAGGAGGATGAGAGGAGGAAATATATATTCTCGTCTTACTACTCGTATGGAACGGAGTCCGACACAGCCGAAGAGAATATATAGAACAGTAGCATCCGTTGCCTCGCCTTTTCAGCCGTGTAGGGGTCTCATTTCCATTTAAAGCAAAAGGATCAGAGTCCCGTGCCCCAATGATGTTTTCTTTGAAGGAATATTGAGCCACAAGCCGTTGGAAGTTAGAATGATACGAGAAGGAATTCGCGGGGGCGATGTCCCTACCTCCACGGAGGAAACACAGTCAAGTCGGAGGTTCTTCATCCTCCGCCTCAGCGGCAGGATTTCCAATCCTTCGACAGGCATCTCGGCTTCCGAATGCATCCCTCAAGCAAAGATCGGTCTCTGCCGACGTTAATAAAACAATACAATACTCCTAGATATAGCATATGGACATCAACAGTGAGTGGACATAGAAGTGCTAAGCTGTGTCATACCGTAGTTACAACTGCTAACAAAAGCTTATATAAGCCTCTCGCACAGCCAGCAGATTGTGCTAAGAATAAGCATATTCAATATAGTATCGTCTGGTCAGCTATACGAGCTGCTTACTCTTGTCCGTCAGTCACGAGGCCGCTGCGGACGAGATTGGTGTTATGGGAACGCCAACACCGCCAAGATCATTAGACCCTGGAACGTACTACTTAGTAGGGAGGAGTCCTCTGAAAACATATGACTAAAGTACCATCAACGTGTGCTTAGTTTCAACCTATCAAGATATGATCTTTATCAATATACGCTAACGAGGATGAGTAAAAGCTAGCTCTTCTTATTCTAGCATAGTGTTAGTAGTCGGTAGTAACGTAAGGATGGTCAGTGGGGGCGAGATGGCTGAAGCTTAACTGACGTAGGCCTCTGAGCCACGTCAAACGGTCTAAAGAGGGCCCTAGGGGTCTAAGGAAACACGGGGTCATGCAGCAGCTCTAGGGCTCCACCCCTATAGCACATTTTCTACGTGACGCTAAATCTTAGATCGAGCGTGCTAGTAGCGCTCTGAATTTAGCGTATATTGATGACTTTTGTTGCACGACTCCATAAGGAGTACGGAATTAAGATATCTATAATTTATCATGTGACGATGAGAATTATGTTCACACCAACGTCCTCCGACTATCATTGTGATGATAAAACAAGACTAATTTACTAAGGATCGCTAATGCGTCATTTTCGGAGGCCTTCTCCACGTAAGTATCTGAGTACTCCGCGACCTTACTTCGAGGCACCCTGAAGTGCGACCAAAATTATGTCACTCTATCATTCACATGTCTTGACAACGTTTGTGCCGGATCAGAGGTTCAGTCAATGAGAGTCAGTGGGGTTTGAGGTCGAGTTACAGTGGGGCCGTGGACGTTGCCTTCTACCGGTCGACGGTAAAGGAGTCGGGTATTGCCCGCTACTATACAAAAGTGGTGCAGTTCCTTGGCGGTGCATCAAGAATTGCTGCCGCTGTTGTGTCAGATAGAACCAGCTCTTGAGGGCGGTCTGAGTACCGAGGTTAAGTGTTTAGTATATTAAAATTTAGGTCATGATCACCTAATTTAAATGATATATGTAACAAGTAATATCCTGTGTCCCTGAATGGGGTTTGGGGGGGTTTGGCCAAGTGCGCAATATATATTGATGCCCGAAGTCCGGAGTAACACTGGTCGGAAATGAATGTCTTGCTGATCGCGGACTACTATACGTAGTAAACAACGAATGCGGGGCCCGAGCTCGTGTGGTACTGCCACACAACACCAAAAGCCCAAGTCCAACAAGTCCCCAATTCTACCTGGAAGAATAAAGCAAACTTCTCATCCCCTCCGTCGACAGATTTTTCAAAACGCCCAGCGGGTTACTCCACCTCTTCCGCCTCGTCCTTAACTTTTCTTCTACAAGCTCCACCTCAGGCGACGACATATCCGGCACAGGTTCCGTCCCAGCCTTTGATACCTGGCGACGATAATTTTTCGTGCCACTGCGTCGGTGAAGCTTCTCAATGCCTGTCAGAGAGCGTCTCCTAGGTTGTAGCAGTGATGATCGGGGCACGGCCTGTTCTGCAGTGTTTTTGCCGTCGCCTAGCTCGTCGTGGTCCTCTAAGACAGTTTTGTGGCTGAGAGACTCATCTTGATGTTGAGGTTGGGTCTGATGCTGCTGCTGCTGCTGCTGCTGCTGCTCGATTTCGTGCTTCACCTCCACAGATGTGTCATGGGAGAAGCGTGAGCCGACGAGCGTTAGACTTGTAGATCGCTTCGTGAAAGGGCTATGAATGCTAGCAAGACTAAATTTCCGTGCAAGAGATCCTGCAGATGCTCGAATGATGTTGCCGCCTCGAGTCAGTGACATCCCAGGGAATGGTAACGTATCTCGAGTCCAGACGTCGGCGAGTGATTGCTCAAGCCGAATCCTTTCTGATCTCTTGGGTGCCAATATCGTGACTCGATGCGTGGTTAACAATGATTGCGAGCGATTGACCGCCCCAGTTGTAGAGTATCTCAATTCCTGGCCATCCTGTGGCTTATGGGTGTTCCTGATGATTACCTGGCAGGTGGCGACTTTTGGGGCTACTGTTGCAGCTCTTTGAATCGACAGTCGTCGTGCAAGTGGACCGCCTTGACCAAAGATGGGAGCCAAAGCCTTCAGGTCCAACGATGTTGTGGTGAAGAGATTGGGCACTCGAAGCTCGGTCGCTGGACCTTCAAGGGCCAGAAGACTTCTGCCTCGTTCTACCCCGGCCAGCCATTGCTGCTGCTCTGCTGCAGAGCACGCGCTAAACATTAGCTCGAAGAGATGGCTGTCTGACTCAAATAAGACCTTCCACGAGAACAGAGCCGTGTGGCATTGCAAACCTTTGAGCAAAGTCAGCAGGAGAGTACTGACAGGAAATCGGACAGCGTACCTTTGCCGTCTTCGGTGGAGACCACTTTTGCGTCTGAAAGGTATATGGTCGCCACGATATCGAATTTTGCGTGTCCTGCTGCGGGGGCCGCGACAAGGAGATAGTCTTTGAACATCACGCACAGCATGTATCCACCTTCAACACGTTGACTGGTTTGGTATGCGACATGCAGTACACCGCACAGTAGGACGTGACCAAGCATTCGAAATTGAGCTGCTTTTAATGCATCATGACTCAATTTGAGGCGGTCTTGAAGGAGCCATCGTCGCTGTATTCGCTCTCGTACTTTAGGATCGTCCGTTACCATGTTCACCTCTCTGACCATCTCACGAAAGTTGGCTAAAGCTCCGTCAACCTCTGCATGGGTACTCGGACAGTCAACAACAGGCGTATGCCTGTACAGGTCCAAAAAGAATAGCGGGTATTTGCATATCCTTTGAATTGGCTTGATGAGTAAATCGTGAGCAGTGAGGCCTTTCTTGCCAGCGTTGCTGCGCTGGTTGAGAGAGGCTATTGAGTTGGCCAGAGCTTCCATGCCGGATTCATAAGACGGCCACTCTGGTACCATCTTATGCGAGTTGGCCACTTCCTGAATCATGATATCATACTTCGCGCTATATTCTTCATACACGAAGAAGCGGGCCATTTGGTTTTTGTACGCCCGTGCAACCTCTGCCACCTCTGCAGGATCCGCTGAATAGTTTGAGCTACCGCGACGGGTGTACACAGCATCTACTGGCGACCGCCCTGTGTGGCTACGCTTAGGTGTCAAAGCTGGAAAGGACGTAGCATATAGGCCTTGCCATTTTGTATGGCTTCGTGTGATGGGTCTCAAGAGAGGAGAGACAAGGTTGCCCTCTCGGAGTGTTGCTCGAAGAGCTACTTGATGGAGCTCATCGATTATTTGCTCATGTAGATGTAGCATATCCGTAACATTTCGCTGGATTGAATATCTCGTCTGGCTTGTAAGAGTGGGAATGGAGGCGAGCAACGTCGAAAAGAGATTATGTAGCGCCTTGAGGTCGGCCACATAGCTTTCCTCAGAGCTGAGAAGTTCCTGCAGAACTTGACGACGTTTGATGCTTCTTCGCAAGGCTCCATCATCAGGAGAGGAGATGCTCGAAGGTCTCTGACTTTCCACAGAGGAGCGAGGATCACTGCTTCGGTTAGCTCTGGTATCGCTAACTCGACTATATCTGTGTGACCGTGGGAAAAGGCTCGTGCTGTCATTGCTGACACTGGCTGTCTTGATTGTTGCAACGAACCGTGAGGATGCGTTAGAAGTGCGCTTCTGATGCCAACGGTGTTGGGGAGGCGAAACTTGCAATGTAGATGGCGTATTTGTTCGTGACGCAGTCTTTATGACTCGGTGCTTGTCGATATCTCTACACGTGTCTCGCTTGCGACGAAAAGTACTCGCCCATTGTCTGAAGTTTCCAGCTGTTTTGCCAAAGGACTTGTTGAGGATCATCGGCGACGTGGATGTCACCTGCGGCTCCTCAGACCTGGGCGATGTTACACTGGATTCCGCAGCGTTGCGTGTTGTGTCACCCATACTAGGGGAAGGTTCCGCTGAGTCATTCAGTGCACAATTCGACGGCTGATGTACAAGGCGGTGGGCTTCGCTCCGACATTGCATATCTTGGAGTCCATGATCCAACGACACCCCTGGATCAAAGACTGGAAATGCCTCCGTATGCCCGAAGGCTTCATCTACTGGCCGTGTACAACTGGTATTGCTTTCACATGGTCGACATTGAGCTGCGTTGAGCGAATATGATCGTTTAGCTGGGGATCCAGCGGGGCTTTCGGGGTAGAAGCGGTGTTTGGCGTTCTCGTCTGAGTCTGGCGGATGTCCTGACGATATTGAGTTGATGGGGACCGAGCCTGCTCTTGATTTTTGCGGAGGGCTGTCCTGATCGACGTAATGAGAGCTTTCGACGACGTTGGAGCCGCAATGGCTTGCATCCGAGAACAAGTACGGCTTGCGGCTAAATGCTCTGCCAAAGGGACTGGGAAAAATAGGAGGCAAGAAGGCGGTTGCCATCAGGGCGTTGCAGATATTATCATTATTGATTAATCAAGAAAGATAGAATGCCAAATCCCAACCAGATGTAGTAGGGCTTGGGCCCGTCAATGAAGCTCAAACAAGGCAGCAAATTGCAGAAGCTCAAAACGATGCGCCAATCCCAAGAAAAGCGGTAAAGAGAAAGGAAGGGTGCAAGCAAGCAGAAAATTGTTCAAAAGCACAAGTCGAATGGTTTCTTACCTGAAACCCGGGTAAGCTTTACCTACATGATGCAGTAGCGACCATCACGATTGAGATTCCAAGCGAAATGTTCATCGAGCGATAATTATTTTGAGTCATCCAGAAGCCATCTACACTCCCTCTGGCAAGCTTTCCGATTGTCTCAGGCTGCTTCTCTACAGCTATTAACTGCGCCATCACCAAACGATCTGCTAATCCACGGCGCGATCAGTGATCAATGTGCAACCCTTATGTGATGGTTGGCCTGTATCGGAATGGGACGCAAAGTGCACGTTGACCCCGGTTTCTGCTGGGTGTCAGTCATTCGCCCACCATCGCTGGTGCTGCTGGAGATCGCCTTCCATTCAGCTTTCGCTTGCTCGAACACGTTGTGAGAATAGCTTTGGTATGCGCTTCGAAACACGGTTGGGCAGTCTACCAGAGTCCATACACCAGCTCGGTTTTGTAGAACCATTGATTGATGCTCAGTAGGTAACACAATAGCCGTTGAGGCTAAAAGCATAATCGCGCTGTGGGTGCTGCTACCGCTGAGGCCCCTTGCAAGCGTCAGATGGTCTTTTCTTTGTAGCTCCGTCGTCCATATATCAAATAGGCAGTAGATGGCAGCCAAGGGTTCCTCGCCCTCCCCAGCCTGATCTTGGTGTCAAAGGAAGCTCGAGATCCTGAGATGAACCGCGTGTCTCGTCATCTCTAACTAATTTCACCATAATTGTTCGCTAAGAAAGACGATATCAACGCATGAACGAGCTCAGTGATGAGATTTGGCTTACCCTTTCACTCCTTTGCACAACCTCGGCAACCTTTCGAAGATTCTCATGGTTTCTCCAATGTACGGGGCCAAAATTTGTGATTTTGTCTCCCACCTTGAGGCCCGCTTCCTGTGCTGGGCTAGAGGTCGCAACCGAGTTGACTTTGGCGAATGGAGGATCGGACGTTGTTCTGCTTGGTGTCTGTGTGCTTGCCGAACTAGCGTTCTGCCGCAAAGATGATGGTGGTTCTTCTTTCGAGTCTTCCGAGCCACGCAGAGATGCGTGATGTTGATGGAGCGCTTTCTCGATCCTGTTCATTATTTCTTTGTAGTCATTCTTCAAATGAATGATTCTGGCTCTGGTTGTTCTGACTGCGCCATTATTAGCCCTGTACTCTTCCTCGTCCCTGGAGTTTTTCTCTCGTACTTTGCGCAACATCAATGTCGTCCCGAGGGTACCCGTCAAAGGTCGTCAGACTGGTGTTCATATTGACTCCATGCTTGTATCTACATGTCAGACGCGAGCTCTTTCAGCTTCTCTAATCACTCACAGAATCAAGTACGCTACCTAGAGCTTTAAGCTCTTCTTCTAGACGGTCTTTTCTATCGATGAGGTCAAGCAAAGACAGCCTGGAGATACCAGCATCGTTGCCTTGAAGCCTCGTAGTAGGGCCAGAAGGCACTGTAGGTGTGTGAAGGTCGTCCATCCGCAAGCCCATTTCGTCGCAAGAACTTGACTGAAGCAATAGATGGCGGTTTTAGAAATAGACAACCGTAAAGCTACCCAGCCTCAGGTTGATCGCTGCGGGGCATGCAAGCTTTACATGCTGTAACATGCTCTAGTACAGTATTGGTGGTGGGGCATAGAAGGATATGTGCCAAGACTGGTATTGTCACGTGAGCCTCCATGGTAACGCTTGTGATCTGCGTTGATCAACCTTGTTGACGACCGCCTACAAAATTTCTCCCAGCTCCTTCAAAACTCCCCTGGTGCACCTATACTGCGCGTATCGTCAAATCCATAGCTTGCCATCGCCTGGAGCTCATCCATTATCAAGGTTGATCTCTCTGCCTTGAGTTGTGGCCTTGATCCACTTTGCACACCTGTGCCCGACCTCAACGAACACATCAAAATGGCTGAACCAGCCCAAAACATCCCGCAATTCAAGCTTGTGCTTGTCGGTGATGGTGGTACAGGAAAGGTGAGCACGTCGATGTCAAGTAACTTCACGACTTTCTGTCAACTACTCATTTGACATATGAAAAAGTGGTCATTTCCTCCTTCATGCGATTCTTGTGGCCGATCGATATCTCTGATGGATCATTGACTGACCGCGGCAACTAGACTACCTTTGTTAAACGACATTTGTCCGGAGAGTTCGAGAAGAAGTATATTGCCACTCTGGGGGTAGAAGTGCATCCTCTCGGCTTCACCACTGTGCGTAACCGCCAATCACATCTCTCTTTGACACCACTCATCCGTCACTAGAACCTTGGCCAAATCAACTTCGATGTCTGGGACACCGCAGGCCAGGAGAAATTTGGTGGTCTGCGAGATGGATACTACATCAACGGGCAATGCGGCATCATCATGTTTGACGTGACCTCTCGCATCACATATAAGAACGTTCCAAACTGGCACCGTACGTTCCTGCTCAGCTCACCATCCGTGTGCCCTTCTAACATCTTTAGGTGACCTCGTCCGAGTCTGCGAAAACATCCCCATCGTTCTCTGCGGCAACAAGGTCGATGTCAAAGAGCGCAAAGTCAAAGCAAAGACCATTACCTTCCACCGCAAGAAGAATCTACAATACTACGACATCTCTGCCAAATCCAACTACAACTTTGAAAAGCCGTTCTTGTGGCTGGCTCGAAAGCTTGTTGGCAATCAATCTCTGGTATGAGTTCTATCGATTCCTTGACTAGCCCAGCTACATCGCTAACGCGCTGATCTTGTTTCTCAGGAATTTGTCGCTGCTCCAGCTCTAGCCCCAGCAGAGGTGACACTCGACCCAGCCCTGCTCGCACAGTACCAAAAGGAAATGACCGAGGCAGCTGCCATGCCACTGCCAGACGAGGATGACCCAGATCTATGAGCAGCAGCAGTGGCCACCAGCGGCATAGACAACAGCTTTGGTGATAGTTTTACACGTCGATGACACGGGAAACAGTAGCAGAGTCCTGGGAAGCTGCAATGGTTATGGAAATGGGAGACTGGGCAGTGAAAACGGCATGAATTGATGAGTAGTTGCCTTTGGCATTTGCAAAAATTGCAAGGCAACATGCATGCTTTCCTTTGTCGGCAGCTTACAGTAGTTTAGAGACATCAGCAAGCATGATAGAAGCTTGAAATTATGTCATTCTTGGCGCTCAAGCTTTCTCCGCCACAGGTGATATCAATCTGACCGGGTACTAGTATGCTTTTCACAGTGACTATGAATCCACCATTATCCTCTTCTGACTGTTTGTAGCTGGATTTTCACTGCACATAGCCAAACAATAAAAGGTATCATGATCAAGAAAGGTCCGTTTATTCGACATAAACTTGCAGCTACGAAGTCTAGCTATCTGAAGCTCAACACTTTTGATTTTATTTGAATGAATGGATGAACGAAAGACAATAGCACACAACAGGCCTTCCAACCCCTGGACGAGCATCCCTCATAATGGCTCATCAGTACCCGACTGCATTGGCACATCTAGTATTCGTAGCGACGGCGTCGCTCTCCCTCATCATCATAATCACCACCACCAAACCCACCAGGCATCTGCTCCCTATCATCACCACCATACCCTGCACCACCAGAAGAGCGGCCATAGCCCCGGTTGCCAGAGCGACCGTAGCTTTGATCTTCATCATCGTTCCCAAACCCGCCGGGCATCTGTTCAGTTTCGTCACCACCGTAGGCAGGTCGAGAGCGGCCATAGCCCTGGTTATCATCGTCATTGCCACGATAGCCACCAGTGTGAGCATCAGCACCACCATAGGAGTCCGAGGCGCCTCGTCCATAGGTATTGGAGCCGTAGCCACCGCTTGTCTCTCGACCGTAGGTATTGCCGCCGCTGCCATATCCAGAAGTCGCTTCACGGCCGTAGGTGCTGCTGTCCCCATAGCCACCAGCCTGGCGGTTGCTGCTATATTCGTCGTCTTCTCGGCCGCCTCTAGAGTATCCAGACTCGCGCTCAGACGTTCTGACTCCGTGTCCAAACCCGGTCTGATGACTGCCACCGTACTCGTCTTCATCTCGACGACCTCCGGTGTGACGCGACTCTCGTCCATACGTGCTGCTCCCATATTCGTTGTCACCGCCACCACCGGTCCTGCGCCCGTATCCAGACTCGCCATCGTCTCGGCGGGCTCCAGCGTAATCCGACTCTCGTGTGTTACCATAGCCAGAAGTCCGCTCACCGCCATACTCATTGCTGCCATAGCGTTGACCTCTGTGTTCATTGCTGCTGCGACGTTGACCACCGTACGGGTTTCCAGAGCTAGTGTATTCGTCCCTATATTTTTTCTTGTTAGAATCTTCACTGTCGTCGTCATCATCATCAGAGTGTTTTTTATGGCCATGTTTCTTTTTCTCTTTCTTTTCCTTCTTTTCGCGCTTCTTCTGTTTCTTGTACTCGTCGTCGGAGTCGTCATCATCTGATTTGTCCTTCTTGTGGGAGGATTTGCCAGGGTAGCCTCCAGAGCCGTAGCGCCTGATAGGCCGACATGAGATGGTGTCGATGAAGGAATTGGATGTTTGGGGATGGGGGGTTGGGGTTTTCACTTACCGGGTCTCCGATCCATACTCGGCTCCTGAGGAGCGCTCTTCATGATGATAAGTCTGATTTCCAGAATCGTCGTACCGGGCTGTCTCGGTGAACCGCTGAGATCCATAGCCACCGGAGGCGGCCGGCTTTTGTTCGTAGCGCGTGTACTCTTCCTGGCGGCCACCTGGTGCATCAGTTCTGGAAAATTGAGCTTGTCCGTAAGTGTTGCCCGACTGGCCATACTCGCTGTACGTTTCGTTGTGAGAGCCATCTCGGCCGTAACTCTCAGTCTTCTTTGACTTCTTTTCTCCTTCCCCGAATGCGCCTCCTAAAAGACCACCTGCCAGACCCCCGACTATGGATCCGACCACACCACCGCCAACCGCTTCACCCGCTATTTTTCCAAGCTCGTTGTTGCCTCCCGAACCATACTTCTGACCGCCACCAGTGCCACTTGCAAGAGCTCCAGACAAGCCTCCCATTACTGCAGACGCTGCAGGGCCGCCGATTGCTGAGGAGCTCTGAGCAGTATTGAGATTAGGCATTCCTAGCGGTTTGTTGCAACCATGACCATGATCCACCACTCCGGGCTTATGGTTTCGGCCACTCTCAACTCCACTGCGACTGAGCTGCTCCCTGAGACCATCCTTTTCGCGCTCAGACTTTTCTTCCCACCAGGTTTGGACGACTCCAAACATGAGCCGACGACCATCGGCCGCCCCATCTTGACCATAGTCACGCAAAGCTGGATGATGAAGAGTTCCATTGATTATTCTTGTTAGTGTTCTGTCAACATCGATCCGCTCGTCATCCCAGCAAGCCATGAGCTGAGGAACGACCCACTTGAGGACTTGGCCAGCAACTTTGCCGGCCGGTTCGTTGAGGACGTTTGAGAAGTGGTCTTTGGATAGCATTGAATGGGTAGGGTCGGAGGAACTATCATCTCTGAAGACAATATGCTGCTGTGCGGCACTGGATTCGATGATCTCGCTCGAACCAGTGTTCAGCTCATTCTTCACTTGGTTGATGATAGGGACAACAAATGGTGCCAGCAGGGAAAAGACGAAGATGTTGATTTGTTCTTGAATTTGCTCGATCAGATCTGGTAGGATAGGAATCTTCTCGATAGCCTCGGTGATTGATTTCATGACTTCGTCGTGCCATTCAAGAATTGGGTAGATCTGCTCTTGTATGTCATTTATGTAACTCAACCATTCCTCTGGCTCTCGAGGGCTAATTCGCGTATTCTGCATCTGATGGGCTTGGGCGTTCTGCTTAAGGTCATCTGCCTTTTGGGACTCATTTTGGCCACCAAAAATTCCGTCAGGCACTTTGTCAAGGAGGTCCTGAAGCATGCTGGTATCCGATTGATTGTTTTGAGCCTGATTCATGGTATTTTCGAGTTCCTGAATCTCTGACTGAGTGGCCTTGTCGTCGAATTCGCCCATTACAGAATGCAAGAAGTCGACACCGCCGAATGTTCCGGTGCAAAGGCTGTACTGGGGTCAGAACAGGCAAAGTAGCTCGAGGCTGGGGTAAGACTTACGGATATACCGGCTGGCGCAGTTCTCGGAGTTGTACTTGAGTTCGCCTTCCGACATGTGGAAAGACATTCCGCTCGCCGAGCTCGATCAGAGCAAGTTCCACGTAGTTAGAATGGGCAGAAAAGTCTTCAAGGCAGTGACACCCAGTGCCAAGAAGACGGAGGGCTTCGTAAAGATCGTCCTTGTTCTTTGATCTGGCGTATTGTCGCCCGAGCTGGATAGAACGACCGAAAAGTTTTCGAACAAGGCCAGCTGAGGTGTCGATACCAGCACGTTCATTGGCAATGTAGTTTTTCATGCCTGTTTGCTCATCGATGGAAAGTTCGCGACGTTCGTTGACAGGTCCTCGAAGGCGACGATCGTACTGCCTAGCGTCTTCATTGTCCGCATAGTTCTTTGGGCTGCATTAACGTCAGCTTCACGAGGTGATCACCAGGGGACTGGCCCTTTGCTTACTTGTCAATGTGCTCTTCCGGACGATAGCAACCGAGACGGGCCGTGGTGACCTCGAATTCTTTGGTTCCATAACCAAAAGACATAAAGCCCAAGACCCATAAAAGGATGCGGATTGCTTCGGCGCTGACATATTTGACAGTTCCAACATCAACGGCCTGGCTATAGTCACGAAGCCAATTTCCAAAGTAGACCTGATCGGATGAGTTGGAGATACTAAACATGGTGGGGGGCCTTGACATACTCTCTTCACATCAAGCTTGCTGAATTTCTTGCCACCGGCAGCACGTGCCATGAGGATCGTCAAAAGAATATCTTCCAAATCCCCATGGCGCCAGTTCTGTCCCTCGATTTTGGAGGTACTTCCGATGTTTCCTGCCCCAAAGGCATAAGCTGATTCGGCGAACGCGAGCAGGCAGATCAAGCAAACGAGCCCAACTGATAACGATGAGTACGCCATGCTGCTTGCTCAATACTAGTTTGGCAGACAAGAGTTTTAGAGCAAGGAACTGCTGCACAAGTTGTAGAGAGTGATGGGGCTGTGGAGTATTGTATTTGTTGGTGATCAGAACCCAAGATACGTAGGAAATGTACGGAGCTTGCAGGCGGTGAAGCAGTACAAGCAAGAAGGCAAATATTTCACCGTTGACGAAAGATATGGTTCATAATGCCCTTGCTGGTTTGACCATTGCTGTGAAGCTCCAAAGCAGTTGGTAGTAGTTGGTTTGTCTCAGGATCATGTGAAGATGGTTCAAGTTGTGCGCATGCAAATCTTGGCGGGGAGGGGATCAATATGGGCATTCTGTGACTACTAACTTACTTTAGTAGACAAGTGAAAGCTGGGCATGTGTTTGTGTATGGCTTCAAGGCTAAAGTTTATGTCTTCGTCCTAACGAAGCTCGCGGACAAAAGGACATTGAGCCGAGTATTCTCCTAAACCACTATTTGAAGCTCTGGTGCACGAGTCGAAGTACATGATCCATTGAGCGACTGTTAGAAGCTCATTTACTTCACACCCTCGAACCATGATCAAGGTTGGCTGAACAAGAACTCCAATGCCCCGTTTACATCTCCGCCACTACGCTGAAGCGCCTGAATATTCCTGTTGAAGTCGAAGAAACCCATCTCGTTCAGCTGTCGAAGCTGTGTTGCGTATCGCTCTTCTGGTGGTCTGTTGTCTGGTGGTGCAGCCGGCCCGCCCATTCCTGGCCCGCCGAAAAGACTTCCAAGATTTGCAAGAGGGTTGGTAGCGCCAGGGTTACCACCGAATAGATTCCCGAGCCCGCTTGCACCGCCACCTCCCATGGCTTGGACAAATTGGTTCATTAGGTCCGGGTTCTGAAAGAGAGGATTGTTTTGAATGTTGAGAAAGGGGTTCGCAGGTGGATTGTTCGAAGAATCATTGCCTTGTTGGCCAGGCGGTTGTTGCTGTTGTTGGTTAAGGTTTGCTGGTGGCATCCCGAGCAGGGCCGCAAATGGATTCTGAGCTTGTGACGTGGATGAGCTAGTATCAGTGGTCTGTTGGTTTGTGGTCGTAGGGGGCATGCCGAAGAGGGCTGCAAAAGGGTTTGATGTTGCACCCCTGTTGTTGGTAGCAGGCGGATTCGTCGAGCCATTGTCCCGGTTGTTATCCTGTGACTCGCTCCCTGCTTCTCTGTTCTCGGCTGGAGTTGTAGTTGTGATTCCTGGGGCGGGAAACGCTTCTTGCCCTCCACCATCAGCTCCACCAAAGGGTCGCATGCCCATAGCAGCTTGTAATTGGCCCATCGCTCGTAACGATTGTGGATCAGTCACCATCCGTCGGAACTGCTCTGATTGCAGGAATTGTCGGCCAGCAGGACCCATTTCCCGCAATTGAGGATTCTGCTGAATCATCATATCTATCATTGCGGGGTTTTGCAGGGCTTCGTTCATCATCTGGGAGAATGCCGGATTTGAAAGCATTTCAATCATCTGCTCCTGGCTTGGTGGCGGTCCCATCTAAATCAAGATCTTGTGAGTCAAAGAGTGGGATCACCAAGGTGAATACTGCTTACGCCTCCATCTGGCCCAAACAGTCCTGCACCCGGTAACTGTGCGAAGCCAGCATAACGAGCACCTGTTAGTCCTGCTAATGGGTTGTTTCCTGTGCCGGCTGCGATGTTGGAGGGTACGCCAGTGGGTCGAGGTACATTTGAGCCGGTTGTTGAATCTGTGGTTGCGGTGCGTGAGGACTGGCTTTCTGGATTCTGGCGTTGGTTGCTAGGTGCACTCTTGACAAGGTGTACTGTATTGCCATCTTTGACCTTATACGATTCGAGCGTGTCTCCATCCTTCAATACTCGACCCGAGTAGATCAAGCGCTGAGAGCTTGCTGGAACGCCGGCATACTCCGGAGTAGATAGTTTGTTCTTCAGCTCTAGAGTTGTGATTGAAAGTGGCACTGACAGAGTGTGTTTGGCGTTGGTGGACTTGATGTTAATCGTGACTGAGTCTGGCTGCGTGTCTTCAGCAGTCGAAGCAGCCGGCTGCTGCGTCATTGTTGGAGTAGCTGAACGAAGAGTGCGGGATGGATGGGTGTGCAGGGCCTGGATGGGTAGGGAAACACTATGTTATCTATAGTGTTTTCTCGCGATGTCTGATTATACTCTTGAAAGCATGAAAGGCACGAGAGTGGCAGCGCAAGTTGAGCAGTTGAGGTACTTACAGTAGACAGCTTGACGGCCGGCTGAACCTCGGTTCTCAAAAAGTCGTTGAAGAGATATTTTGCTTGTTATGGCAGTGCGAGCATACGGGGGTACGGCGGTTACATAGCATGCTGATGCATACATTGCCACTTGCAAATGTTTATCAGACCTGTTTCACAAGGACTTGACAGACACTTCTGCATTACACCGCCGCAATCTATTGAAGCCCGCTACCTCTATCCCAAACTTTGAGCGACCCAGAACGAAACCCGGCAAGATGGCGACGACGTCGTCAATGTTCATGTACAGCCTGACCATACAGCCGCCTACTGCTATTACTCAGGCTATTTTAGGTCAGTTTGCTGGCACGAAAGAGCAGCAGATAGTGACGGCGTCTGGCTCCAAGCTCACCATTCATCGACCTGAACCATCCCAAGGCAGAATTACGCCCATATACTCCCAAGATGTCTTTGGCATCATCAGGACACTGGCGGCTTTTAGGCTAGCGGGTAGCAGCAAAGGTATGAGGATCTCTTCCCTCTTTGAAAACGCTTCCCTTAATGATCTTCTGAAGTCGAAGTGCAAACCCACCATCACAATTGCTGGCATGGCACCGCACGACACCCATACACCCCCAAGATGAAGAATCTCTGCTAAATCAGTATGCAGACTACATAATCATTGGATCCGACTCCGGCCGAATCACTATCATTGAATATGTTCATGCACAGAACCGCTTCAACAGGATACACCTTGAAACGTTCGGCAAATCCGGCATTCGTCGTGTGATTCCCGGACAGTATCTGGCAGTCGATCCGAAAGGACGAGCTTGCTTGATTTCTTCCGTTGAAAAGAACAAACTAGTCTACGTTCTCAACCGCAATGCACAAGCAGAGCTTACGATCTCTTCTCCCTTGGAAGCTCACAAGCCGCAGACACTGGTGTTCGCACTCGTTGCATTAGATGCTGGCTATGAAAACCCCGTCTTCGCGACGCTTGAGGTTGATTACACAGATGCGGATCAAGATCCAAGTGGCCAGGCTTTCGAAGAATTGGAGAAGTTACTGGTTTACTATGAGCTTGACCTGGGTCTAAATCATGTTGTTCGGAAGTGGGCCGAACCGGTAGACCGAAGCGCTACAATGCTCTTTCAGGTTCCTGGCGGCTCTGACGGGCCTAGCGGTGTACTGGTTTGCAGCGACGATAATGTCACCTACCGGCACTCAAATCAAGAGGCTTTTCGAGTGCCTATACCTAGGAGACGAGGAATCTTGGAAAACCCAGACCGCAAACGCCGTATTGTTGCTGGAGCAATGCACAGGACAAGAGGGGCTTTCTTTTTCCTGCTACAATCTGAGGATGGCGACCTGTTCAAAGTTACCATTGATATGGTAGAGGATGAAAACGGACAGGCAACAGGCGAGGTCCAGAGATTGAAGATCAAGTACTTTGACACTGTTCCTGTCGCAACTAGCTTGTTCATCCTTAAGAGCGGCTACCTGTTTGTTGGAAGTGAGAATGGAAATCATCAGCTGTACCAGTTTGAGAAACTTGGTGATGATGACGACGAGACAGAATTTGACAGCGACAACTTTCCAGCTGACCCCACAGAGGCATATTCGCCCGCTTTTTTCCATCCTCGTCCCGTCGAGAACATCAGGCTTTCACAGAACATTGATTCAATGAATCCTTTGCTGGAATGTAAAATTGCAAACCTGACAGACGAAGATGCTCCACAGATATACGCCATTTGTGGCGCTGGACCCCGAAGCAGCTTCAGAACCTTAAAGCACGGCTTGCCCGTCTCTGAAATCGTCGAATCAGAACTGCCCAGCAGACCATCAGCGGTTTGGACCACGAAGCTTACACAGAACGACCGGTTTGACGCATACATCATCTTATCATTTGAAAATGCTACTCTAGTTCTCAGCATTGGAGAGACTGTCGAAGAAGTAACTGACACTGGCTTTTTGTCATCTGCGCCAACGCTCGCGGTGCAACAACTTGGTGAGGATGCTTTGCTTCAGGTACATCCACGGGGTATTCGGCACATACGAGCAGATGGCAAAGTGAACGAGTGGCCAGCACCGCAGCACCGTTCAATTGTGGCAGCTACTACTAATTCTAGTCAAGTGGCTATAGCTCTCAGCTCCGGTGAGATTGTGTACTTCGAGACAGATACAGATGGATCATTGAACGAGTATGACGAAAAAAGAGAAATGACTGGGACCGTGACCTGTCTGAGCCTTGGTGATGTGCCAGCAGGTCGAGTGCGAAGCTCGTTTTTGGCAGTAGGTTGTGATGATTCCACAGTTAGGATCCTCAGCTTGGACCCAGACTCAACCTTAGAGAATAAATCAGTACAGGCATTGACATCTCCACCTTCGGCATTGTCCATCATGGCTATGGCTGATTCCACGTCGGGTGGTTCGACCTTATATCTACACATTGGACTGTACTCTGGTGTATATCTCAGAACAGTCCTCGACGAGATCACCGGAGAGCTGACCGATACAAGAACCAGATTCTTGGGCTTGAAGCCTGCTAAGCTCTTCCGCGTTTCTATCAAAGGCCAAGCGGCGGTACTAGCTTTGAGCTCACGACCTTGGTTAGGATATTCCGATGTGCAAACGAACGGATTCATGCTCACGCCCCTCAACTACGTTGGTTTAGAATGGGGTTGGATGTTTAGCAGTGAGCAGTGCCTGGAAGGGATGGTGGGCATTGAGGGACAAAATCTCCGGTCAGTCAGCGCCAGATTCGTTTCCGTTCTGATACACCTTCTGATGATTCCACTATGCTCTTACCCAGGATCACGTCGTGGTCCATGCGGATCCTCAAACTCAAAATCCAATTGTTCCTTCTGATGTTAACACTATGAACGAATATTCTGAGAATTTTCAAGGCACCGCGCTGACCATAGTTCTAGGATTTTCACAATAGAAGACCTTACCAACAACCTGCTACAAGAGTCCATAGCATTGCAAAACACTCCTCGGCATTTCGTAAAGCATCCTGATCAGCCACTATTTTACGTCATTGAAGCAGATAACAATGTCCTTTCTTCCTCGACGAAGAACAAATTGATTAACGACTCGACAGCGGTCAATGGAAATGCCATAGTATTACCACCAGAAGATTTCGGTTATCCTCGGGGTACAGGACATTGGGCTTCAGCAATCTCTATCATTGATCCAATAACAGCAAAATCAGTCATTTCTCGCCTTGAGTTGGACGACAACGAAGCGGCTGTCAGCGTCACTATCGCACCATTCGCAAGTCAAGATGAAGAAAGTTTCTTGATCGTGGGAACTGCGAAGGACTTGACTGTCAATCCCCGTACCTACACTGCTGGCTTTATTCACGTATACAGATTACATGAAGAAGGCAAAGAACTTGAATTCATTCACAAAACAAAGGTTGAACAGCCTCCACAGGCGTTACTCGCCTTTCAAGGACGCCTACTGGTTGGAGTCGGCCCAGATCTGCGAATATATGATCTGGGTATGCGCCAAATGCTTCGAAAATGCCAGACTACGGCAACGCCTCACATGATCGTCGGATTGCAGACACAAGGTAGTCGTATCATTGTGAGCGACGTGCAGGAGAGCGTTACCTACGTTGTTTACAAAGTTCAAGAGAACCGTCTCATCCCCTTTGCAGATGATATGATTGCTCGGTGGACCACCTGTACCACGATGGTTGACTACGAAAGTGTTGCTGGTGGCGACAAGTTCGGTAACCTATGGCTGGTCCGATGTCCACCCAAGGCTTCTGAAGAAGCGGATGAGGATGGTTCTGGGGCGCACCTCCTGCATGAGCGGCAGTATCTTGCAGGTGCGCCTACAAGGCTGAGTCTCATGTGCCACTTCTTCCCCCAAGATATCCCGACAAGCGTCCAAAAAACATCACTGGTTGCGGGTGGGCGTGATGTAATTTTCTGGTCGGGTTTTCAAGGCACTCTGGGAATGCTTGTACCTTTTGTTAGCCGAGAGGATGTGGACTTCTTTCAGACCTTGGAGATGCAGCTCGCTTCGCAAAATCCGCCTCTAGCGGGCAGAGATCACCTGATTTACCGCAGCTACTATGTGCCCGTAAAGGGAGTTATTGATGGTGACCTCTGCGAAACATTTTTCCTACTGGCAAACGATAAAAAGCAGATGATAGCTGGAGAACTTGACAGGTCAGTCCGGGAAGTGGAGAGAAAGATCTCGGTATGTGCTCGTTCCCACGGGTGGAAAGCGACCTGTTAACAGCTTCTAGGACATGCGCACACGGGTAGCATATTGAGTTCCACCATTGTATGGAATTCCTTGGCTACATGGGCTCGTGCGCAGTGTACTACTAGTATATGGTGCGGAACGATAGACGATTCCGGAGGCCCAGATGCCTTCTCCCGTTTGCTAATGCAAGGAATGATGCAAGCATGTTGTTTCTGCCACATCCTATGGCTCGGACACCGAAGTATCATCTTTCAATCTCAGCCAGTGTAGATTCCCCTGTCCTCCCTGCTTCCGACCGTCTCTCGCCTCGCTCGATCTGCCGTTTCTATCGACTTATCTTGAGCTGGATGCACATCCTGACGCGCGAGTCGTATCGTGGTTGCATGAGACAAGAGCGACCTCGACGACTTTTGAGTACGATTGCACCTCATCCGCCAGGGTTCCATCGTAATTAATCAGTCGGGACATGCACCCTTCTTGCATGGTTGTCAGATGCCGGTGTTTTTGCAATACAATACTGGTTCTCGACGTCATGGCGGTGGGCTGAGGTCCAGTCCCTCGACCTGCAGACGGAAGGAGTCGTTTCTGGAGTAGCTTCCAGCAGCATCAAAATCAAGACGACCTCTGTCACAATCCTCGAAGTCAACATCAGCACTAAGAATACTGCCGTCGTTTGTTTCCCATAATGGGCCTTGGAGCACTTGTCCCATGGGTCCGACAATGCACGATCCCCCTCGGCAAGCCCATTTCTCTGCAGGCAATTCCTTAGTAATTGTTGTATCCGCGGTACCGTTAACCATTGATTGATTGTCCTGTGAGTCTTTGTGCTCCTGTCTATCGTCCACCCATTCAGGAAGATCGTCCCAAGTGATGCATTGGTTGGCGGAGAGAACAAATGTCCTCCCTTCGCACGCGATTGTCCTCACGAGAGCAAGCCACGTGTCTCTCGCGTCTGCGGTGGGGGCAAGATAGAGGTTCACATTCTGAGAATAGAGACTATGGCGCAGCAAAGGCATGAAGTTCTCCCAACAAATGGCTGCAGCAATTGTCAGCTTGACCCCTTTGATCTCGGTTGTTACTGCTTTGAGGGTCGCTGGAGAGCCTTGAGCCCATACCAGACGTTCACTACCCGTCTGCTGTCCGGTCAGCGCTGAAGCACGGGCTGATCAGCTGGACCGATGGTGATGGTGATGCTCACCGGCATGACTTTCCTCCTCTTTCCAATGATTCCTCTTCTTGGCTCCACATAAACAGCCGCACAATACAAGCTCCCTCCTGCTCTCTCCACAACGCCAACAGCCAAGAAGACTCCTGTCTTACTGGCAATCTGCTCCAGGTGCTCTCTTGTCCCATCCCCCCTGAATTGCCTTCCTCCATCCGTTCCCTTTCCAGCTGGTAATTTTCTTGCTACCCAGTCGTCGCCAGCTCCTGCTGGTGTGTCTCCCAGATCGACCGCCTCCTTGAAATACCGCAGATACTGTTCTCGACCAACATCTTGACGTGAGCCGACAACACTTCCGAACGAGCAGGAACGAGGATAGCCCCCAAGATAAGCTTCGGGGAATAGGAGGACATCGACGCCGGAATGGGCCGCCTTCTGAGTTGTGGACTCAAGCGCAGAGAGGGTTTCAGCAAGAGAGGACAGAGTATGTGACTGGGAGACGGCGATGGTGAGTTTCTGCGGCATGGCATCTACTGTTCGGTACTAGTATGCTAGTAGGACGGAGAGGCTCATCAACAGACACCTTGCATCCACCGCTCATGCGTGCTCTGGCTCCGAACTCCCCTTCTTGCGCGACTAGTACTTTAGCCCCGCCATCCACCCAGTGAGAATTGTCTCTGTCGAAGCGAAGAATAAGCCGCCCTGCTCTAGGATCCGAGTACTGTATGCTGGCTTCCTGTACCAAGGTAGTGGCTACATTAGCATGGGACTGCATGTCGGTCACTGCATCCCTCTGCATCCCACTTCATCCCACTCCCACTGCGGGGCAAACAATTTGCTGATCCGAAACGCTTTGCAGTTCTGGCCCCCCACCATTCGTCATACATACTATGTAATTTCTTCATCGCTCGTTAGAACCAATACGCTATCTGCTGTCGGAGCGTCATTTATACAAACCGGAACCGACAACCGAATGAGGAAAGCCGAGAGTCTCGCCGATAGAAATTCAAGATATGATCAATTGACATACTTTACTCGGTCTGAACCCCTCCGTCTCATTGTTTCTATGTGCGCCAATGCATAGAATCATTTGCACATTACGTTACTTAGCTTAAGCTCTTGTTTTGTTTCAGCTCACCAAAAATGGGTTCCACTACCACAGAAACATCGACAGAGAAAGCTGAGCCGGTACCTGATTCCTCCGTCTCCCTGCCAAACTCCAGCTCGAAGAATAAGGAAGAGGATGCACAGGCCGACACTTGTTCGTGTTCGACTCGCGCGCAGAACCTCTCCTTCGTTCTCGAGGGGGTCAACAAAGTCAGATTCGAGGACCGACCTATACCGGAGATCAAAAACCCACATGATGTTCTGGTTCAGGTCAAATATACAGGGATCTGTGGGAGTGATGTAAGCTACTCATGCGTCCCTATTTTATCTTTCTCAGGCTAGCTGGCAGCTCAGTGAGAGAAATCTGGAGGATGGGCATCAAGTCCAGCATAATTGACCCATCGTTTCCTCCAAACAGGTACACTACTGGTCTCATGGCTCCATCGGCCCCTACGCCCTCACGTCGCCTATGGTCCTCGGCCACGAATCCTCTGGCACAATAATCAAAATCGGTCCATCCGTCCGCACCCTCGAACCGGGCGATTCCGTCGCCATGGAGCCAGGCGTCCCCTGCCGCCACTGCATCCGCTGCAAAGAAGGCAAATACAACCTCTGCTTCGACATGGCCTTTGCAGCCACTCCTCCCTACGACGGCACCCTCGCCAAATACTACGTCCTGCCCGAGGACTTCTGCTACAAGCTCCCGCTGGGAATGAGCATGGAGGAAGGCGCCCTGATCGAGCCGCTAGCAGTCGCGGTACACGTCACGAAGCAAGCCTCCCTACGACACGGCGACAGTGTGGTAGTCTTCGGTGCCGGCCCGGTCGGCCTGCTCTGCTGCGCCGTCGCGCGCCAGTTCGGCGCCAGCAAGATCATCGCCGTCGACATCCAGAAGCCTCGCCTCGAGTTCGCGCGCCAGTTCGCCGCCACCGCGACCTACGAGTCGCAGCGCGTCTCGGCGCAGGAAAACGCCGCCAACCTGATCCGCGAGAACGATCTCGGCGTCGGCGCGGACGTGGCCATCGACGCCAGCGGCGCCGAGCCCTCGGTCCAGGCCGGCATCCACGTCCTGCGCACGGGCGGCACATATGTCCAGGGCGGCATGGGCAAGGACGACATCACCTTCCCCATCATGGCGGCCTGCACCAAGGAGTTGACGCTCAAGGGCAGCTTTCGCTACAGCAGCGGCGATTACAAGTTGGCGGTGCAGCTGGTCAGCGAGGGCAAGGTGGATGCCAAGCGGCTGATCAGCAGGAAGGTGAGGTTCGAGGAGGCCGAACAGGCGTTTGTCGATGTCAAGGCGGGCAGGGGCATCAAGGTCTTGATTGGTGGGTCGGGAGACTGATCGCTTCAACATGTTTGTGTGTGTGTGTGTGTGTGTGAGTGAGTGCCAGAAGCAGGAAAAATCGGGGATCGTAATTTTTATGCCAACGATTTCACGAATGATGTGTTAGAAGTTACTAGAACCAGGCGGTCGAAGTACAATGCGCCAGGAGGCTGCACCATGTAATGCTCAAATTTTGATAGTGATTGTATTTTTTGGGGTGATTTTTTGCGGAGGTTTTCAATTTCTTCTCTTTTCGGAATTTAGAACTCGAATACATGTATATAAGACAACACAACACAACACAGCACAACACGATACGATACGATACGATACATCCCAACTCAGCGCCAAGCACATTTCCTGATTAGATATGTATGAACCAAGAGCAAAAGATGATGTGGTACCAATTCTGCGGGGGGTATCATAAAATTAAAAGAAGAAGTGAAGAAGAAGAGAAAGGAAGAATTCTATCTCCTTTCCAACCAACCAACCAATCAATCAATCGACCCAGCTACCCGGGACCCGGGATCGTAGGTGCCACCAAACAAACCCAAGGCAAGTGATGCGCGCCGTACCAGGACATGAAAGGAAAAGATATCCACGGTAAGATAAGAGAGAGGGAGGGGGGGAGCACGCCTAGCAACATGCGCCCCTGCGCCTGGAACTGGCGCCAGAAATGCGAAAGACATCCTCCCACTCCCTCATGCCGCCGATCCAGGTGTTGGTGCCACTTCTCCTCCGCGTCTTCTTGGCCCCGCGCCTCCGCGTCGTGTCATCCTCGGCGGACTTGATGCTGCCCATGTCCCCCCCGTTCCATATTCCCACGTCGCCGTACTGGATCCCGCTCTGCGGATCATCGGGATCGATCTCGCCCAGCTCGATCTTGGTCAGGATCATCCTGGCCAGGCGCGAGAAGAGCTCGTCGACGTTCTCGCCGGAGAGCGCCGAGACCTCGACCGAGACGGGGATGTTGGATTTGGAGGCCCATCGCGAGGCCGTGTCGCTGCTGACTTCGCGGCCGAAGGGCGCGGTGGTGGCCGTCTGTTTGGAGCCCATGGTGCTGGGGACGCTGGTGCCGCTGGGCGAGCGGAGCGATCCGGCGCCGCCCCCGGCATCGAGTGGGAAGAAGGACTGTTTACTTGAAACGCTGGAGGGTGTCTCTGGCTGAATCGCATGTCCATTCGCATTGGCGCGTATCGAGCCATCCATAGTAGTTGTAGTAGTAGTCGTCGTAATCGTAGCAAGATCCTGCTTATTCCCCGCCAGCAGCACCGTCAGATTCGGCGACGCCAGGGCTCTGGCATCCATCAGGAATGTCGGCAGGGCCTCGAACGACGCCGAGGACGCGACATCATACACCAAGATCGCGCCCGCGGCTCCACGGTAGTAGGACCTCGACACGGAGCGGAATCTTTCGGTTCCCGCGGTGTCCCAAAGTTGGAGCTTGATCCGTTTTCGGCGCGTGGAGGGCCCGACTTTGATGATCTTGCTGGCGAATTCGACGCCGATGGTTTGCGAGGAGTAGGTGCGCCATTCGGATTTGAGGAAGCGGTGGAGGAGGCAGGATCTGTGGGAGAAGAGAAATTGCTTTCTTGTTAGAATGGGATTGATTGGTGGAAGGGTGAATAGAGAGGATAGGGCTCGGTTTGGGTGTTTGTGGGATGGTAGGAGACGGACTTGCCAGCACCACTGGGACCAAGGAGGATGACTTTGGCCAGGTAGTCGTACATGCTACCTAGTTCCTGACGTGCAGACCAGGTCAGCATAAGTGTGGTTGCACTGTTTGGAAGGTCGGCGAAACAACCCACCTGTGTGCCCTCAGGAATTGAAGTCTCCGAGGATATTGATGTTCTTCGTGGCCTCGCCATCTCTGGTGGATGGGAAGCGGCAAACACGGCGCTGCGCGGTGATTAGAGACTGGGAGGTGAAGGTTCACTGTCTCCTTGTGGCCGATGATCCTTGAGCGGCGGGCTGGACAAATTTACTGGTGGTTGCGTGTGCCATGCCTGCTTGGCAGCATCACAGGGGGGGGCTCGGAGTTGGTCGACTTGGAGATGGAGATGGACTGGACGGGTCGATAGAAAGAATGCGTACTATCTAGTACTGTACTGTGTACATAAAGTAATGAAAATTGGACCGTGGGATGAGGAATTCGCCTGCTTGAAATGATGACCCATTTCCAAGCAGATCAGCCATCTGCCATGCTTTCTGCAATAATAACCCAATAATAATGCACCGTATCATGATGTGTTGTGCGGTGTGCAGTGTGCAGTTTCGTCATCACAGCCCCGTCCGCCCAGGCCGGATGTTCTGCCTTCCAGAAGTGAAATGGAAGAAGACAGAACAGAGTCAGGTCACACACAATTCCTGGCCACCCAATGCAGGGCAGCATCGACTCCATTGAGGCCATTTACTACCTATCCTATCCGCACCTCCTACCTACTACCTACTACCCGTAATCGTGTCTAGATGCTCTTCCTTGGTTCGTGACAGTACCCGACCTCGCTCCATCACCGGCTCACGGCTCACGGCTCACGCGACACTTCGACAAAATGTTTTCCAGCCTCAATCCCGTTCCATCTTTCCCCAGATACCGTGGCCCGCTCAGTGTAGGCACCTCCGAGTATGAAATACTGATCTCTGACATTTCCTCTACGTCGAAAGTACCCGATCCTACCATATCAACAATAAAGTTTCGAACCTTCTACCCTACCCAATCCACGGAAGACGAGGACTTTTCTGCGAGGTGGCTCCCGGAACCACAAAAGGAATGGGTTCAGGCATATTGTGACTTTTTGAATGCGCCTCCTAAGATCGCAAGCTTCTTCTCGTATGTTTTGTGCCCCTTCAAGCCTCGGTCAACTTGACAGGTCTGACACCGTCTCTTAGCCATATCCCGATACCGTTGAGATACACAACGATCCCAGCAAACCGCGACGCATCGTTCCTTTCAAAGGGCCCCTCCGCTCGATGGCCTGTGCTCATCTTCTCGCATGGCCTGGGAGGCTCGTGCAATGCATACAGCCATCTCTTAGGCTCTCTAGCCAGCTGCGGTGTAGTCTGCATCGCACCCGAGCATCGTGATCAAAGCGCCCCGGTCTCGCTCATTCGACAAGTCGATGGAAGCACGAAGGTCGTGCGATATAAAAAGATGTCGCACGATCCCAGTCCTGAAGTTCTGAGCCAAAGGAATGAGCAGCTGCGCGTTCGTCTGTGGGAATTAGAACTTCTTTATACTGCCCTCTCAAGTCTCAACAACGGCGAAAATCTGAAGAACTTGGCTGACACAAGCGCTCCTTCTATGAGTGGGAAATTGGACCTCGGGCCATCGAAAGTGGCCTGGGCCGGACATTCTTTTGGTGCAGCGACCGTGGTTCAGTTTGTCAAATCTGTTTTCTGGCACCAGACCGTGCCGGAGACGGCCAGCGAGCGTCGAAGCAGGTCAATGTTCCAATCTCTGTATACTCCAGCCGAGAATTCTCCTTTGAAAGAACAAATCACCCCTCAGTCGCCAGTTGTGTTGCTCGACCTTTGGACTATGCCATTACGCGGCGATGAGACCCTCTGGCTATGGGAGAAGCCTCTTCCCTGCTACACCGGGGATGAGCAGCCGAAAAACAACGTCCTTGCAATCATGAGTGAGCAGTTTTACAACTGGACGAGCCTCCTCGAACGTATGAAAGCAGTGCTTTCAAAGAATCCAGCCGAGCAGGAAAGATCGAGGGGCTCGAGTGGTACCAAATCGCATGGGCCTCGCCTCTTCTATTCTCCCAATACGGCCCATCTCAGTCAATCCGACTTCGGTGTGTTGTTCCCCTGGGCCACGAAGAAATGGTTGCGTGCTGAAGAGCCAGAGAGGACGCTGTTGTTGAATACACGGGCCATCCTTCAGCTCCTTCGGGAGAACCAGATCTCGGTTGAGGGCATCAAGATGGAAGAGAATGCGGAGGGCGACGAGCTCACCTTGAACGACGAGCTGATTCTTGCTGAGCATGGCAATATTCAGGGTTGGGTCCCTGTCCCGATAGGTTAGCATAGGACGAGATGTATCAATACTAGACCTATACCGAGCATATGAGCCTTTGGGCATATCACCGTACTTCTTCCTATCATGCATCTTCACTGGCTCCTCTATGCTCTGCTCTCTCATGCTGTACTCCACGTCTTGCATGTGAGATGCGATCATCGAGGCCTACCTGCCCCTCAATCAGCCCGAAGGCCCTCCGGCCCAACCCTACCTATGCGGGGCGGCTTGGAACACAGACAATTACACTTACAAATACTCCGTACACTTACAAATCCAACATGACATGCCCCATTTAAGACGGGCATTATTAATATGGCATTTGAGATCTCCATTGTTTGCACATATCACCCGTAAGCTTCCGGTATTTCCTTTCCTCTCCACTGTCTCCTGTTTTACTCTACCACACACCCCCGCTGTGAACATTGTCGTGATACCACATACCACATACCACACCCGTTCCGCTCGATTTGAAATCAGCCCCACCATGGCAGACAAGCTCTACATCGATGAGACTCCCAACGAGGTCAAAAATGCAAAGGTATGGCCATCTGCCCTCTATATGCCACCCCCTTATTCACCAGGGCGGGCCCGCCCTCCCTCAGAAGCCCCCATAATTCAAAGTAGCCTCCAAGAAAACCCCTCATACTAACCTCCACCCTACTACTCACTGCAGGGCCTCCACCTGATCACGCAATCGACGCCCAACGGGCAAAAAGTGCAGATCCTGCTCGAAGAGCTCGCCCTCGTCTACGGCACCGAATGGACCACCACCGTCATCAACATCGGCACGAACGAGCAAAAGAAAGAATGGTTCCTGCGCCTCAACCCCAACGGCCGCATCCCCGTCATCATCGATAACACGCAATCGCCGCCCTTCCCCGTCATGGAGACCTCGGCCGAGCTGTTGTATCTGCTCAAGTTTGCCGATAAGGACGACACGTTTGGCTTCAAGGACGAGCTGGAGCGGAACCAGTGCTTGCAGTGGTTGTTCTTCTGGCATGGAAGTGGAGCGCCGTATCTGGGCCAGTTCAATCATTTTCTCCAGTATGCGCCGGAGAAGATTGAATGTACGTACGCAATCACTTCTCCACTTTCCCAATATCTTTCTTTCTATGATTTTCCACCCATCCCTTTCCCCCTCTCTCCCCATTAATGATCTGACTTGTGATGTTCAGATGCAACCAACCGATACCGCAACGAAACCCTCCGCGTCTTCGGCGTGCTTGAGATCCATCTCTCAGGCAAATACACCGGCGAGCCACGTGAATACCTTGCCGGAAACGGAAAGGGCAAGTACTCTGTCGCTGATATCGGGACTTGGCCCTGGGTCAAGGGGTGGGAGAGGATTGGCTTCACCAAAGATGACATGAGCCAGTTCCCGCATCTGTTGAAGTGGGTGGATCGAATTGCCGAGAGGCCGGCGGTCAAGACGGGATGCGGCGAGAAATATAACCTGAAGTGAGTTGCCATGAAATCTTGAGGATTGTGGTGAAGGGGGTTGGGGGTGAGGCTTGCTATGCTGCGGCTGACGAGATGTGTGCTTGAGGTCAAAATTGTGAGTGAGGGAGGGAGGCAATGAGAAGCTCAAGCTTTTACAGACGGCAACAAATTGCTTGTACATGAAATGCAACCTCGAAAAAACTGTACTGTTGTGAATGTGCGATATGAATACGGTGTCGTTGGTGCGAGCGGACAACCCTGATCCCTCGGTCGCCTGTTCGTATAAAGCCCCGGCAACCAATCATTGGCCCTCCCGCCTGAAATAAGTCCTACCTACTAGTACTTGTTGTCATTCTTCTTCTCATCCAGACAAATACACATTGCAGCGATGAGTGCCATATCCACACCCTGCGCCACCGTAACCACATAAGTCTGCTGACCGGTGAATAGCTCCTTGGCATTTAGCATCTTGCGATCAATCCTCGCGACGGGCTGGCCCGTCTTGACATTCGTGATGTCTGCATGCGTATCGAAGAAATTGCCCTTCATCATCAACTCTTCCTGCTGATTGGTGAAGGAATTGATGAACCGCGCGACCGATTTGGATGAGCCAACTAAAAACAAGAACACCAATTCGTCAGCATCCAAGCCCCTTTCGTGCGTCACCGAAGCACACAACAAAGCCAGCCGATGAAGGAAGAGAGACTTGAAGCTGGGGGTTACGTACGACTGAATTTTCCTTCCAACTCAAAAAACCTCTTCCCTTGCGCATCCTCCGCATAGTACGCCTTTGGGAAACTGAAATGTTCCTTCCGGATCGTGAAGATGTGATTGCCCTGCATGTCCATGACCATCTTCCGCCCGCTCAGACTGAACGCTTCGCCCTTGACCTGGAGGATCTCGCGGCCATCGAGGGTTTTGATACTAAAGCTGTCGCCGGAGAGGGAGAGGACGCGCTCCTTTAGCACCAGCGATTCAGATTGGTGGGCTATGTAGTTGTTAAAGATGCCGAGGGCTTGGGGTGATGGCGGGAGTTGGGCTATTGTGGTGGAGTAGTGGTGATGAGGGTATGGGTTTGTGTGGTAACTGGAATGGTGGTGCACTTGATGGCGGGGACGGAGGAATTGGACGGACTGGTCAAGCCGTTGGGGAGTGTAGGTCGGTGGAGTTGAGTTGGAGAATGCGAAGGGTGGCATGACTTTTCAATATACGTAGTAGGAGCAATTGGGATACGTGGCTATGCGATGCGCCGATGAAGGAATGGGGGCTATGCTAGCTGGAGTGGCTGTAAATGGATGATCGAGCAGGTAGAGGAACGATGGAGGCCTGATGTGACAGTATCGGAGACCAATTGACTCCATTGTGGTACGAAGCGCGTTGAATCGTGTGCAGCTGCCATCTTATGGCACATGTGTTGTGATGGATCCAGCGGTGGACACTTGATTGCTACTGGAAGCGATATTGGATACGACGTATTGTTAGTTCAGCGCTAGTATCTTCACTCGAAAACGTCTTTTGTATAAAGCAGTTAAGCCCATATTAGATTAAATTAAGGGTAAATTTTTAACATATTTGAATGAACGTATCTCAACCCCAGCTTTGGAATAACAACTCACGGCACTATGATGGAGTAACAAGAACTAGCCACCACTAGCACCATACTAACAATACTTATGCCACCCGTAGTAGTACGTAGTACTAGTACTCGGTGCCGCCGAAAAGTGCGTCCCTTTCAACTATACGTAGTAAGTACAGGTTTAGACTCTTGGCGTTATCCTTCCTGAACCTTAATGCATCCACCCTCAATAGTAAGTCAACTATAACATATCTAACAGGATACATAGGGTATACTGTCACATTTGAGCCAAATTTATCGTGTCAGTAGATTATGGGAGGATGGACTCTGTTCCATAGCCATTCTCAATTGGAGCTTGGCATTCCTACACACTATGCTATATATGGAAAGATCTGTCACGCCAGGACACTTATCGGCGGCACTGAGTAGCATGATCGTGGATCAGCAAACAGAGCAAGAGCAGAGCAAGAGCAAGCCGCAGGCGTCACGGCTTTTCTTAGCAAGGGAGAACTCGGATAGTACTACGTAGTGCTACTAGTATTAGTGCTACTACTAGTGGTAGAGCTCGCTCGGCAGCCCTAAAGAAATCTGCAGAGCCTCGGCTTGGCACCGCCATGGTTTCTTGGCTGAATTTCAAGTTGGACAGCTTGAACTTGAATTGTCCCGCCTAACTTAGTAGTACGGGCCGTTCTCTCTGTAAGTCCAATGCTCACGGCTTTGGTCTGTCTGGCCATAATCCCTCCATAGCTTGACATCATGGACTTCGCATCCTTGATGTCTGCGCAAATATCCAAAACCAAACCGTCCGCATCTTCCGACAGCAAAACGAAATACCTCAAAAGATCTCAACTCGAAGCAGAACGTGAAGCAGCTTATGCCGCTGATCAAGCTAGGATCAAGGCAGAGCGACAGGAAAGAGCAGCGAAGAAACGAAAGCTAGAGGAAGAAGAGGCAGAGAAGGCCAGAGTCCGAGAAGAGAAGAAACGCCGACTAGCTGAGGAAAGCAAGGCACGGAGAGAGGAAGAGGAGGCAAGACAAGAACGGCTAAGAAGGAAAAGACTCGGCTTGCCAGAGCTACCTGACAAAGATCAGACCGAGAAAGAAGGGACACCTCTTGCTGAAGATGAAGTCGATATACCAGAAGCTGATCTCCTCTTGAAACTGCGCGCTCTCAATGAGCCTGCCATCCTTTTCGGCGAATCCCACAAATCACGTCTCCGCCGCTATCGCAACCTCACTTCCCGTGCCCTGACACCCACATTCTCCAACGGTCCTGTCCCTACTACTCTTCTACCCGTTCCCGAAGCCGATATGCTTATTCCCACAGAAATCCCGCCTGCAAAAACTCCCGAACGAACGTTGCTCTTCCGCCAACTATCCAGTTACTTCACCCTGCTCTTAACCGAATGGTCCCGTGATCTCTCCCACCGCGACCTAGCCACCAAAGAATCTCATCAAGGCCGCCTCGCCAGCAACAACCTCACCCAAACCATTACCAACCTAACCCCGCTATTCCGCAAATTCGAATCTCAAGATCTTCCCGACAGCGTCCTCGCCCCCATCTGCGCCATCGTCCGTGATGCCCAACAACGCCGATATGTCGCAGCCAATGACGGCTACCTCAGGCTTAGTATTGGGAAAGCGGCGTGGCCAATCGGCGTGACCATGGTGGGTATCCATGAGCGGAGTGCACGGGAGAAGTTACATGAGAGCGATAAGCAGGCACACATCATGAGTGACGAGGTGACGAGGAAGTATTTGCAGGCGATCAAGAGGTGTTTGAGTTATGCGCAGACAAGGTGGCCGCCAGAGGATGTAGGGCAGTTGATGGGATAAGTCAGGAAGGACTTTGGATGACAGATTATAAAGTATTCGACAAGAATGCTTTGCCGATGACTTGGCTTGCCAGACTTTTATATATGTCAGACTCCGTTAAAAAGAAAAGCCGAAGACTGCGTCCTGGTCTCTGCTCCTCTCATTCGTCCCCGGGATGTCAAATGAAGTATCAAGGTGGAGACCACCAACAGATTAAGGGAACACTTCCCAACAATGAGACACGACCGCATCTTTCACGATGTCTACAAAGGCACAGAAAGACTTCAGATGCTGGTAAGGACTGACATCCCGTCAGGTCACAAGCATGAAGGACTTGGAAGGCTTTGGGGGGGACAAGGAGTGCGTGTCCGTATCAAAGCGGGCAATTCTTGACCCCGTCCAAAGACTCGGCAGGAGCTACGCCGGGATTCAGCAGAGCTCCTTCGAGAAGAGCTAAGGGAGAGCAGGAAATGGGCCTGCTGGGGTCGTGGTCCCAAGTGAGGTAGCATCGACGAGAAACCGAGTCGATGACTGGATCAATAGTGAAAGTCAGAAAGAGGGGGTGAAAAGGGCGGGATCCAGAAGATATACCTACAGATCTGGTCCCATGGATACAGCGAACAATCAGGGCGTCGAAGTATTTGCCAATATCAACATCGTATGGAAAGTTCTGCATGCTGTCCACAACCGTAGAAAGGGGGACATACATACACATATTCATGACCCAAACACAACACGGAGTCTAGCATCATATATCCCAGACATCATCACCACCTGGCCCATTTGAAACAACAAACACTCCCTCCCTCCCATCTCACCCACAAAAGAAAAATACCAACCCCGCCGACTTTCCAAACACCACATGTGCTTCACATGATGAAATATCCTATCTGTATCGTCCTTCCGTCCGGTAGTTATCTGAGTGCTTCTCTACCAGGAGCAGGAGGAGGAGGAGGATGTGATCAGCCAGCCGCTGATCTATATGGCCAGCTGGCTGGTTCCGGGAGCCGCGAAAGGTCGGGTGGGTAGATAGCTATCCATGACTTTTTCTTTGGGAGGAAGAGGGGGTTCGAAATGTGATTTTCTGATATTGGGGATCGTAATGATAGACTACCATTTTTGGGAAGGGGGGAGAGGGAGAGGGAAGCGCGCGTGTAGTGAACAAGAGCTCTAGGAGTAGCTATCGCGTATCCGTAGAAATATCTTTGGTAGATGGCTCTCGTTGTTCCGTCTTCATCAAGTTAGCGTGGTTCTAGATGGTTCTGCATTCAAAGTTCTTTACATACATGCCTCACTTCACCTCTCTCCTACCCCTTGCCCACTTCCCTTCTTCCCTTCCCGGATAATACCCCGACTGATCCACTCCGCGATCCCCATGTTCGTGACCATTGGGTTCACGCCGCTGGCACTAGGAAATACGCTCGCATCCGCGACATACAGTCCTTCGTCTACGCCCCATACCTTTCCCCTCGGATCTACCACACCATTCTTAGCATCAGCGCTCATTCTACAGGTGCCCATCTGGTGTGCGGATCCGACGAGGCATGGATCTGGAGTGCTGATGCCGGTTCGACGGATGAGGGCCAGCCAGTCTTGAAAGGCGGGATTGTTGATCCCCTCGTCAATAGATTCTCCTGCTGCTGCTGCTGCTGCTGGTGTTGCCGCAATGCCATTTTCTGACGCAGTTGGTCGGTTTTGTTGTGGGGTACGGACGAAAATGGGGAGGTCAGGATGCATGGCAGACACCTCTTCCGCACCCATAACGAATGCGATCTTGGCCGCGGCGATCACGCCTTCAACCAAGTTATTCGTGTCAAAGCGGGAGGTGGTGTATTTGATGCGAATGCGACCGTCGGTGGGGTCCGGGTACACAGACCCAGTGTCGCGGTCGCGGGCGAAGACGACATAGGCGATGGAGTGGTGAAAGGACGCACAGCGGGTCTTGAAGGCTAGAGCTGGACTGATATTGCTACTAGAGGAAGGGGGCTGCTGCCAGGGGTAGAAGGGGAGAATGTACGTTGGGACGGCGGTTTGACATTCGATTTTGCAGCCGTGACCGGCGGAGTCAAGGTCCTCGAATGACGTGCAAGCGGAGGTTAGGATTGAGCCTGGAAAAGAAAAGAGACGGGTTTTTGTTAGATCAGAGATTTTCTTCATACTCAACGACAAGGGAAAGGAGGGCGGAGAGAAAAGGGTCAAGAGGTTCGTATTCATACCTTCCCATGGATTGACCGTTTCTTCAAACCTGGCGCATACAATTGTTGCTGGGTGTAGGTGGAGATTTCGTCCAATGTTGGGGTTTTTGAGACCGCTTCTCATAAGCAGTAACGGAGAGTTCAAAGTGCCGGCACATATCACGACCTTTTTGGCCTTCACTGTAATTTTCAGCTTCTTCTCGCCACCCTTTTGCGTCCACAATCCATTGACTCCCACTGCAATCTTCTTCCCATCACTTTCATGAAAGTGAACTTGTCTGACATCGAATCCTTGGATGAACTTGGCACCGGCTTTCGCGGCAGCAGGAAAGAAGCACACCGCAGGTCCATTCTTGGTAGCACCCGCACAACCGTATGTGCAGTAACCGCAGTAATGCTCCTTGCCACCTGTATTCTGAGGCACTTCTTTGGCGTGGTATCCCAGCTTCCTGCTCCCCTCAAGCAACGATCTGTTGGCAAAATTGTGCTGTATCCCTTTAGTAGCAACGCCCATTTCTCCACATACCTTGTCTAAACATTTCTGGAACTCTCCAGAAGTAAAGAAAGGCAAACCTTGATCCGCCCATTCCTGCCTCACATAATGCTGCGGCTGTAAGCTTGCACTCCAGTTTACAGTGCCTCCTCCACCAAAGCAGGATCCGGCCAATACGGCCGTCTTCTCCATAAGATTTGCATTGGCATCATTGCTCTTCATAGGATAGTGGGTGGATGGGAAGTAATAGCCTTTCTCTGCGACGAGCACCGAAATCCCAGCTTCAGCAAGGTTCTTTGCGCAGACTCCCGCACCGCAGCCAGAACCCACAATGATCACATCTGTCTCGATGGAGGAAGGGGAATCCGGCGAGGAGAAGTCCAAGAACTCATAAGAGTAATCTTCACCTCGTTTCCCATGCCTGGGAACAGCAGGAAAGCCAATTACCTCTGGCAGGGTTGGAGAGAGCGAAATCCAGGTTGTCTTAGCGATAAACGCAAAGGAGCGGAAAAGAGAGCGTAGAATTGGCAGATACGACTTGGACCAACTGATCAGGATTTGCTCGCGGGCGGTTGGTGGTTGAAGATGGAAAAGGGTCGTCGAACCTGTTAAGAGAAGGGATCCAGCTCGTGTGGAAAGACTTGAAAGAATGAAACGAAGGCCTTTGAGCTGTTCGGCGGGTACAGATCGACAGAACAAGCGTTGTAATGAGGGCCGAAATGCCTGAATTGAGCTAGCTGACTCAGATAGATAGATAGGAATGAGAAATGGGTCGGCGGAAGACGGTATGAGATCCTGTATGGATAGAGTCGCTTCCGCGTATTCAGCACCCCCTACGCAGAGCTTCGACTCTTTCTCTGATTGTGAGTTAGTGATTGAAGGCACGAAGGTGTCGAGTATCCCAATGAGGATTTCCCATTGCTCAGGAGTAAAGACTTCATCTGCTGGCAGAGAAGCCAGAGGTGTTTCCAGGGCGGCCAGCATTGACGCAGTGGGCTGTTCCATTGAGAGAGCGGCTTTCCAGGTGAGTCTGCTAGTCGAAGGACTAACCAATTCCCCGTGCCAGTGATTGAGCAATGCCAATGCGACTAGACGAGTCACAAACTTTTCTATCAGAGTCAGTAAGGATAGATCAGTTAAGTGCGGGTCGGACCCCACAAGCGCTGTCCTTGTGGTGATGTGTCCCTCCTCTACCAGAGGATTACTACGTATGTAACTTAGCCTTTCACGATTTTCGATCTTTTGATGCCAGGCGACTAGTAACCCAACAGTCTGCTATGAGAAGTACATCTACTAATTAGGTTCGCAACCTGAAAGCGCTGTCCTTTTGGTGGAGTGGTAGATGTACTCCGTATGTTCCTCTTCAACGACAGTGCGCCAAGAAGTGGGTGCTTATCCTTATCCATGATCTGCATTGCAGTGGGCGGTATGTGCCGGATCCAAAGCTAAAAGCCGCGGCGGTGGTGGGGGCTATCAATGCCATCGTCTTACTACTCTACGTAGCTAAACCATCCGGGCGATCCCGCCATGGACTTCTCTGTAACTCTCTAACGTTACTATGTAGTAAGGATGCGCATCTGCCTTCTTGGTCCAGCGCATCCGCATGCGCGCCGAGAAGTGTCTGCTGGCAACGGATAAGCCTATCTATGGCAAGATCTCTGCCTATCTCGACGGGAACTGTCATTATTGGTCCCAACACCTCTCTCCTGTCTTGCCTCCAGGCTAACATCACTGTCGACAGGAAACGGACCGGCCGCATTGATCTTGTCGTACATACTGCATGGAAATATCCCTCATTACATCCCGTCTCCACCACACCCGGATACTCTTTTACACAAGAAGCTCGTCGAATCTAGCGACCTCCTACACTTGGACATCAGGCGTCTAACTCAGCACTTTGAAGCATCTCCATTTTCGTACTCGACGCAGGCGCTTCCCGTCAATGTCCTATTGGATACCCTTATCCGACCTAATGGAGACACCTGCGACCTTGAGGAGGCGACCAACATTGTCTGGGAATATCAGCCCGAACAAGCCGCACCCCACATAGTGATTGGCAACACTACCTCACCTGGTGGGCAATGGGTCGACAACCCTGTACAGGCAAGCTGGGATATCGGAACATTAAGCTATGCTGGAATGCTATCACTCCCCGGCTACCCGTTTGCTGAGCACTATCGCCGGACCACTGGCAAAGAGTTGCCCCCATATACCAGACCAAGCCGGCGACAAGTAACCGACTATTTCCGTCATTATCCTCACCAAGTACGGATCGATGACGCCGTTTACTGCGGTGAGACTGTTTCTGGAATCACAAGAACAGCAGACGGATTTCACATCAAGTCTCATGACATAAGTTGCAAGCATCTTGTTCTTGCCTCTGGTGTCTTCTCCGAACTGATACCTGCCCCACCCTTGCTGCAGCCACTTCTCCGTCTTCCAGGCCCATCGGCTCAGCCCAGCTCTCCAGACATACCTCTACTCGTCGTTGGATCTGGATTCAGTGCAGCGGACGTCATCTCTTCATCTCCTCCAGGCCAAAAGATAATCCACATCTACAGATGGGCTCCTTCAACATCTCCCTCTCCTCTAAGAGCCTGCCACCAGCAAGCATACCCAGAGTATGCTGGTTTATACCGCCGCATGAAGCAAGCCGCAAAGATCACTTCCAACCCCCTAGGACTGGAATCATCAAGACCAAAGGTCCAGCGCGCCTCAACCAGCGCATTCGACTCATCCCGCGACTGGTCATCAAAATACGAAGGCTTCCCCAACACGACCATCACAGACGTCAAAGTTGAGGGAGAAACAGCCCTCATTACGCTACAAGCAGCCGATGGCGGTCCAACGCTACAACACCGCATCAGCCGCCTCGAGTATGTCGTCGGCAGACGCGGATCGCTCCGTTACCTGTCGCGGGAACTTCGCCGAGAAGTATTCGGCAGCAACAGCAACTCAAGCAGAGACAGCGCGGACCCAGAACCAGCTGAGCAGATGCTCTCCGGCCAGACGCTACGGGACAAAGTTTTGGAAGATATAGAAGTCGCCCCGGATGTCTTTGCTATTGGGAGCCTGACAGGCGATTCACTCATCCGGTTCGCGCATGGGAGCTGTACGTATGCGGCTGGAAAGATCATGGCGCCCTCGCGCCGTCATGGCAAGGAAGAAAATGTAGAGCAACCGCAGATGGCCAATGGCAAGGAAGAAAATATAGAGCAACCGCAGATGGCCAATGGCGTTGGGAAAATAGACCACGAAGACGCAGGGTCGAGACTATCTAGGGTTGTCAGCGGTGCTAAGAATGCTACTGCTGTCCCAGCTACGAAGATTATGAGCGGATTGGATGGGCATCATCGCCCTTGCATCAATGCCAACAATCTGGGTTCTCTGGGCGAGTCCCCAAGATAGAGGAAATTATTGACCAAATTGGCGCATTTCTCTCAGTAGATATCTATCACGTTCCGCCGGCGTTTCTCACATATAGGCTAGACGTATAGATAGAATAATTCTCGTTGACAGATCTAAGTGTAACTACTATTGCTAGTCATCGACACGGCGCAAACTCGGCACCATGCTGTTGACATTATTATATCAGATGCCCACCGAATACGGCACTACCGGGAAATGGCAAGCAACAAATCCCATCCGAGATGCTACATACAGTGAAAATCATCTATGCATGCACCTAGAACGCCCGCTATCCTGTCTATATACGAGCCGTCTAACGCGATCTAGGGGAATGAGTTTGGAAAATCAAGAACACACCCAAGACAATAAACCTAGATGGATGGTTGATGAGAACAAGAAGGAAATTCAAAACCTGGGCCGCGCTCATGCTGGGCAGATATCAGTAAAACGACAAAATTAGGACGCAGGGCTTCCCTTGTTCATCAAGATGCAACGCGCACCGAGGATGCCCCAACGCCGCTTAGACCAGAACGGTGGTGGTGGTAATGGTGGTGGTGCAGAGAAAGCGGCATGAGAAAAATCATCACAATCAAAAAAACCCAAAAGCAAAAAAAACAATGTCAGAACGTGCTCCAAGCCCAATCCTTGGGCACGCTGCCCACCGTCTGCTCGGAAGAGTTCCCCCCACCACCACCGGCACTCCGACCCTGCGATACGAGGCCTGATTTGCCAGCGGTGGGAAAGTCCATCCTGCTGGATCCGTCATCCTGGCTCGTACCGTCGGCGCTGTTTCTTCTCCGCACACTGCGCGCGGTATCCCATTTTTGGTAGTGCCGATGGCAGGTATCGCAGGCGCGGGAGGGGATGCCGTCGGGGTGGAAGCGGGCTTCCTGGTTTAGCGGGATGATGAAGGCGCTGTGGTCGGAACAGAAGATGTGGCCGCAGTGGCGGCAGTGGTGGCGGCGGGTGAAGAGGTTGAAGTTGGAGCGGCATTGGGGGGAGTCGCAGGAGGGGGATTGTTGGTCTGCCTGTTTCCGGGGAACCATAGGGTTAGCTTGGGGGGGTTAGAGGGGTTGGGAGTGCGATCACATGTCGTTTTGGCCGGCTTCCGTTATGTCAAGAGGAGAACAACTGTGGGAGGCCGAGCTATGATGCTCTCGGTGCTTGGAAGTGGCATGTGCGACTCCAACATGGTAGGATATGAAATGGAATCATGCTTACCTTCCAGTGCTCTCTGGTTGGCTCTCCAGTGACTTCCCCAAGTTCTTCATCGGCAAACCAATCGTTTGCCACCACGAGATCTAGCGGCGCACTTCTGGTATCATCTGCGAATCCATCGTCTAGACTCTCCAGCGAGCCGTGCAGGCTCTTCGGGGGTGTTGTGGGTGGGTTTTTGTTGGGTCTTTCAGTAGGACGGAGGGCAGCAGGAACATAAAGGGGCGATTTCATGGGTCTCAGTTGACGGACTTGACCAGGTACATGATATTGTAGAGGAGTGTGTGATCGAGGAGAAGTAGGTGAGGCATTATTCGGACTGTTCGTAGCAGAATCGGCCGGCGAGATCTGATGAGCTCCGAAGAGAGGTAGCTGATTGTTCGGATGGGTGTACGTCTGAGTAGGGTGGTTCAAGGCCATATCGGATGCATAAATTGTTGGCAAATTGTTGCCAACTTGGTATGAGATCTAAGGCGGGAAAAAGGTCGCGACGATGTAAAGACGAGGCACGCGACACTTGTCGCAAACTGAGGAATGATGTTCGCTCGAACGGACAATGCTGAAAGGTGTAATTGTGCTGCACAGCAGACAATCAGGCAGTAGAGCCCTGAAGGTAGAATGTGTTGCGAACCAGTTCTGAGGTCAGAACAGAGCTCTGGCTCGCAGAAGCTATCCAAGTGTTGAGGGGCAAAATGCGCGAAGATCGACAGGAGATCGTTGGGTAACTGGTTGTTGCTGGTTGAGACAAGAAACGCGGCTCTCAACGATAAGCGCGTTGAAAGGAGGGTCAAGAATAGGGAGTATATATACTTTAGAGGAACAGCAGGTTCGGAAGGGAGGGAAGGAAAAGAGAGGTGAGATAGACGCCATGGGTATACTGGGGGCGCACTTGGAGGGGAAAGGCATAACTAGGTATTACTATTATGGGCATAAAGATAAGCAGTTCGATGGTCCACCAATCAGCAATGCTTGGAGATACAATGCCTTGTCTAGCCCGATTGATCGACTAAAGGAGCTCGATGGCATCAATTGCCGACATCACTAACGTCCAGTTGATTAGCCGGGGTCCTTCGTTCGCGTTCGTTTCAGGCGAAGATTCAAACAATGCTTGGAGGTGGATACCAAGTGCAGGGAGATATACTTCAACGCCTCGGTTCCGCCTCGGAAAAGGGATCTGCTGCTCTCACAGTGAGCTTCAAGATCTTCGAAGAGTCTTGCTCGTCATGTTGCATTCCAGCATGCCTGAAACCTCATGGAACACAGACCGAGGCACTGCTCCTGTCATTTCATGTCCGTGGAGGCTGTCCCTGACTACCTACCTGCCTGCCTTCCTGACGGACTGACGGACTGACTGACTGACTGACTGACTCACTGCCGGCAGCCAGAAATGACTTGACTTGCCGCAAGTGGCAGGAGGATGCAAGTCGAATACACCAGATATAAGGCTCGGGCTCTTCTCGCCTTGGTTATGGGATGAGATGAGCCGCGGATCTCGAGCGTTCACCCTTTCTACCGCCTTCACAGGCTACGTCTCCGTGCAACGCCATGGCGTCCGATTGGTTCTCAGTCAGAAGCCAACCGGCGGGAATGGCACGAGGCTGTTGTCCTGGGCCTGGCTTAATCTGCCATGCAATATTGGCAGCATGATAATAATGTTCAAAGTTTGATCTGGCCCTGGAAGTTTTGGGGACTTGCAGGCTGGGATTGTGATGGCCCGCATCCGCCAAGCCATGTGACCCAGACATCTTGCAGAATTTCGGAACCTTCTTCCCCGCGCGCTCATCACATCCTCTCTCAGGCTGAGTTCAGCCGCTCAAGATCATACATACATATCTTCAAGCATCTCTCTTGCGACCAGACCTCGGGCCCGGTAATCATGATGAGGGGTTCTATGGCCAAAGCAAAGCTGGCATCCTGTTGAAACGCAGGAAGGAATTTCCTACTACTAGCTGGGATACTCGCATTTATATCAGGCTCCTCTGCCCAATCTGCTATGAGTAGTCTACCAATACCTTCCGCTTGGTCAGAAAGAGGCTACGTTCCTCCGGAGCAGGTGGAAGTCAAGGACGACGAAGACGAGAAGGGTGAAGCGGCCTACATGAGATGTTTCCATGAGTCCAGCAAGATCGGCAGAGTGCCAAATGCCTCATACTTTGTCAACTCTCCCACTGCTCGCGCCTATGTGGAGAAGCGTGACAAGGAATTGTTTCCCGTCAGGGAAGCATCTGGCCGGCCTATCCCGAATCCGGACATGCCCTCTTGGCTCAACAAGAAAGAACCATTCAAGAATCATGTTCCACCAGTTTCGGAAAGTGCTATCACCTCGAGCAATGCGCAGCCTCTTTCGCCATCCAAAACCATGACAATACCATCCTCTGAGGATGTTCCGCAACCTTCACAGCAGATCGCGCCTTCTGTGCCAAATCCGATTGATCAACCACACATTCCATGGTCCATTGAGCCCCGGACAGGAGCAAGCGGGCCACCAAGGATGATTCGATGAAACAGGCACATGTCTACACTGTCGTTCATCACACACGACATCGATAGCACTGAGCTGACTTGCTCTGGACAGTGAGCTCATTGTACGCCGTGTTCAGAGGCATGCTCATAACCATGAAGACGTTTGTAGTGTTCAAAATGCCGAACGACTTCGACGATTAGGCCAGGCTGTCCTTTCTAACGCACTACCAAGTTTTCAAATCAACGACATGGGAGCACCTCCAGCATATCTCAGCAGTACGTCGTTACTCGACTAGTGGTACTGCATATCTCCCAATACCACTCAAGGCTGATGCGGAACGAGCACAGCACACATTCAATTTAGTATGTCAGTACATGCTGCTGGCCAAGCGGGAGAAACTTGATCGGGGCAGAATTGTGCGTCATTGTGGTTAACGTCCTATACGGTTGCGTGCAACATACGGTCCCGTGCAACACCAAATTTTTACAACGCAATTTGAGATACAACTTCAAACAGTCATCATTTCGTCACCACAACCAATTCTCTTCGAAACAGGTCCAAATTGAAGCTGAGCATCCTATCTATCTATTGGTACTCATAATGGCTGACAAATATGCTGATTTATCCAGTTCTGAGCGTGTGGATGCAGCCGTTCAATTGCTCCATGAGAATCCTTCATTAAGCCTGCGAAAAGCAGCCACTATCTGCAATATTCATGCCTCCTCTATTTCTCGACGTCAACGAGGTCTTACAAGATCTACGAAGGAAGCTATTCAAGAGCGACAGCTGCTCACACCAGCAGAAGAGGCTATTTTGATCAAATATGCCCTCAAATACAATGATTGGGGTCTTCCACTTCAATTCAAGCATCTTCGTCAATTTACGTTAGAAATTCTCTATCGTAAAGGTTCTCGAATGACTCTAGGGTATCATTGGCACGATAGATTATTACAGCGAAATCCACAGCTTCGACTAGCCCTCTCACAACCTATTGACCGTCATCGAGTTTCTGCTACAAAAGAGTTAATTGCAAGACAATGGTTTACTCTATTCCATCGAATTCGTACGGAGCACTCAATTAGGGATGAAGATATCTACAATATGGATGAGAAGGGCTTTATGATGGGGGTAATGCAGAGAACTCACGTTCTTATTCCTATTCAGCAGAAACAAGCATTTGTACGTCAAGACAGTAACAGAGAGTGGATATCTGTTATCGAATGCGTACGAGGAAGCAATGACAGCGAGGCTATGATCCCCTAACTTTCGTTCCCTGATTAATGCAAACATGCTTGGCGAATGCTTTCTGAATAGTTAGGATTCAATAAATCCAAGAATTTCACCTCTGACAATTGAATACTGACGCCCCCGACTATCCCTATTAATCATTACAGCGGTCCTAGAAACCAACAAAATAGAACTGCTGTCCTATTCCATTATTCCATGCTAATGTATTCGAGCAAAGGCCTGCTTTGAACACTCTAATTTTTTCAAGGTAAAAGTCCTGGTTCCCCACTACGCCCAACAAAGGACATAGGATTCCCCAGAAGGAAAGGCCCGACCGAATCCGTACAACGTTTAGGAAGACAGATCAGCCAGGCCCAAGGTTCAACTACGAGCTTTTTAACTGCAACAACTTTAATATACGCTATTGGAGCTGGAATTACCGCGGCTGCTGGCACCAGACTTGCCCTCCAATTGTTCCTCGTTAAGGGATTTAGATTGTACTCATTCCAATTACAAGACCCGAAAGAGCCCTGTATCAGTATGTATTGTCACTACCTCCCCGTGTTGGGATTGGGTAATTTGCGCGCCTGCTGCCTTCCTTGGATGTGGTAGCCGTTTCTCAGGCTCCCTCTCCGGAATAGAACCCTAATTCCCCGTTACCCGTTGAGACCATGGTAGGCCACTATCCTACCATCGAAAGTTGATAGGGCAGAAATTTGAATGAACCATCGCCGGCGCAAGGCCATGCGATTCGTTAAGTTATCATCTGCTATGGATCGAAGAGGATGTATTTGAATAAGGAACTACACCATAGATCCCTATTCTATTTCCTATTTAGGAAGCTTGTATAGCTTCAATAATGTCAATAGTGAGCTGAATTCGCTGTAACAGCGCCGGCGAGGGTTGTGCCAAGCAATTTTGTTGCACGGGACCGTATGTTGCACGCAACCGTATAGGACGTTATAAGCGGCAAACCAAATAGAATATGAGTGGCGATATTCGAAAATTGCATACGCAAGCCTTTGTGTCCTCAGGCGCTCCATTTCCTCGAACCCATCATAAGCCTTGTCCATGCTTTTTCGGACCAACTCATACTTTTGGATTTATGCTCTAGAGCAGAGCAGCATACTTCATTCACAATCAAGGTGGCGCAGTCATATCACCTACCAATTGGATGCACAATGGTCCTCCTCCTTGCGAACGAGTTATAGCCATGATATCATCGGCTAATAATCCCCGAAACCACTATACTCTCTACTCCTTCTTATCATTGACGAAAGCAGCCGGCGTTTCTGGGGCTTCAACAGACCCCTCACTACTTCTGGAGCGCAATGAAGGTGACCCCGGAGTGCCACGGTTCGAGAGGTGCAAGATTTTGCTTCCAATCGGAAAGCGTAGATGTTGAAGGGGCTGTGCTAGGCTCAAATATCAATATATTTTGATGCTTCTTCTTCTGGGCTGACTGGAAATATTATTTCCATGAGCATCCAGAGCTATAAGCCATTACAGCCAAGTCGTGGGCAAAGGGCAGGATTTACAGAACTCTCTTACTCAAGTTTTGGTTTAGTCATACGTTTTGGGGCCCGTGAGGTTATGGGTTGCGCCTTGGGATGACTCTAATTGTAGAGAAACACTCAAGAGAGTTTTTAAGTGGGCTTGGGAACTACCTATCCAGATATAGATGAATTGAAAACCACCGACCTTGAGCCATTCATTCCTTCCTCCCTGTGCTGCCACCTCCCTGCTCGAACTCTATGACACTCCTCCTCGTCTACCCAATTCCGCCGTCTTTGCTGTCTCTGCTACGCCTGATGCCACTTATCATCTCCCTTCCAAATTTCCCCACCAAGCCGACCCCGGAATCAAGCCCCAGGTTTCTGTTTCATGAGTCTAGTACATAGGTTCCAGCCACGGCCCCGCATGCTCGCATTCGGAACGGCTCACCTTCCATCGCCCACACAACCTGGCCCCTTTTCTCCAAAGAGACTTTCGGTCAAGACCGGGGTCCTGGTCGAGCAGGACAGAGCGATCGCTGACATGAGAAATCTCAGGGTACCAGGTCAAGCTACACTTTTTTTTTCTTCTTCTTCCTCATCTGGGGTCCCCAGTATCCGCCGAGTCCTGAAAACGAAAGAAGGTTGCCATGCTGGAAAAGATGGCAGCGGCGTTGAAGCTTGGACTTGCTGTTGGGGAGATTGGAGACACTCCGGCGGCTGTAGAGAACGCGTTGCGCGCGGGTGATGGAGTATCCTGAAGCGCAGGTTTCATCGTCAACACCGCCAGCCGGCAATCTCGTTTCTCACCACCAGTTCCAAGCACCCTGGGTGGCTTACCGGCCGATACCCCTTGTCTTTGGCCGCAACAGACAGGTTTCTAGCAGATAGGGGACCCAGTCGGCTAAGTAGCAGCACATTGGTTGAGCATATGGCAGGGTTTGCAGACCATTGCAGTCAACCATGTTTACTGAATGAGTCCAGCTGCGGCCGCCCTTTGCGGTCCTTGCGAGTCGTCATCATTCTAGAGCCTCCTGAACTCATCCAATTTTTTGTGCCGTCAAATCCAATTCCCTCCACATTCCCAAATGTGCAATTCCCTCCTCATCCCACCTCCCCAACCTCTCATCCGTCTTGAAACCCAACCGTGTCCATACCTTCTCCACCCCAACCTGAGCATGCACCAACACTAACCCATCCCACCCACCTCCAATCTCCTCTTGATTCCGTGCCGCCCACCCTACCGCCTCCTCACATAACACCTTAGCCAACCCCCTACCCCTCGCTTCCGGTAATACAGCTAACCGTGTCAACTTCACATATGGCTTCTCCTCGGGATTCTCGCAGCCGTTTGGATGTGGAGCGTGAGGCGGCGGAACGAGGCGGGTGCAAGCAATTGGTTTATCGGAGAAGGTGTCGTAGGTGACCCAGTGCCAACTCCTTTGGTCATCTTCGTCGAGCTCGTTGGCGGCGGAGCAGCCTTGCTCTGTGCAGAAGACTTGAAGGCGGATGGTCATGGCGTCGGAGAAGATTTGGGGGGTTGCAGGGGAGCGGGAGTGGTAGAGGGTGGAGATAGAGGGCCCCGGTGGGGGGAGGATTTTGATCATGTATCCAGACGGCGGCGGTAGGGATTGGGCCTGTGGAGAGCTCTCAGATAACATTGCTGAAGTGTGGTAGTGTGTGGGTATCTCATTTGGTCAAGCTTGTACATGCAAATGAAGCGAGGTGGGATGGAGCGCTGAGATGTTGTATCTCTGGTACTCGGGGACTAATCTAGGAGTCAATTGATCACCAATTGGGTTGCATGTCTTCAGGAATTCGTGCCAGTTATACTCCGTATAAGCGTACAGTTGTAATGTTGATGATGTGGGATCAGAAGCGCGGAGGACAACGTGATGCTGCTTTTAGCTTGCTTTATCGCGCTTCTACGTTGCTAGGATAGCACCGTAGAACCAGTGTCACGATATCATAGCCGATGGCGCGACAATCCCAGAGTGCTTCTAGCGTTATACCGTCCTATAAACCCAACCAAAAGACTTCGACTCTGGTGATCTCTTGAAGTCACTAGTACGTAGAAGTGCTAATCCCATCAGCTCGTCATCCGGAACCCTACCCATGCAGTAGAAGTAGAATTCGTCAATCTACAAATCTAAGTCGCACATAGTAACTAGATCTGGAAGACCCAGCCATGATCTCTTAACACCGACTTCCACCATTTCCTATCCTTGCATCACTATCTCTCATCTCATAAAAATGGCTGGTGAGCAAGCAAGCAATCAAAGCACTTGAAAGGTTGCACCCAAGAATGGGTGCTATGTGGCACGAGACTATAATAACATTCAACTGCGATACACACAGCTTCTGGAGATGTCCTTTGCGGCTCTCCGATGAAGCCTCGATTTGAGGATCTCAACTTCCATTCCCAGCCATGTTGCAAGTTCCGATAACGCGAAGAAAAGTCGCCCCAAAACGTGGCATGGCTACTTACTGACTTAGCGGTTGAACCAAGTCAAGTTGTGCGGCCCGCAGCGTCCCACGCCCACCTAACGCGAGTAAGCGGGCTACGCAACACCATTCCTTGGAGAAAAGAAATCAGCCGGCCTCGTGTGACCCGCATTCCGCTGAACACATGATCAGCCTTTTCCAAATGAGCATTAGATTGATCATAAGTCTCTTCTCCTTTTCTGTTGCCTCTCTTACAAGGGAGAAGAAAAAAGAGAATCAATTAGAATTCTGGCTTTCAGGCTTTGTGACTGCTCCACCCCGGTTACTCACCTCACGTCACGTCACTAGTGATGCACCTACTTACATAGGAAGCGCCCAGCCTCCCCACCCACATACCCACAAAGTTTCCTGTGAACATTCATGATCGTAAGGTAAACACGTTCAATTGATCACAGTACATCAACATGCAATGTTACAGGTCCTGCTAGCGTGTATGTCATATCTTGTGTCTCCAGAACACGGAATCTTGCACCATTTCCCGATTAGGGAAGGTGTCATCAAACAGGAGATTTGTACGTATAAGTATGCATTCTCAACAATTTGTTTGTTTATATGTGTGTTTGCTTGTTTGTTTTAGGGCAGTGAATTTGTATCTCAGCAGCTATTTTCAAGGGTCACTGGGGCACCTACATGGAGCGCAACATGCGACTTGTCTGAGTCAATCACCTAATCAATTTATTCAATTGCTACCAAACATCCAAGTTCTAGACTTTCTGTTCATATCGCCCTGTCGCATTTCTTGCTCAAGGCGAAGGCCTGAGATAAATACCAGCGGGCAACTTTGTCATGCCTCCAAAACGAAAAGGGAGGAAATTTGGGCCAAAGTCTGAAGCGGCACCACATGTCACTAATCCAGTCGTTCAAAAGACTTCCAAAAGGGTAAGACCCTAGCCTTCCCTTGCCCAAGTCACATGCTCGCCTTCAATGATGGCTCGATCATAAACGGCTTCAAGTCGATATCGGACATACTCTCTGACATGTCTGGCTCACCGATAGTCCACAAAAGCGTCCACACGTCGCCGCAGTACCAGGGCTGGTCTCAGATCAGAAGCTTCCACTGATTACACTCAACCTCTTGACAACCCTGACTCGGTGTTTCGTAGACGTCGCAAATTTCAGAAGGCCCAAGAACAAGAACAACTTCCAGATCAGCCCAAAAACCAATCAGGGGATAGCGTTGGAGGGATTGTACAGAGTGTAGAAACCACGCTACTGGAAGTCAATCGGCGTCTTGAATACGAAATCGCCTATGAACACTCTGATGAGGTACCTTCGCCCGGACAACCAGAAACAGATCCAGAGCAATTATCTTACCGCAAGTGGGGCAACTTGCCACCATTCGACGAGGAAGTGTTGGCTGTCATAGAAGCAATCATTGCAGATCCAGGCATGGCAAATACTTTTGAAAGAACAGGCCCCCAACATGACAAATTCCCTGAGGGGCTTGAACATCGAAATGTCTTTCTGGAGGCAAGCACAATCTCTGATCCATACAAGGAACATGTTCACCAGCTTGAATCAAAGGAGTTTGTTTCGGAAACCGCCGAGGAGAGGGCTTCTAGTGAGCAACTCTGGAGATCAGATCAAGCTAAATGCATCGACGGATCCAACGAGGCGCTTTTCCAGCGCACAGTAATGATGACAATGATTGCGCGTCATCGTCTGGTGCATGATCATGATAGAGACACCGACATTCGAAACTGTCTCGACTACAGCGTCGAAGAGAGCTGGACATGTCCGCCCATGCCCACCCGAGCGTACAGGAGGGGTATGCCCTTCTTGACACAGCCCAAGCCCGACCTTGCCGTATTTTTCCGCAGGGAGACACTGATACCGGAGGCTTAGTGGAGGGAGATGCCGACTGCCACACGGCGTCTCGCCTGCTTCGAGAAGGATGGGATGGTAGGGAGGTCAAGGGTCTTTCATTTCTTCACGATTGAGGCCAAGAAGGCATCGACTTCGACCGGGAACATGGTGGGACAGCTTCAGAGTCTGAACAACGCAAGTCAGGCCCTACATAACATGTTCGAATTCTTCCGAGACGCCGGCGAGTATCACGAGAAGGCGTTCTTCGACAAGGTGAGATTCTTTTCTGCTGTGGCCAGTACCGAGGGTCTCATTATTCGCATCCACCGAGCGACTCGAGAGCCTTCAGATGGCTCTGGTATAGGTCTCATCATGAAGGACAGGCCAGAATATCCATTGAGATTCGAATACCAAGAATTTGCCAGGATCCAAGGGAACGAATTTGAGCGGATAACAGTCCTTGAGCTGCCCGAGAAAATCTTGCTCCGATACGGAGCAGATGAGCTCCATCCGTTGCTTAAAGGTGCCGCTGCAGCCATAATGGAAAGATTGGGTAAACATCCTGAGGAACTAGCATTAAGAGATGACGTCAATTTCTACCAGCATGGACAAAACCTTTTGTCAAAGAGTAGAAGACAGACGCGGGCAGGTTGGACAACCCCATCAGTACAAGACATGCTATTTTGACGGACGAAAATCTAGAGCAAGCATGGGGCTACCCAGCCGACCTGTATCGGAGGCAAACGTGTCGGTCGACATGCTGCAGAATGGTGCGACAACACCAACACAGGCCACACATTCCACTCAGGGCCAGCCTTTAGTACCAGCACAGCCATCGAACGGGACGGGGAAACGAAGTAGGGAAGTTCTATGGGTGGTGCGCCTGCTAGGAGCACTCGCCCGCGAATACAATGAAGTGACCCCTGCAGACATTTGCGGGACCGCTACTATTCTTCATGTTACGAATAAAGCGAATCGAAATGAGTATACGGTTCGTTGTACTCGGACGACTGTCGCGATGCAGCCTCACAGTATATCTTTACAAAGAACGCGTATGGTCATTGTGTACAATGATGCTGGGACGGGCTCTCAGCGACAGCATGCAACCTTTTTCTTCTTCTCTCTTTTGGTTGGGTGGAGGGGGCCGTTCAATACAAGCGGGAATGGAGACGAGTTTGCATCATCGGTGTTTTCTAGAAAGGACGGTTAATCCGCGAATAGAAGTTTATATCGTCGGTAATGATCTTTCTTCGGATATCTTGGAGGACACCAGACACCTTTGCAGCACTGGTAGGAGTTAGTAATATGTGACTGTGATCAGGCGGTTTACTCCATTCTTGGGCAGATCTGTCCAAAGAACTGCCCAACGCGGAACTTGATGTCAACGAGACCAGGGTCGACGACAGCTACAAGACTAGTAGCAATCTTGCAGTCATCCAAAAGATCCTTCAATCAACGCAAGGTCACTGACTGTCTTCATCGCATTCCCACCTCCCGCTGGGGGGTGTTTTCTCTCCAGTCATCCTGGGTTTTAGGAAACAACGAACACTAACTATTCAGCAACCTTGGGCTCGTAGAGCGTTACCCGTCGACAAGCTTCACCTTCAGAGGAAGTCAAGTCTCCCAACGAAGAGTAACGGCACTCGAACGGGAGTAGTGGCACAGAGATTGCGTCCTCGAGATATGAATGAGCTCTAGCTGAGCCGTAGACATCGGTCTGGTAGGTGGCTGTGGTTTCCGATATTCCTATCATGACATGGCGCACGACCACCTCCACACCCAGACAGTGGCGAAGAAGCTGCACATCCGATCTCGGTGTTGCAAAAGCGATGAAAACGACGGAGACGGGATGATGGGTAGAAGGCTTGACATGACCCGACCTACTTATTCTTGTTCCGAAGGAGACGTTGATTTTTGGCGGTGGGGCCTGGGCTGCTCTTCTCGCTGATAACCTGTTCTCCATGTGTCAGCTGCTACTTACGAGTGAAGTGGTCATCCCAGAGATGAGCGTCAATGCCGAGCATGCGCTCGCAAAGCTTTGCATCAATTCTATCAATCTGCATTTGCATGTACACTAGACCCCCGTCACACACCTGCAAATGTTGGTGTGACGCGATTGTCTTAACAGTGAAAGCGGTCCTTTCGGGCAAGAGATTGATCGAGTTGAGGTGTGGGATATTCGTTGCCACTTCGGGGCCGGAAGACCTGCGCGCTTAATTAAGCCAACGCCTACGGAGTCGTGCACCAGAAGTTGTGCAAGTACGCTAAGAGATAGCTTGCCAAGATGTATACTCTTGACTATTATGTCATTTGACTTCACCTCTATAAGCTTTAAGCCTGCTGACGCCTGAAGCAGTGGGGCATTAAAGGACCCTTAGCACCTAGGTGTCTGATTTCGAAGCTAAAGCGCCCTAGAATTGTGGTTGCTCAGGGGACATAGTAGTGGTATCTGCTACGACGTTTTAGGCTGAATATAGGCTTTAGCCCTAGAAATGATTGGAATGACATTACAAAAATGATGTTCTTCTTGGCACGCTATCACTTAGCGTACTTGCACAACTTTTGGCGCACGCCTCCGTACAGTAAAATACTACGTACAGTACTAGGACAAAAGTATCTGACCAACCCCACTTTCGTACCCCACCAACATTTGGGACCATCTTCATACAAATTACTATAGTAAGTTACCAACTTGATGGATTCTGATGAAAAACAGCTCAAAATGTTCAGAAACATCCAGAGATTGAGGCTGGGCTAATTTCCTAAATAGGCAGTCGATATTCAGAATCTGGTGTACCATCCTTTAGCCGCAATGACCGCATTCACTCGACTATCCATGCTCTTGATGAGATTGGCCACAGCTTCTTCTCCTATGGCATCCCAACCCTTATAAATTGCTCTGAACAGACGTTGATAATCCTCCTCTGATTTGCCTATATTAATTAGCTCTGGGTGGTGATCATTGATCCATTGCTTGAGTTGCGCCCAGAGGTGTTCAATTGGGTTGAGATCAGGACTATAAGCTGGCCATTCCATCAATTCTATGCCCTCCTCTTGAAGCCAGTTGATAATCTTCTTCGCAATATAGATTCGGGCATTATCTTGCATGAATTTGCGCCCTGGTTCGTACAGCCGAGGCATCTGCTTATGAAGCACTGCCAGATAAGAGTTGGCAGTGTATCCTGACTTTTCTGAATCAGGATTGCGCTCTAATAACATGATATCTAAATAACCTTCTGTATAAATTGTACCCTATATTATTACACTAATATCTTTGCCCTTTTTATATGTATTAATTATATCAGAATTCTAATATTGTTATAGTATACGAAAGGCCTATATTTGATGCGCTTTACTGCCTCTTTTTAACCTTCTCTATAAATTACACTATATATTATAATACTAATATCTTTGCCTTTTTTATATATATTAATTATATCAGAATTCTAATGTTATTATAATATATAAAAAGCTTATATTTAACACACTTTACTACCTCTTTTAAGCGAACATTTATTACTAAATATAATCTTGCTTTACTTAGCCCACGTCTAATTTTGTTGTTCTTTACATTATGCAAGTCATTTAATAGCTAATTAAGGAGTCAATAGAGGTCTTTTTTTAGTTAGCTAATTAGTAATACCTTCGTCTTTGAGGATTCAATAAATAGTCTTTCAATAGATACTAATACTAACTTCAGACTTGATTTCTTGATAAGTAGCCTTTAGATTAGTACGAATAAGATGTAGAATGTTGCGTTTTTAAACCTTATTTAAGGTCTAGGGACGTCCTGAGCGAGGCAAGCTTTTGCCTTGGTTGCGGAGTGGATTTTGAACAAGGGTGTTGAAAACGGTAGCTTTGCTGCATTGCAAATTTTGACTAATCTTTTGATTTGTCAACCCTATAGCTTTGTACGCTGAAATTTGACCTCGTTGGTATGGAGATAACTCCTTGCCATAGCTCTTATTAATTTCAAGAGGCGCCAGAGCCTTGCGTTGAGCCATGGTAGTTGTTTGAAAAAGGGTGTAAAAAAACGCGTGTTCAAAAATGACGCGTTTTGGTCAGATACTTTCGCGCGGGGCTGTAGTATGCTAGGGCGCTAACTACATAGTGTTTCGTTTGGAGAAATCCAAAGTTTCGTCCATGCTATGAAGGAATCTGCAAACCCGTATCACATAAGCCTTCAGTGGCTTCAAGATGCTTCTTCGATCGATAGTGTCATCTAGTCGGATAGCGTTCAACCTTCGTTCACTAAGTGCCCGGTAGGGCATCTGGAGATGTCTGTGATGCCTTGATCGTGGTTGCGTACACGACGTGATACGTTTTCTTCCCTATCATTTCCACCACTACACAAAAGATGTATCACCTCGCCAAATCTCTATACCTCCACTACACCTCCAAAGAAGAATACTCGATTCTCCTCCTCGGCCTCGACAACGCCGGCAAAACAACCCTTCTCAACCAAGTCAAGGCCCTATACAAGACCGCCGATTTCTCCTCCAGTACCAGCAGTGCTACCAACGAGCCAAGCCCAACGGCGGGCAATACCGTCCCAACTGTTGGTCAGAATGTCGCCACCATCGATCTGCCAGACATGTACCTCAAGTTCTGGGACATCGGCGGTCAAATGACCCTGCGGAGGCTGTGGCAGAGCTACTACAAGTCCGCGCATGCTGTCGTATTCGTGGTCGACAGCACCGACATCGGCCCGGACTCAGATGTAGCAAGATTACCTGGCTTCATCGACCATGGGAGGCGGAAGAGCAGTATCGGCGTCTCTGCTGACTCGGTACCTCAGACGCCCATGACGTCCCATACACCCACTGCGCCGGGGTTTCCTGGTTTCGGGCTTGGAGGTGCAAATGCCAACTTTGGGAGATTAGACGAGTGCCGTCAGGTTCTGGAGACGGTGCTGCAGCATGAGGATATGGTGGGGATTCCGATCCTGGTGCTGGCAAATAAGCAGGATAGAGATGACTGCGTGGAGGTGGTGAGGATCAAGGAGGGATTCATACGCCCGATCTTTGAGGGAGAAAAGGGCGGCATGGTGAGGGATAGTAGGGTTTTGCCTGTCAGTGCGCTTAGGGGGAGTGGTGTCAAAGAGGCGGTGGAGTGGGTGAGGAGTCGAGTCGTGTGGAATAAGGAGGGAAGGGCACCGGTTATGCGGTGAGACAAGCTGAACGAGAAGGCTGATATCAACAAACAACCACCAAGATCACAATCTGTGGTTCAGGTCATCCAAGGCCACTCCAAGGTTACAACCTGGAAAGTAGGTCCGGAAGTATCAGGAAGCAGCAGCAGCAACCTACCGACCCTAACTCCTCAACAGGATGCTCGTTTCACATATTGTATGCGGGAGATAGTCTTGTTCCTCCCCGGTCCAAGTCCAACCATCCGCATACGTTAAATACCGCCCATCCTGCGCGACTTCGATCTCGTTCGGGTATTCCTTGCTTCCGCGCCCGCCCTCCTCTCCTCGCAAGCGCAACAACGCAATAATGGACCCGGGACATCTCGAGCGAATCTCAGTGACTACTTCTTTCGCCCTCATTCAACACCCACAGGCCCAAGTGAAATCCCCGCGGCTCAATCATGCATGCCATTCCGACTTCGATCTCGGGATGGAAGCGCGAAGGATACACTATACACTTGCCTCGGGTCTCGTAGAGGGGTTAAAGCGCGCTCTAAGAAGGCGGTTCTCGGACGGACGGTCCCTGGCATCGCTGAAGACGAGCGAGGTTGGAATCCATATTCACATTCACATTCACTTAGATGGAGGATGGAGAACGCATCCCTTCCGAGGCAGATGATACCTATCCTACGAGAACGATTGGAACGCTTGGGAGACGAGAGATCGTGGCTTGGGGAGACCTCTCGGATTCTAGGCCTGGTAGGGCTAATTCCAGGGGGGGACGAAGGAGTACATTTGGCGGCAGGGATGGAAAGAGGAAAGTCATTATTGAAAACAGTTGGAGTCATCTCAGCAAAGAAAAGTTGTTCTTACATTGGGGGACTAGGGTTTTCCGAATCGAGCACTTCGGGAGAGGAAAGGCAACCAGCCTTTCTTTATTGCTTGCGCTCTAGCGGCTCGACGCTTCCTGCGCCAGCGAGTAAGCTCTAGGAGGTTCTTGTTGAGGGCGGTGAACTCAATCTCTCGTGCTTTTCTCCGGATCTTGGCGATGGCTAGCCGGACTCGAAGTCTTGACGATTGAGCACTAGCTTTTCGAGCACGCCTAGCCGCAAATTTCAGATCATATTCAGGAGACGAGGCTATTGTTGGTCAGGCTTGTTCGAGAGGTTGAGATTGAGAGGGCTAGGGTTATCCTACTCACAGAATTGCGACCAAGTGGTCTGCCGCTTCCCCTCCGCCTTCTTAGCCGATTTATTTGCCGGCACAGGCTCTTTGGGAATCGGTGGAGGTGTCATCGCTGTGTGATAATCTCTCGTCTCCCACTGTGTGCTCTCATTCTTAACCCATTTTGGTATGGGCAAAGGCGCTTTGGGAGTGGGCTCTAGCGGAGTGCGATACTCCTTCACTGGACGGCTCTTGTCTTCTCTTACGGATTTCGATCTCGGCAACGTCACCTCAGGATGGACATTTAGCGGGCTGCGGTGATCTTCTGCTTGGCGGCTTTTGTCTTCCTTGACCGATTTCGATCGCGGCAGAATAGGCTCTCCGGCGGGAGAGCTGAGCAGATCGCGGTACTCATTTGCCTGCTTGGAAGCCGTGGGTTGTCCTTGCCATGCCTTGCCTCTCCGCGGTGGCTCGTACGATGATGTTTGGCATGACTGACGGATCGAATATACCGATGAGGGTTGAGGACGGGTCAAACAATCGGAAGGTGGTGTTTCGATGTCAATGCGGGAGCTCAGAGTATTCGCCGAATTGTCCGTCGTGAGCGAGGGGGTTTGGGCAGGCGACGGTTGAAGCGCAGGGGCGCGGAGAGTGGACCTCAGCGCAGCGTAATGATTGATGATTTCTTGTTCGAAGTCAGAGTCGTAAGCCTCCTGTCCCAACTCGTCTTCTCCCTTTCCGTTCTCCTTTGCACCCTCGATTCCCTCCACACTCTCAACGTCAACTCCCTTCCCTTTTGTCCGTGTCTTCTTGTCCCTCTTCTCGCTCCAGATTCTCTTTCTGACAATCTTTAACTCTTCACCCTCCATCTCACTTCCCTGCATGATTTCTCTCGCCCTCTCTCCCTTCCCACACAGCCCCACCACCCATCCATCTACGAACTTCAACAACGTTGGCGGGCTCTTCCGCTTCTTTACCGTCTGCCTTCGACTCAACAGCAGAGCCCTCAGCGACGCGATAATCTGCAAATCACTCCCAATTCGCGTGAGGATGCATCCCTCGCACCCAGACTTCTGGTGCGACCATCTGGGATTCGGCGACGCCAAGAATGTCTGTCTGTAGGTCTGCTCCGGCAGCCACAGGCTATGTAGCTCACGCAGTTGCTGGATTGCCGCGTTCTGGTGGGTGGAGAGCAATGTGTTGTGCTGAGTCATGGAGTTGCAGTGGTGACCGACTTCGAGGGAGAGTAAAGTAAAGATATCGTGGATCAGAGAGGTAGAGAGAGGTTTGTGGAGCAGGCAGAGCCTAGATTCAACAGCTGGGGAAGGCACGTTCATGGATAGGAGATTTGAGAGGCGGGATCGGTGTTTTAGTTCGGAAGGGAGGCGTGCGATCGTGTTCGTTACGCGCTCGCCGTATTGGAGGCCACGTTCATGCGGTTGGGTTTGGAGTAGATGAGCGAGTTGATGTACGTGTTCGGTGGGCAGAGCCCTGAGTTTGTTGGGAGGCATGATGGCACTCCGATTGGTTTGTGATGATGTAGCTGGGTTGTGGGGTTTTGATTCGTGATCTTGCGATCCTCAGAAGCAGCAGTATAATGAGAGCAAATGAACTCCATCTCGGATATTCCAGCATCGCGCAGATATTAATCTTTCAGCTTTGCGAGTTTGATTGTGTCTCCCAGCACACAAAGGAGATCAAAGGAGGAATTGTTGAATGAAGGCGAGAAATCTAGAATGTGAAAGAAAAGTGCTTTGTTTGTTACAAAGAGGAAATGAATGGAAGAGGCAGAAGAGCACGTTGTATGGAAGAACTCTTTCATCTACATGCCTCTTCAGGCATTCCTGCATAGCTTGTCCTCTTCAGGGTAATAGTCACAGTCAGGGAAGGGGGAAAATGGGGGTATTCCATGGACTACCTGTCTGGTGAAATACTGCTTCCCCGTCTGACCTGTCAATTAGAACTTCCTGCACTAGGAGAAGCTCTACACGCCGGCGAGACATAGTCTTCATGTTAGACAAGAAAGCGGTCTCATAACATGGGCTCGGGAGCATTATTCGATGAGATTTTGGGATATACCAACGGTAGACAGGGTCAGGGAAATAACTATGCGCTGCTGTTAGACTCCATCCTATGCGATCTTGCTCATCCTCATACCTTTTTGCTGAAGAATGACCCCTTGGACGCCATACTGCCGCATGCGACAAAGAAGGTCAGTCCAGTCACCTTACCGTTTGCGAGTTAGAGGGGCCAGCAATCAAATGTTCTAACAGCAACATCTGAGCCGGTTGCCATGGGCGATGCATGGGCAGAATGAAGTCCAAGAGGAGCGCGGAGGGAGAGAGAGAGTCTTGAGGATCATTCTTGGAATTCAGTCGTCGTCAACTACTTAAGGAAATTCGTGAAGAAGGAGATGGGAAATACTAAATACTACGTGAAGGGCACCAGACTGACACCAAACCCAAAAAGGCTTAGACGGCATCACTCTGCAACAGACTGCGATCCTGTCCATCTCTTTCCATTTCAATGCACATCCAACCATTCCGCCATTACTTTGATGCGGAGCTTAACTAAATCATTCATCCTGTCATCTCGTAACCAGGCTGACTCCACTCCAAGCTGTTCTTCATCACAGTAGGATTAAGGGGATAGCATCATCTAAACTCGTTGGGATTTGTCGACACCAGACAATGAATTCATCCCAAAGCTTCTTAGCTCCGACCAATCCCCAGAAGTGGATGGCTGAGATAAACCATAAACTCCAGTGCTTCGGCGTCCCAGCCCAACTTTCCGCATCTCATCATTCGTCAATTGTGCACATCGTGCCCGGTCAATAGCGAAGCAGAAAGCTGTTTGGTATAACAGGGTTATATGGAGATGGGTTTTCATGATGATCAGGGGCGAGTGGCCGTTGCTCAGCCGACAGCGCTACAGATTGTCCCCCCATGCGAGAGAAAATGTAGCGGATGCGAGGACCAGAAGGTAGGACCCCTCGTAAGAACGATCTTGATGCTCTCAGATCCGCGAGTTCGAACTCGTTCACGCAAGCTTTTTTGCCAACAGTGCGTGGTCTGATGGTTATATGGGCCCCGAAAGCTGCAGCCATTCCTCGAGCGAAGTTGTGCATCAGTCGAGGCATCGAAAAGCGTCGTTCCTCGTGCATGATTCTTTTCCGGACTGCTTGTTGATCCATGTCATCTCTCTCCCTAGGACTGGCGAGGGAATCATCTGAATCGGGGTCTTTTGTGGCCACATCGATAGTGATGGTTCTGGAATCTGGGTATGGCGTATACAGGGGTGCCTGCTGTACACCGCCCCCCGCCTTTGAAGGTTCGAGAGGACTCCACAGTGCTTCGACGAGCTCACTATCCATCAGGAAACTGTCCCGCATTGAAATGATGTCCTCGATGGGCCTTGTCCTTTTCCCACACTTGTGGCATCGAGTGGAGGTGCACGAGGACACCATTCTCGACAAAATTGCAGTCAACACCTGTGGCTTTAGAGGGCTATGGACCAGCAGCGCTCTCGGTCTCCCTTTTTTTTCTCTCTGTGCTCTCCTTCCTTGGCTCTACCTAAATTCGTTGCTGGACTAGAGAATTTAGGCTTGCACGGAAGTGCAGATCTCTTAGGGAAGCGTTGTTCTTACGGGGATTACGGTCAGATTAGCGACGTATGTGGCAGCAGGACTCCAACGAGCTTTCTATATTAAGTCACGAGAGTAGGATCGTCAAGCGCTGGATGCCAGAAGCCCATGACGAACTTCCGGTCAACCATGGATACGGAGTGAAAAGCCCATCCCGCGTCGAGCCCATGCAACACAGCAAGGATGTCGATGCAATGTCGATGCAATGTCGATGCAATGTCAACCTCGGCTGGAATGCACGATTGTACTTGTACCCGTCATTGACAGAGTGACAGCGTATTATCTGTCGTCACTGCGACTTGACCCGGCCTCTGCTGTGCTGCGTAGGCCTGTTGACAGGTGCAGGTGCATATACCCCCGACTGCGCAGATAGGGCAGGTAAGGCGGTTGGAAGGGACTAAGATGCCAAGTATAATTATAATGACGGAGACCCGATCAGCTCAGTCGAACTCCGCTTCCGTAGCCTACAGCAAAGTCCATCAAAGTCCATCGGATGCCAGCCACATGCCTCTAGCGAAGAACCTTATCTCAACTCATGTGGCTATTCTTTGTCTGTCGCAAGGTCCCCTGCTGGCTGTCAGTTTACGCGTGCGCAGTAGGTGAACTAGGATATCCCATCCACGGTACGGACAACGGATTTCACCACAGCCCAGTCTCTCATCCTATCCCCCCTAGGCCCTGGCACCTAGGTGACAGTTTGTCAGCCTCATGCTGATCAGAATGATCTCGTCTGCTGCTCACCCGATAGGTGTCGTCAAGGGTGGCCGTGTAACCTTTGATGTGTAAGAGGCTCCGCCACTCGAGGTTAGTTTGACCTCTCATTCTTTTCTATCGTTGACATGCTCACGGGTTACGGGTCATTGCTGAGTCCCCACACGTTCCTTCGCAACATCTGTTACATTAACAACATCCGCGCCACTGATGGGGATAACGGTGTGCTGTAGAGTCCGGTCGCCTCTGACTGGACAATAGCAAGCCCGGCTGCTAATATGGTGGAAATTACCCATACAAAAGACGGAAGAAAAGGGACATGACGCCATGGAGATGGTCTACCAGGATTACGGTCTTCCCAGAACCGTTGCTAGCCCTAGTTTCGATAGTTCAAGTCTATTGTTGTTTGCCATATTCCAAGGCCATTGCTACATTCAGACGGAGACAAATCAACCGGACCTGACTCCCTATCTCCAGTGGGAAGCTTTGTGGGCTGCAAGTGGCGTCGAGCACCGCAGCTTCGCTTTACGAGCAACAAGTATTCCATATGTTTCATCCTTGATCGGCGATCCTGTACCCGTACCTAGCATCCGGGCGGACATATGTCGCCATACAAATCATACAATATATCTGGGTCATTAACCTTCTGAAGCTGGGTCATTTCCTTCAAGTAGAAGCTGTTATCTTTCCATTTCAGTTCCTTCCCTCTCATACCTAAACATTTGATGCTCGGTAATAGGGCATGGTTTCTATATCTTCACTCCTCTTCTGATCATTGAGCTTTCATCGTCTGCATGATCGCTATCACTAGTCACTCCTCACTGCCATAGATCGTGGTATCTTACCATCTTCGCCATGGAGGTCTATATCTTCGGAGATCAGACCGCGGACTGCCGCTCGTTTCTGGCAAAGGCTGTTGGACGGAAGGAAAACGTTCTGTTGAATGTGTTCCTTGAGAAGGCTGCTTTTGCAATTCGAGACGAGATCTCAAGACGCGCATATATTCAGAGCGACATCCCAAACTTCAGCACTGTACAAGAACTCGCCGAGCGATACTACAAAAGCGAGTCACCAGACACTGCAATCGAAAGCTCTTTGGTGTGTCTCGCTCAACTAATCCACTTTATCGGGTAAGTTCAGCCCGTTCCGAAAAGCCAGCCTGCGACTGCTGATGATTGGAAGATGTTTTGAAGAGCAGCCGCGAACATATATTCCGTCTTCTTTCTCTCGCCCTGATGCAAAGATTGTCGGTCTGTGTACAGGTTTAATTGCGGCAAGTGCTGTAGCTTCTGCTGATTCGCTCACCGCTCTTGTCCCACTTGCGGTAGAAGCAGTTCGTGTTGCCTTCCGAACCGGGGCTCATGTCGGCCGCGTTGCGCAACAGGTGGAGTGCGAGCCTGGTCGAAAATCGTGGTCAACTATTGTTGCTGCTGATGTGAAAGCAGTCGAAGCAGCACTTTCCGAGTTCCACGAAGAAAATGTTTGTCATACCTATTCCAAATGTGTCTCGGAAGCCTAATCTTTGCTGATCTCGGATTCTAGGGAATTTGCACATCCAATCGTTTATGGATCAGTGCGGCATCGGCAACGGCCGTGACCGTCAGTGGACCTCCATCAATCAAGCAAAGACTACTGGAGAGCTCGGATTTCTTCCAGAAGCACACCAAAGTCAATGCAACTGTTTATGCACCCTACCATGCCTCGCATTTGCACTCCCGAGCGGATATCGAGCGCATCATTCGACCACAGACTCGGGTGATCTTCAGCGCCGCCAGGGTTCTCTTCCCTGTTTGCTCTAGCGTGTCTGGCGAGCCAATCGAGACTGAAAATCCAATTGAGCTGTTGGAAGCTTGCTTGAGCGAGATCCTGCTTGAGCCCATACATTGGGACTTGGTCCTCAAGCATTGTGGCTCAACCACCGCTAGCGATGTTAAAGTGCATGCGATTGGACCGACCAATCTTTCCAGCAGCATGGTCTCAGCCTTGAAAGCATCCAACGCCCATGTTACATTAGAGGACCAATCTGCATGGCTCTCTACTTCCACCACTGGAACGAAGCGAAAGGGGGATGCCGACATTGCCATCATCGGTATGGCTGGAAGATTCCCTGATGCGGCCGATCATGAACTGTTCTGGCAATTGCTTGAGCAGGCACGTGATGTGCACAGGCCAGTACCTGCAGACAGATACCCGGTGGATTCTCATACCGATCCTACGGGCAAGACACGCAATACCTCGCACACCCCATATGGCAACTTTATCGAAAATCCAGGTTTGTTTGATGCCCGGTTTTTCAACATGTCACCAAGAGAAGCTGCTCAGACAGATCCGATGCAGCGGTTGATGCTTGTAACAGCATACGAAGCTATGGAAATGGGCGGCATGGTCATTGGACGCACACCCTCCACAAAGCGTGACCGCATCGGCACGTTCTACGGCCAGACCAGTGACGACTGGCGAGAAATCAACGCCGCGCAGGATGTCGATACATATTTCATCTCTGGTGGTGTCCGCGCTTTCGGTCCTGGACGCTTGAATTATTTTTTCAAGTTCAGCGGCCCCAGTTTCTCCGTCGATACAGCATGCTCTTCAAGCTTTGCTGCCCTCAATGTTGCTTGCAATTCGCTTCGAGCTGGCGAATGTGATACCGCGTTCTCAGGCGGTGCTAATGTACTTACCAACCCTGATATTTTTGCTGGGCTCAGTAGAGGCCATTTCTTGAGCAAAACTGGTTCCTGCAAAACCTTCGACAACAGCGCTGATGGTTACTGCCGTGGTGATGGTGTCGCAACAATCATCCTGAAAAGAATGGACGATGCAATTGCTGACAGAGATCCGATTCTTGGTGTCATCAAAGGCTTCGGCACCAACCACTCCGCCGATGCAGTCTCCATCACTCATCCTTGCGCCAAAGACCAAGCCTTCCTCTTCTCGAAAGTATTGGCAGAAGCACATGTGGACGCTCATGACGTCAATTATGTCGAAATGCACGGTACAGGTACGCAAGCTGGGGATGGTATTGAGATGGAGTCTGTCACTAGCGTCTTTGCTCCAAGGCACAGAAGACGCCGACCAGATCAACCACTATATCTGGGCGCGGTCAAGTCCAACATTGGACACGGTGAAGCAGTTTCTGGTGTTACTGCCCTTATCAAAGTCTTACAGATGCTGCGGAAAAGTGCAATTCCTCCCCATACAGGCATCAAAACCGAGCTCAACAAGACCTTTCCCACAGATCTCAAAGAGCGTAATGTTAACATTGCTCTCAAGCTCACACCTCTCATCCGACCTCCTGGTGGCAAACGAACCATCTTCATCAACAACTTCAGTGCCGCTGGTGGCAACACGGCAATTCTGTTGACAGACGGTCCAGAGGTGCCTGCACCATCAGCCGATCCCCGCTCCCAACACATCGTGACTGTCTCTGCAAAGTCACTTGCAGCATACAAGAAGACGATCCAAAAATTGCTCAACTTCGTCGAAGCAAATCCATCTGTTCATCTACCTAGCCTCTCATATACCACAACCGCGCGTCGACTACATTTCACATATCGTGCAGCTTTCTCAGTAGCTGACACTACCCAACTTATAAGCTCTTTGAAGACCCTTCAAAATGGCACACATAACCCTATCAGCATGAATGCTCCTCAAGTTGCGTTCGCATATACTGGCCAGGGTTCCCAATACACTGCCATGGGCAAGACACTCTACGAAACATCCAAGCAGTTCCGTGTTGACCTAGAGGAATTCAACGAAATTGCTATTCGTCTGGGACTACCGACCTTCCTACCGCTCATTGACGGGTCAATCGATGTCAAAGAGCTTCCTCCTACTACAGTTCAGCTCGGCATGACTTGTGTTCAGATGGCCTTGACAAGACTGTGGTCTGCATGGGGTGTCAAGCCAAGTGTTGTCATAGGTCACTCTCTAGGCGAGTATGCTGCTCTTCAAGCCGCAGGTGTCTTGTCTGTCTCGGACACGATCTATCTTGTCGGCAGGCGAGCTGCATTGCTCGAGGAGAAATGCACAGTTGGTACTCATGCCATGCTGGCCATCCGAGCGCCTGTTGCCGCCTTGCATGATGTTGTTGTTTCCAGCCGGGGCAAGATCGAAATTGCCTGCATCAACGGCATCTCAGATACCGTGTTATCAGGCACCGTCACCGATATCGACAACGTTGCCGAGACTCTGACGGCCGCCGGCCAAAAGTCCACAAAGCTTCGATTACCTTTCGCGTTCCACTCGTCGCAAGTTGAGGCGATTCTACCAGCATTCGAAAAACTTGCAAGTGCCGTCACCTTCCATGCACCAAACATCCCAGTCATCTCACCATTGATCAGTGACGTTGTCACGGAGCCAGGAACGTTCGATGCCGCCTATCTCGGCCGACATTGTCGAAAGACAGTCGATTTCGTTGGTGGTCTTTCCGCAGCCATGTCTCAGCAATTCATTAACAACGGTTCGATCTGGTTGGAGGTTGGTGCTCATCCGATCTGTGCGAGCATGATCAAAGCTACGTTAGGAGCTGCGACCCTTCCATCACTCCGCCGTGACGAGGATCCGTGGAAGATCATCTCAAACAGCGTGGTCGGACTCTACGCAGCTGGTATCCCAATTGAATTCAACGCATATCACTCAGGCTTTGATAGTTTAACTGTGCTTGACCTACCAACATACGGATTTGATGACAAGGTCTACTGGCTCCAATACGAAGGTGACTGGACCTTGACAAAGAACCATGCTCCTACGCCCGTTGCACAGAAGGCAATCACCGAAGCACCGAAGCCGAAAGCATACACCACTTCCGTCCAGACCATCCTATCTGAGAAGGTTGAAGGCAACAAGGCCGAGGTCGTTGCTGAGTCTGATCTCGCCGAACCGCAACTATTCCAAGTTGTGTCCGGTCATCTTATCAATGGCGCCGGCCTCTGCCCGTCTTCGCTCTATGCTGATATGGCGTTGACCATTGCTGACTATGCCTACAAGCTTCTCAAGCCAGGGAGCAAGGTGGACATGAACGTTGGCTCAATGGAATGTCCAACACCACTGAGATTGAAGAATATTACGAACCCAGAAAGCCAGGTGGTCCAGATCGAGACCAATGTGGATCTCACCCTTGGCAAGGCGGAATTCAAGATCTCCAGCAACGGTGGAAAGATACTGCACGGCAGGTGCCAGGTCATGTTCGAAGACGCGGCCACATGGACTGCGCAATGGCAACGAACTGCATTCTTACTTCAAGATCGACTGAGGATGCTCAAGTCGAAGATGGAGGAGGACGAAGCTGACAAAGTTGGCCGAAGGATGGCTTACAAGCTGTTCGCCAATACTGTCGATTACTCTGACAAGTTTCAGGGCATGAACGATGTCATCTTCGACGGACCTGAACGCGAAGCGACCAGTCACATCAAGTTTCGAGCTGGTCCTCAAGACGGTACTTTCATGCAAAGTCCCTTCTTCATTGATAGCGTTGCACATCTATCTGGCTTCATTGTAAACGCCGCCGCCGAATCGAAGAACAATGTTTACATCTCACACGGTTGGGAGAGCATGCGCTTCGCAGAGGCTTTTGACCACACCAAAGAGTACAACGCTTATGTCAAAATGCAGCCCGCAGGAGGCAAAATCCTTGCGGGAGACGTATACATCTTCAATGCAGAGAAGAAAATCATCGGCGTTGTTGGCGGCTTGAAGTTCCAATGCATACCAAGGTCTCTCCTAAATACTTTCCTTCCACCACCGGATGGCTCTGCCCCAGCTCGAGCAAGGCCCCAGCCCAAAGCTCCGGTAAAGAAGCCAACGGCCATTGAGATTCCGAAGATGACCAAGAAGGCATCCAAGCCTGCCAAAAACTCCAAGCCTACCAAGGCTGTCGCTTCTGGTGTGCTGGGTAAAGCGTTCGACATCATTATTGCTGAACTCAATGTTGAGGCCTCGGAGCTGGCAGATGCAATTCAGTGGGCTGATCTTGGCGTGGACAGCTTGATGGCTCTGACCATTTCTGGTCGTTTCCGCGAAGAGTTGGATATCGAGCTGTCAAGCACGCTCTTTACCGACTTCACCTCTGTTGGAGAATTGAGGGCTCACTTCTCATCCACTTTGGGTGGTGAAAGTGTTCCATCGTCCAGCAGCTCTACGGCAGATGAATCCGATTACTCTGACAGCGACGACGCCAATGAGTCTGGCATCACAACACCCGACTCAGCAGACTTCGACCTCAAGGAGCTGAAGTCTTCCAATGCTCCTGCTCCTGCCCCAGCCGTAGCGGGGACGGAAAGTGAAGACGATGACCTCATTGCCACCATCCGGTCGACCATTGCGGATGAAATGGACATTGACATTGAAGAAATCACCGAAACCACCGACCTCAGCACCCTAGGGATGGACTCTCTGATGTCGCTCCAAGTTCTAGGCAGCCTTCGCGAGAAAGCTGACATTGAACTCGAATCCACAATCCTTGCCGATAATCCTTCATTAGGCCACCTTCGCAAAGCTTTGGGACTCCATAAACCTGCGGTAGCACCGCCCTTAGCCTCCAAATCCGAAGTCCAACAACCTGCTCTCGTCCGTGCTGACTTGTCAGAAGTTACCGTCACCAAAAAGATGCCACCGGCGACCTCGGTTCTGCTCCAAGGCAACGTCAAAACCGCAACCCGTAACCTCTTCCTCTTCCCCGACGGTTCCGGCTCCGCCACTTCCTACGCCGGCATCCCCAAAGTGGACTCCAGCAACCTCGCCATCTTCGGCCTGAACTGCCCCTTCATGAAGGATCCCACCTCCTACACCTGCGGCATTGAAGGCGTCTCTAAACTCTTCTTGGAAGAAGTCCTGCGCCGCCAACCCACAGGGCCTTACACCCTTGGAGGTTGGTCAGCCGGTGGCGTTGTCGCCTACGAAGTCACTCGCCAACTCGACGACATGAATAAGGCTAATCCAGCTGGGAAATACTACGTCGATCAGCTTATATTGATTGACTCGCCCTGCCCAGTGGCCCTTGAACCCCTTCCCGCCCGCCTGCATCATTTCTTCGACGAGATAGGCCTCCTCTCCACCGGTACTGGCAAGGCCCCCGGTTGGCTACTCCCCCACTTTGAGTACTCCATCAAAGCCCTGACCGCCTATAAGCCCGAAGCCAGGTCCAAAAATGGCTTCAAGTCCCCACCGGTATTCTTCATCTGGGCAACTGAGGGCGTTTGCGGCAAGCCCGGCGACCCAAGACCACCACAACAGGATGACGATCCCAAGAGCATGAAGTTCTTGCTGGATAATCGGACGGATTTCGGTCCGAATGGATGGGAGAAGCTGCTGGACGTGGAAGGGGGAAAGGCAAGGATCGTCAAGATTGAGGGGAATCATTTTACCATGATGAGGCAGCCTGTGGTGAGCTCTATCCTCTCGCGCGTGTGATGGTCATGATGCTAATGCTCAACTATAGGTCAATAAGCTCGCTGATTATTTCAGGGAAGCGTTATCTCTCTAGTGGTGTGTCTTAGCAGCTGAACTAGATCGAGGGGCAAATAGCATCGGAGGTAGCTGCACAGATGCAGCAGAAAGAGTGACATCTGGGGAAGAACTTGTCAGGAGAACACCAGTTTGTGATAAGGATGGGGTAAGGACCTAGCCGGTAGATTGTCATGCGCTATGGTTGTTGTACGTTCTTGATCTGGTTCATCATGATCACGATCATTCATGTTTCCTATCTTATCTATCTATCTACCTGTTTATGGCATCGCTCCGGGTTAAAGAACGGATACGGCGTTTTGCTGGGTTTGGGTTTGGGTTTTGGAATGGGAGTTTTATGATCTGCAAGTTGATATAGTTGACCTTTTACAAGATTACAACCGCTTTATGATTTATTCCTTCTTTGGTGAAGATCTCTCTTCTTCCATTTTTCTACTACACTATTGGTATGAGATAACTCAGTTACCAAACAGTTGATGTGGAATATGTAGCACTTCCCCCCGGGTTACACCGAATTCCTTCAGGAATACATTCCCTCTGCATCAGAAGCATGCTTACATCTGGGATGCCGTATGTCTTACATATAGAGGATCCCATGCCAGCAAAGGTAAACCTTAGTGAAATTCCCTCATCCCCTCAAATAGAGGATTATGTCTTACATATAGAGGATCCCATGCCAGCAAGGTAGACCTTAGTGAAAATCCCTCATCCCCTCAAATAAACCAGCTGTAGACACAAGTCCCGGCTGACCATGGCTAGCCACTCGCCTGAACGACCTGAAATAGGATCGCCGTGTGGGCACACTCGTTCAGCCTGGGTTGTTGACCTGGAGGATTGGGCGATCCGAGGGTTTTCAGATCTAATTCAAGTTTCTCAGCGCCGAAAATGCCAAGACTTGCACATACGTAGTACGTATGTGACGTATCCGGGGGAGAGGAGGGGGGAGGCGGGGCGGTGAGTGGCTTGCTGCAACCCCACGGCCGAAAGGATCTCGAGAGGAAGAGAGAGAGAGATCCTAAGATACAAGAAGGGATCTCATGTGATGTGATGGCCTCAAATGTGCAGACCGCCTGAGAGTGAGTTTAGCGTTCTTCGTTCTTGCTGAGGCTGAAGAAACGACCTTGGGACTGACTAACTAACTAACTAGTAGTACGGAGTCGCTGCACTAAAAGTGAGGAAAACTACGCTAGTATTAAGGCTCTACCACCATGGCTAGGGCTCAACTAGCCTGAGATAGTGTTTGATGGTGCCGGTACTTCTGGCCTAAAAGAAAGCCTCGAGAAGCCATGGATTAAATACTCTCTAGGCCTTCTCTTTAGATCATTGCCACTGATGCTGTGGCGCCCCTTAGTGTGGAGGCCCATCTAAAGCACAGCCCTATAGATTATCCGGCGTATATCTTAGGCTAGAGGGCCTAGCTTTACATTTAACCTGCTAGCTCTTATCTTGATAATAGCGTAGTTTGGACTACTTTTGGTGTACAACTTCGTACAAGTTTTCTGCGTTAGTACTGTAAGTGCTAAACTACGTAGGTAGAGGTAGATGTGATCACTCTCGTCTGCTGCTTACCTGTCCTAGGCGGTAGCTAGCTTAGCGTTATAGGCACCTCCCCCACATACCGAAGGGTGACTTTGCTCCGGTGGTTTTGTGTCTGGGGGAAAGGGATGGTCAAGCGCAAAATTAGTACGGGGTAGTTATCCTGCAAACGCCATTGATGGCTGCCTGCTAACTTACAGTAACCAACTAGTTAGGTGCTTTAGGATGTGTGAAAAGTTTCAAGGCAGGCAACAGTTGAAGGAAAATCAATCACTCCGCAGCCGGGGCCGGGAGAGGAAAACGAGCCATGAGAATCTACCTCTCTCATATTTCATGCCTAGCTCCTTGCCATGAATATCTAGAGTGAGCTCGGTTGGGCACGGTCAGGCACTTTTTGTGGCGCTTGAGGACCCAGCGAGGCGGGTGAACAGACTTACAGTCTCGGGATCATACAGACACACACCTCTTATGATGACATCTTGGGTCTCTCTTTCTTCCAGTGACTAGGTGTATTGTGGGTGATCATTTGGTGTCTATTTTTCAGCGCAGACATATTGGCCCAACAAAAGTGGCCATTTCTGAATTCTGACTTACTGATTGGTAGTTGAGGAGTGGACTCCTTACCGAACAGGTGAACGTGCAGGTATTAGGATGTAGTACTTCCTTCACTCATACTTCGACAAGTACTGCGTCTACCCTTTCAACGCTCGGAGCGTACCGGAAGAGGGGCCACTGCAGCGCTCATGATTTACCACGTCCCCCCTTTGAAACCTCGACCTAAAGGGGATTGGGGCTCTCTCTCGTTCGCTGAGCCACAGTACCGCATTGGTACCCCGACCAAGGTCGGGTGCTTTATCGTGAAGTCCCTGTGGCGAGGGGGGTCTCACTGGATGCTTGATTGCTTAAAGAATGAAGAAAACATGCGTGTTTATACAGGTGGGATGTCCATGAAAGGCGGGAGATAGGAGACTTCTTAATTGCTTCTATCTGCTCTGGCCTGGCATCATGACTTACAAATGCAGTCGAAGTGACTTCAACGTGTGCCTGCATGGTCAGGCATCAAGTCTCTCTCTGAGGTAGTCGATGCTGTCAGTAGACCTCATTGAAACTGGGTTTTTTGGGTCTGCTTTTCGCTAAGGGGCGAGCGATGACTTCACACCCAATGGCAAAAGTGATTTTGTTGTCATAAGCGGGTATCGATCACATGAAGTCGGGGTTTACGGCATCCAGTGCTCGCATTTAAGTCGCCTTCTCGCAATGTCGGGACTTTTGTCAGGTCACCTACCTCCAAGTACACATGTGAGCTGAATAAATATGTACACGTCATTTGCTTTCTGGCATGTGGTGAAGAAGCAGTTCTGTCATTCATCTTGAATACGAAGGTTTTGCTGTGTGGTCAGAGCCCGACTATCGCACACAGCCGGGGTTGGAGCGATTGATTTTTGAAAGCAGTAGGTAGCCGTGCATCCGTACTGACATATCAGAGACGGTTTGGTTGCTGCGTCAGCAGGACTTGTCCTCTCAGGCCTTGTGAAGGCAAACGAAAACGACGAGAAAACAGATGGATGAGGCCGGCTAAAGGCTGCTGGGGGTTAGCGAGTATAGCTGCATTACTCTACCTTGTCCAATATCCCCGGTTTTGAGTACGAATACGTGGTGTATCCAAATGTAATGTGATACTGAATGACTTCGATTTGTGATGCAATTGTGTCAGGTGGTGTAGGAGGACGGAAGACCCGACTGCTTGGGACACAACTGGGTTGTCAAAAAATCACGATGCGATCCAGCTATCATCTGAAGATGCGACCAGGACAATCGGCAACCCCCAAATCCGCGATAATGGTCTTGGGCCAGCTGTTATTGCATTTTACATCTGACATTCAGATTTGACGGGTCCTGGCAGCAATCGCAAGCCAAAAGGATCACAAGGAAGAGGTTTCACAGACCAGGTAACTATGCTGTTGTGATTCTCTTAAAGTAGAGTGAGTGAAAACAGACAACCATTTCGCCGTGATATGAGGTCTCTATTACAAATGGTGATGATACGAGTCGGGACCACGCATCCACTTCTGTCACCCCAGGTTATCGTTTTAGGACTTCATCATCGCCTTATATGCTGTGTAGCATGCCAGCGATGTATGAAGTCTTATCCTTGCACCGGCTGGTTCCATTCGAGGATGATGCTTGCTCTTCTGTCATCCTTGGATGAGCATGCATGTTTGAGCGGCCGGACATCGCTTTTGAAGAACTGCGAATTTCGAAGTCGCCTTGTACGAGTTATGTGCAGGATCATCTCATCATCTTGTGCTGGCAAGATCTCTTGATTTTCGCACAAGACGACTTGGGAGCGTCCTTGTCTAGAGACTAGGCCCGCAGCCAGGTAACCCAGGAAGTTCATTCACCATGACCTCTCACCGAAGTAGGTCCTGGGCAGATTTTGCGGACCCCTCGAAACAAATACTGTTCCACATATTTTCAAAGGCATGCCTGACTGTGCTGAAAGCATCTTCACGTGCTCTATTGGTTATCTTCGTCGATTGCAGAGCGGGGGCTAATCGCCTGCGAGCATGTCGACTCCTAAAGCTACTGTCAGCCGATTAAGAGATAGCTCTTACGACCCTGCTTGCTTTCTGGTTGTCCTACCCCTTGGTTCGGAGAAATTTCCCAAATGGTGCAGCGAACACGGATGTCGCTTATGGGGGCTGCTTGGGGGTTTGATGTTTGGAGCGAATGAAAGCTATACACAAGCATACCACGAATAAGTTGTGGGCTGCTTGCAGGTATTGTTCATGGTCAAGACTCGCTTGCTACGATTGAGCCGGTTTGCGAGGCTGTGTGGGTCCTCAAGATGGATGGCTGGCCAGAGCATTCACAGTGTAACATTAATGGACAAAAGCAAATCAGGGTCAACCCGTGATCGCGAACACCTGCTGGTATTCCAAGCCAAGGAGAAATGTAGCAGTGATTTCAAGGACACAAGCCTGTGTAACTCCTTCCTGAGCAGGCAAACTTTATTTCAATTCGCCCTGATTTGTTGAGATTTGGACGAAGATGTACTTATCATGCTGCCCAAAAGACGCAATCCACCCTTGGCAATAGGAAGCCTCATGCCAGTGATTTTATGTCAACCACCATCACTTGAGAGAGTATAATACTGGCAACGTTTGTCGTCGGCCTACATCCAGGGTGCATAGGTTATCGTGTCTCAGATGTGGTGCTAAGGCGGTAGCCTCTCCATGGAAACCGTGAAATCTAACTTAGTCGACGGTAACTAGCGCTTGCAAGCCAGGCACAGTGCTAACAGACCTGTTTCTGACTGTTCTTACCATTCAGCCAGATGTCCGGGCATTGCCACCACCTTTGCTTCATAGGTGGACGACGCAGCAGACGTTGGAAATCCCGTTTTTCGA